TCGATGCGGGCTCCACCGGACCCGGGCTATGCCTCCACAGGATCGTTCAGCCAGTGCTAGAAGCTTTCAAAGAATCATCCAGATCCTACGATTGCGTACAATGCGCGATTCTGACGTTCCTCTCCTAGGGCCGGTATCAACGATGAGACGTTTCGATGGTACTGGAGGCGGGGGATACCGCTCAAATGTGAGGGCAACCGAGCAAAGAGGGTAATATGGTGGAGGCCAGGTAGGGCGCCTGGGGCCACGACTAACGACGGGACCGCCGCCGGTGCATCCCAGAATCCGTATGTAGGCTCTGCATCATGGGTACCGCATACATGAGGGTGGGCGGCCACTTTACGAGGACAAAGTAGCACAAAACGCCAATCCAGCCGTATTTTATTGCGATGGGAGGTGCAATATGGTAGCACCGGCCTCTCACATGCTGCTGGGATCGCGGTGCTCCCAAGTGCGCGGCGACATATTGGCTCGACCAAGCACAACAGGCTATATAATGTCAAACACGTTGCTGATAGAGTTACACATAATATACCCATGTCTAGGGGGTGACCAAGGTGACGAGGCGCTCGTTCTTTGCCCTGTCGCGGCGGATCTGCATTGGTTGAGGTTCTTCCAAAGTCATTTCTCGCCAAAGTCCTGCAGCGCCAGTGAGCGCAGGTTGTGATGTCGTGTTGTTATCTTTGTCAAACGGGTTTCTCAACGGCGATGCCGTGGGTTTGAGGGTGAATGCCAGCAAGGATAGGTTCCGCTTGGACACACGCGATGGCCTCCTCTGTTGGGTAGCAGTGAGCTGCAGCTGCAACTGAGCATTCACACCTTCCAGACTCTGGATGTCCTTTCTGTACTGTTTGATCTGCAGATGGAAATCACAACAAGTGGGAGGCACAATGTGAATGATACACACTCCTCTGGATGCCTCTTCTTGCTGCAGCTCCACCAATCTCAATTCCGCCGTGCGTGCTTCCAGCTGTGCTGCGGCGGTAGCAATATCCTCCTCCAAACGATGGTGATCCTGTTCTTCCTACATTTAGGAAGTCAGTCCTATCACCAACCCCACTCGCACAAGCGAATCGACCTTTGAAAGCCTGATCTGCAACAGCTCGAGCACTCTTTCATTGACACAACCCTCCAATGGCTCCTCCCTGCTCTATTCCTTGAGGATGGCCTGCGCTTGGTCGATCTGAGAAACAGATTCAGCGCCAAATTTGCGTGCACAAGGAAACATGGGTGGCCAACATTGTTGTACGCGTCCCTGGTCATGCGTCGCACGTCGAGCGCAAAGGATAGAACCTCGTTCAGAATTTCATTACCATGGTTGAGCATGCGCTCTACCAGAAGCTCAAACATTTTGTCCTGTGTTGCCCGAGCCTTATGGGTCTAACATCAGATCAGCGCTGGTGTCAGAGTACGCGCTGGAGCTCCTAGGAGCGGCGCGGATCCCCCAGGACGGCAGTGGAGACGCTGTCGCACAAGTGTCAAGATCGGACACAGGCAAGGGGTAACAGAGTCGGAGGACCGAAGTCCGAAACGTATATACGTAGAATAGAATGAAATAGAAGGGAGGAACTCAAGAGTGAAGTCGGAGCGGAGTCGGAGACGCGTCGGAGACGCGTCGGCGTGAAGTCGATAAGTCGGAAACGTTGGTGGAGTCGAGATCGGATGCGGACCAAGCCTAAGCTCGTGTGCTAGGCTGCTACGCGCTCTGAGTCCGCAGGAGGAATGGAGTGAAGCTTAGTCGATATTCGAACTGACTATCTACGGTACAGTTCGACGGTTTATATGTACAAAAGAGAACAATGGTAAAGTCGGAGATGTCGGAGATCGGAGGTGCCATTCGGCACACAAAGGGAACATACGGAGACGAGAGATATCGTATGGAACACAAAGGGAACATATCTACGGAAGAGGCGGAAAGATCGGACCGAAAGATCCGTCGCAAGCGACGGGAAACTAAAGTCTACAAAGGGAAGCTATGATGTCAGACAAAGGGAACAGGAAACAGGAAAATCGGAGTTGAATCCGTTCAAGATCTGGAACCACCGGGGCGTTGAGCCGCCGGTGGCTCGGTGCATGTGATAGGCGTATCCCGCCCTCGACCGAAACGGGAAAGTCGGGATCGGCGTTGGTGAAGAAGTCGGCGAAGGGTCGGAGATCGGATCGGAGGAGATCGGTGTAGATCGGTGACGATCGGCGGAGCGGATCGGCGTAGGTCGGTCTGGATCAACACGTGACAACAAGGCAGGGAAGCAACTGAGAATATATACAAAGATACGAGATGAATACACATACCTGTTGCACAAGGCAGGGAAGCAACTGAGAGAACAAGTCTGAGTTGCTCCCTGATGCGACAGGTGACTATATAGTAGCTGAGTAATCCATCAGCAACATGAGGGATGGTCCAATGAGAGAGAGGGAGGCTCCTCGGGTGCCCGGCACGTGACCAGTGGAACGGCCTAGGAAGGCCGCGCAATGTGTGGAGGCCCTAGGAGGCCCGAAAGGATAGAAGAACGTATGGAGCTCCTAGGAGGCCCGAAAGAATAGAAGGAGCCTCCGGGAGCTCCTAGGAAACCTGAAAGGGTAAAAAGAGTGTGTGTCTTGGGCGGACTGCGGTCCCTCAGTCGGGCGGTGCAACCACCCGGGTGAGCCACCGTGGATGTCTGGGGAAAGCCTGTCGGCTTGGGCGTAGGCCGGGGGCGAGTGCTACGGCTTGCCCCGCTCGGCCCACTGGGCAAGCTCACCTGGGTAGTCAACGATCCTGACTCGAGACGCGCGACTGGCCACGAGGCTATGTGGCGCGGCGTAGCTATAGTCACCCGCAGGGTGTAGACATCTTTGTTCCTACGACTACTGGTGTAAACTAGTCTTGTTAATAAAGGGAGAGGAGGGCGGGACGAGAAAAACAGCCCGTGGGGCTCCACCTCGGATGAGAGCGAAGGCAAACAGCCAGCAAGGCGACCTCCACCTCCCAAGAATTTGCACCGCCGCACGTGACCTCCGCTCCGGTGCGTCCCCTCTTGGGCGGACTGTGGTCCCTCAGTCGGGCGGTGCAACCACCCGGGTGAGCCACCGTGGATGTCTGGGGAAAGCCTGTCGGCTTGGGCGTAGGCCGGTGGCGAGTGCTACGGCTCGCCCAGACCACAACCAGACGGAGTGCGAGCACCCGGCTCACCCGAAACCTGCTGTCGTGGTCTCCGACGGTACTGGCGCGGCCTGTCCGAGGGAAGGAGTTGCATGTGAGGGGAGAGAATGCCCTCCACTACGCGCCAGTAGCGCAGGAACGCGTCTGAGGCCCACCGGCTGGCTTTCTTGATAATGTCGGGCGAAACGCCTGCCAGCAGAAGCTCGGTCGTGCCTCCGATTCGGAAGGAGTGGCCCGTGAACCTCGGGAGTCCGGCCTGAGACCATATGGCGTTGCATCTCCTCATGAAAAATCTTCGAGTGAGGGGCCGAGAACCGAAGGAGGTCTTGTAGGCGAAGAGGTGACTGGAATTCGACGGGCCATTCCAATAGAGGTGATGGCGGAGAGCCCGGATTGGGTCAGACGATCCCTGTTGGCTCAGGATGACCACGTCTTCTCCTCGACTGAACTTCGTTTTTGTCGACGGAAGGTGGATGATATGTGAAGGGGAAGACGGGGAGGGGATGGCGAAGTCGGCGCGCTTGGGAACCCTTTGAACGGCCGCTGGAGTCGTTGACGCCAGGAGGATCTCCCCCAGACAACACTGGCCCCAGAAGGCCACGCACGCGGCCGCGAAAATGGCCATATCGACGTGGTCGGAGAGGTCAAGACCGGAACGCAGTATCCGGAGCATGTTTCGGTTGACTGGGAGGCGGGGCGTGCGGAACGAGGAACTTGGCCGCCTGTTCTCGACTCCGTTTAGGACATAGCTCAGCTGTTTTCCGCCTTTCCATTCTGCATTCTGTGCGACGTGCCATGCCTTGAGACCCGCCAACGAGTTCCTCGCCGTGCTGCCCGCGTGTATGCCCTCGCTCGAAGCGGCGAAGGCACACAGAACCAGCTCTTCTGCTGGCAGCCAGAAACGCGGGTGAACTCTCTCTTTTTTGCAAAACTTCACGAACCAATTGACAGCGCCATTGTATCCCTTCAAGGTTGAGGGAGCCCATCCATGTCGTAGGGCCTTCGCCAAATGGGCCTCCGTCCTCCGGGAGAACTTGATGCTCTTTGGATTATGTAGCCGCGCTAACGGAGACTTCGTGTCCGGGAGAACAAAATGGTCGATGGTCTGGAGTGGATTGCGCCTGGGGCCCTTAGTCCCATTCAGTTTGTTGGCAAGTGTGGTGGTCGCGGATGAAGTGCGCATGCCCGCTTGATGCGGCTGGAGGTCTCTATTCGTGCCGTACATATTCTATTGAGTTTCTACGGGATCATGTCCAATAAAGGCTTTCAGGGACTCTGCGGACTCTGAACTAAATCACGGATACAAAGCGGAAGTTTGAAGGACAGGCTTGTGCGTGGCGAATCTGGCGGTGGGACGCCTCTCGATGGAGCGTCCACCTTGTTCTGCTGACGGCACGTACTCAGAGATGACCCAGATGTTGTGTTTGCGCATGAGGGCGACCACTCTCTGCAGTACCCGGTTCTGCTCTACGTTCCTCGACTTCCCAGCCTCCAAGGCCCCGATGACGCCTTGGTTATCTGATTTCATCACCAGTTTGGCGTCTGAAATCCTGACTGCGATCGCGAGTCTCAGGCCTAACTCCACTGCGACCATCTCCCCCCAACCTATGTCGTGGCCGTCCGATTTCCAGCCCGACGAGAACCACCATGCCTCCCACGAGCCATCGATGACCACTCCGACACTATACGATGTCGACACATCTACCCATAGGGCGCACGATGAGGTGACTTGTGGCTGGAGTAAAGTGCTGCCGCAGTCTGAGTGCTGGAGCCGTGTCGTCCAAAACATGATATCTTCCAGTACGTGTGCGTTGGGTTTCTTCCTGGCGAACCAAGAGAGCGAATGATGGAAGGAGCTTGCAAATTTTGAGATGTGAACCAGCCACGATCTTCCATCGGGGACGGCCAAGCTGCAGTTTACCAAGGTGCCGAGCACTCGTTCTACCTCCTTCCTCATAAAGGATGCTCCTGGTTTCCATGCCTCCAGTCTGCCCAGATAACGGGTCTTCTTGTCATCCGGGATCAATACCCGCTTCTTGGTCAGGTTCCACACGAACCCCAAGTACCTGAAACACGTTGCAAAGTCGTGCATCTTGGACGCTTTCCACGGCCAGCCCAAGGTGTCCGCCAGTTCCCCGATCTCCGCAAGACTGAGCTTGTAGACATAATTCCCTTCTGCGTCACTGCTCACCGGGTAGCGGAAGAAGGCAAAATCATTGACCCACTTTTTCAGCGCGTCGACCCCTGTTGCTGCGTATATAGCCACCATGCAGTCCGCGATGCGCCCCCACACGCCCGGGGAACTGGCTGGACTGAACGGCACGTTATGGTCTATCCAGTATTGGTCACGCCAGTGAACCAAGAAGTGTCGCTGTTGCTCGGGGCAGATTGGAATGCACCAAAAGGCCGAGTCAACGTCTAGGGTTGCGACTTGCATCCCCGGTGGGGCGTCCATGACCAACAAGGCCATTTCAGAAAACGATCCCCATTCGCATTGGAAGGCGTCCGTATCTATTTCGCTATTCACGGACGCTCGTGATGGGTCGTCCTGGGGAAACAAGAAGTCTTGTATCATCCTCATTTCTTCCGTTCCTGCTTTCGGGACTGCCCCCAATGGGGACATTCAAAAGGGCCCGATCAACGCCTCCAACCGCGATTTTGAGAACGGGCCCGTGTATCTGCCGGCTCTTCTCTCCTTGATGATATAAGCGTCAATGGCTTCGCTATTCTCCAGCGCCGAACGATGATTAGGAGGATCGTAAGATTCTGAAACTATTGACGTAACGCCCATGTTGAATCCGTGTAAAATGTTAAATACTATGTTGCCGAACTTGTCTTGCAAGCCGTAAGTCTTGAGTGCCTCGTCCCAGCGACGCGCTACAAATGGGGTGACGATCGGAAATATCTCAGGCGACGACGGCGCACAACTGCGCTCTGGGGTTGACGCCTCCGCAAAGTGAGCATCTATGGTCGCCTTTCAGACAATAACCGGCGTATTTCCTCGAGCATCCTCCCGCCATGTTGAAGAAGAAGCAGTACTGCCTCCCTTTGACATTGCGAACTGTGCGGTTGTCGCCTCTGATGAGGACGAGCAGCTGGCCATTGACGAGTGAGTCCGCTCTGCAGGACAACACTCTGTGTCCTTTGCCGCCGCAGACGAAACACCTGGAGTCGATGGTCTTGGGTACAAATGGCTGCGCTCGTCCGGCCGAGGCCTTCGGTGCCTGTTCCACTCTCGTGCCTGCGCTCCGTGTCGCGTTTTGGGTCTGAAAGGGCTGGAGGGAAGCCATAACTTGGGCTTTGATGTACGCCAGCTCGATCTTCCTCCAAATGTTCCTGTGGAACGTGCCCGGATCGATCCCTTCCAGGTGACATCGTCGCCGGACTTTTGCATTGTAGGCCAGCCATAGGGACCAGTTCTCGGACGTAGCCCCGTCCGTGCGGCATATTCGCTCGAAGTGCTTCTTCCAGCGCGGATAATCCGCTTGGAAGTAAACCTTGATGAGCTGTAACAGGCGTTTCCAGGCCTGGTACCATTTGCCAAACGACAGCTTCAGCTCGCCGGCCGACGGAAGGATCTTCTCCGCCTGTATGAGACCTTTGGTAGGATCAACGGCGTACATGTCTGTCATGAGCGAAGACGTATTGCATCCGTATTCGGCGACGGCTTTGTCGGTGAGATAGTTCAATGGGATGTGAGACGTCCACCCTTCTTGGAACTTTTTGTGAATGGGGTCTGGAATCGAGTAGCAATCCACTTTCGCTTGTCTGCCCTTGATTAGCTGAGGGCGACGCGGGCCTCTGGACACCTGCTGGACTAGATGTGTTGGCCCACTGGCTGCCCGATGGTGGCCACCCCTATGATACCCGTGGCGCCGTACTCGGCTTCTCGGGCGTCCAGGATTTGCTCGTTGGACGCTGAACGAACTGCTTGCCGATGATCCGTCGGATTCTGACCCGGACGAGGAATCCCTGTCCTCCGATGATGAGGGTGACCAGCCATGCCTGCCTGAGGAGCTTACTCCTTCGTCATCCTCGCTTTCCTGGTCCCGACTCCTTGGGCTATGCGAATGTCTCCGACGCCTCTTCCTCCTCCTTGAGGGCGAGCGACGAGCGTGCCGTCTACCTCGTTGTGAATCCTCCCGGGGTCTCTTCCTCAGGCGTTCTACGGAGTGGTCCCAAGACTGAAGACTCCCTGAACTGGCGAGCCGCCTGGACTGTCCGCTCCCGTCGCCAACGAGCGTACGCTCACTCCGGGATGAGGTAGTCGGTGGGGTGGGGGGTTGTGAACCATCTGTGTGAGCATCAGCATTGAGCCCTATGGCCTTCAGGCTGAGTGTAGACCCTGAAACCGAGGGGGAAGAAGGGCCCTATGGCCGAGTGCTTACACCCCTATGGGTGGGCGGCTGATGACCCTATGGTCTACCTGCTGCCTATGCAAGACGGGGGAAGGAGGCAATCCTATGATTGCCCCTCTCGACGGACAATGGGGAAGGGACGGGACGTGGAAGGACCGCAGGGGAAGGGGGGGGAGACCTATGTCCATAGCAAGGTAGTGTCCTCACCTGGGTCCTCTGAGGGTGGCGGGAGCTGCACTCCATCGTCTTCTCCGTTGGGATCTGTGTCCGAGGGCGCCGACGTGTCCCCTTCTGCCGACTCGACTTCCCTTGGATCGCTCTCTCTCGACTCCGACACTTCACTCTCTGCCCGGTTGTCAGGTTGGCCGCCCTCGGAGTCTCCGGGTTCCCCTTGGTCGCTGCGGATGCCGTGGAAGGAGGGGCCGATGCATTTGATGCTTCATCGATGCTATCGGCCAGTTCTTGTCTGGTGAAGAGTGCCCTATAATCTGGGTGCTCCCTGTAGAATCGGAAGTCAGCTAGCAGATGCTGCCGGACGCGGGCCTTGAGAACTGAGACCGTGCCTTCACCGTTTATTCCAAGATGCTCTGCCAGTCTCTGGAGTTCATCCTTGCGCATTGACGAGAGACGTTTACTGAAGAGCGGAGCCCTCTCCTCCCAAGGAGGCATTGCCAAACTGAAGAGTAATAGATTGGATATGAGAAAAACAGCCTGTGGGGCTCCACCTCAGATGAGAGAGAAGGCGAACAGCCAGCAAGGCGACCTCCGCCTCCCAAGAATTTGCACCGCCGCACGTGACCTCCACTCCGGTGCATCCCCGGGAATGTGGGGAAACAGGGAAAGACGAGTACTGGAGGCGTGCCATGACAGTTGGGTCGTTTCCAGTAGCCAGGCCCAACAACTTACTTTCAATATGCGGGTGCTTAGGACTTCGACAGCCTTCCTATTGGGTTCTTCAGACATCTCAGCTATCACATTCATTAGTTCGTCAATCTGTTTCTTATGGGCCTGTGAAAATGTCAGTACGCATGGCACGACTGGTCGAATAATACATGACCATCATGTCGAAGCTTGCTACCATATGCACCTATGCTATCTCTCGCTCTCTGAGGGTCTCGTCCCACGTGTCTTGCCATTTCCGTAGCATAACAGCCACAGCATCTGTCCCGGGATCCTGTAGGACAGTTGTTTGACGGTACATGGGGTGGGGACACAAGTCACGAATGGACTCACGTCTATGTCGACGTCCTCCACATCCTGATCGTCCATATTGCAATATCTTTTGCGCCACTTGGAGGCGGCAAGGTGTGAGTGTGCGCTCAGGAGATCCATAATGATAATCCCACGGGACGCGCAACTGGATCAAATAGTGCACGCGGATCCGGGGGTCCGCAGGCAGGCACAGAGAATGCGAACTCCGCAACACGCTCCCAACACGTGCTGATCCATGAGGGAAGGGAGACTCGAGGATGATGGGTGTGTTAGACAGCACGAGAAGGTGGTCAGTGACCACTATGCCCTGCTAGAAACAGATATAATGAAGCATGCGGAAACCAGCCCCACAGCACATCAAGTCATTCCCGTTCCCAGACACAGACTTGGAAGATGGGCCGCAACCGCATTGCAATCATGCCTTCCAGAGATGTGAGCTTGGTTTCTCTATGGTGCATTTCCGCTCATCCCAGGTACAGATGAGAGAGCTCCGAATTTGCAGCCGCCTATACGTGGGCAGCAATACCGCACCCTGAGGGGTGACCGTTCTTGTCCGCGAAAGACACCATCAACCGTCACATCGCTACCCCATACCGGAAAGTGTTCTCAATTCTGGCAATGTTCAACCTTATGTGCACGATATCGTTGTGCATCTCGAAATCAGGAGCCGCGTCCACCGAATTTTACTATTCTTCAACAGACACAAGAGACTGCCCGCGAATCAATCCTTGCCTAGAGGATGTCGTCCCGAATACAAAGGCGACCTCTTAGCCATGCGGTTATCTGCCCACACCCCCAGAAGCCCTGTCAACATGAGAGCAGGAGCCTGGAGGGTTGCAGACGAAGCCATGCAACAGTAAGTGCATTGCGTCAGTTTACGAAATACCAGACACGCTGACTTTGCAGTAGATTCACCCTTTACCGATTGACCTGGCTGAATTGTCAAAGATTTGCAGCAGAGATATGGCTCTAATAGTGCTCTATGTACATATTGCAATGTATAAAAATACTTCCAATAAAATTTACGCCCTGCCTTTTCCCTTTCCCTGAGGCCCCTGTGGGTGAGAAGTGGGTAGAGCATCACCGCTACCACGCCCTCGACGTGTCCTACTCCCCGCTGTGACAGGACCCTGGGCAGTAACTGCAGCAGGGGGGGATGAAGCGGCATGAGGGATCCTCGCACTCAAGGACACTCGTGCAATCTCTTTGAATGCACGGAACACGCGAGCCCCACGCTGATTGCGAGGCTGTTGGTTAGCTCGCCATTGATCTGACAGCAGTGGCTGTTTGGAACCGCTGCGACACCCAGCGACGTGCCCGCGGAACCACGCTTCGTTGGTCTCCGTCCATATCCCATGATCCCAAAACTTATTGCCCTGAGGCAACCATGACACAAGAACACGCCGGCTGGAACTCCCTTCTTCGGCTAGCAGCGAAGGTTGAACAACGAGATGGAACAGAACAAAACGCTAACTTACAATCAATGACCACGTATAAATTGCATACCAGGTGCTGCTCTTCCGGCGACAGAATATCGTCCACGTATCGTGCACCGTTGGTATCCACTGCAAATGCCGCCCAAGCCTTTTGATCTTCAGAGGGCCCTGCTGCCCCAGACTCAAGCAGGCCGGCGGGGCCATATTCCAACGTGATGCGCCATATCAGACCACCCATCATCAATGCCGCCCTTGCGCGTTTCATCTTGAAGAACTCCATGACGATGTATTCCCATGCCCTGAAATCCTTTGCGGTCGTGTTCCCAAGCCATGTATCCCGGATTCTGAACGGCAGGCTGTGCCTAGTGGACTGCCTGGGCGTCTCCGGCTCGTTGTTGGACGTGTCACGAACATATGCCAGTTGGCAGGCGACGCCGTTGTGCAAGAGGTGTTGAGCCAAGCCAGTGACCGGATTGCAGCCCTCCACAGGTGGATGATCCTGGAGATAACGCACCACCTGCATTGTGGACACGGCGCTCTTAAGAATCAAGCAGGCCGAAGGGGCAGCCTCCTGAAATTGATCGTGGAGCTGGAAGACATACATGAGTGCCGTGATGGGTGGATGTATTTTCCTTGCGTCACCAACACCCACATTATCTTCAAATTCGCGCGTTAACTTCATCATGTGACAAGTCAACCGCCCGGCACCGACCTGACTCAATTGGAACTCGAAGTTCCAGTCATGAACCACCAGCGGCAAGTTGGCAACGCTGGTGTGGATCTTGACGTACCGTGTATAATCGCGCAACCAGGCAACCAGCGCGATGTCCTGACCAAACATCAAGCCATTGGGAGCGGTTTTGCTCCCACCGTATATGTAAAGCAGCCTGTCCAGATCGTATGGCTGCAGCGGGCCATTTGTCATATCCCCGCGCCAGTGGATGGTGTTGCCGTAGTTGTATCCGCAGGTGAAGTCTCTCGAGCAATCCACCAAGTGAGAATGATAGCGAGAATGGATCTTGAAATGGTCGATCGATGACCTCCACTATCGAGTCATGATACTTCTCGTAAGCGGACCAAAAAGTGTCCACCTCCTCACTGGTGAACCCGAATTGCGGTTGACCGCAGTTGGGATGCCGAGGCAGGAGTAAGGGTTCATGCATGGCGTCGCCTTCCGCATCCCAACCATAATCTGCGTCGACGATGTCGGGATCACAGCTGGCAAAGCCCGCCACCGCGCCCTGTGGAGGAGCAGGTCGACGAGGGCCGCTATGAGGTGGAAGACCCCAACTGCCGTACACATCGATTTCGCGTCTTCGAAGATTGATCCTAAGATGGTGAAAATCATACGCGAGGAGGACGTTGTGTGCGGATGCAGGTGAAACTAGATGCCTGACAAGGTAATCGCCATCCCGCACCCACAGATACACGTCGCATGCAGGGCCTTCCGTGATCACCTCCTCATCAGTCGGAGTCCACGATGGGCAATTGGCACGCATCAGGGCCACAGCATCCTCTGCATCGTGCCAGCGGAAGAATGTGTTCATCGACAGGATGCCTTCGTCTCCTTCCTGCTCTGGACGTACATCCGGTCGATATACGGCAAAGGAATCCGTCATTCGTCTGGTGATGGAATGCGTGTCATGATCTGGAACGGCTGTCCCCAATACCATGTACATAATCTCCAATTCCTGCTCGTCGACGGGCCACCAGAACTGGATCAGAAGACCCCAAGCGCAAACCATTTTGATCAACGGCATTAGATATTCGTCGCGCCTCCTGCAGTGCAGCGATAATCCCACGTGCTCAGGCCCGAAGAGTCTAAAGACCGGAGTTGTGAACAGCAAATCAATCCATATTGGCGTCAAGGTGCCCGCCCTCAAGAGATGTTCCCGAATTTCCTCCAGGGTAAGATGCCACCGGAGATAGGCAAACAGGTACGACACCTCGCGCTGAGCAAAAGTGTGGGCACGCAAGCGAGTGGAAAAGGACACCCTCATGTTCATGTCCGTGGGCCTTGCCATTTCTTTGTATTCGATCCCAGCAAGCCTCGCATGTGTGGCAGCAGGATGCATGGCAAGGCTGGTCTCTGTCTTGACCAAAGCGTCCATGATGTACCACCACTGCTGTAACTTTGCCCTGCTGAAAAAAAAAAACTCTGAATGCCTCTGGCGATCGTCTGTTCGTACACCGGCATATCGAATAGGGAGGCGAAGAGTGGGTGATCGGCCAGCTGCCTAGGGTCGCGGAGCATGAAGCACAGTCCAAGGTTTCGATTAGGATTGTAAGGGATCACACCGTGGAAGGACGTTCAATGGATGACTCGTTCATCGGCGAACACGTCCCACAATTCCTCCTGAAGCACCAGTCCGTATCGATTGCACAACCGCTCGACTTCGGTGGACCCGCCATCTGCCGGCACGGCAGACATGAACAGATCCAGGGCATTGATCTTGGTCATCATGGATGAGCCCCGTACTGGGGTACTGAAGGGACCAAATGTTCGAACGGTGGGAGGATGGACAGGATCAGACGGGAGCTCCCAATCTGTAGGTGCGCAATGCCAGTCAGGGTATATGTCTGTCCAGCTGTGCAATTGCAGGCCCAATGGAACACAGTTTTGCTGTCCTGCGCTGCGGGGAAGTGCAATGTGAGCTTGCTCAAACCTGCTGGTGTAGGGATGATGAAATCTGAGCATGATCTGAACCTCGTCCTCCGACGCGGAGGGGGCCTGGTGAGTGACTGGGGTGCTCATGTTTGCTACAGCACGAGTTCCCCTCAGCTGCGATGCACGGCTGGAGCACATCTACTCACTGAATAGTCGCAAGATCAGAAGGCATTGTGGCGAGGGGCTGGGGGAAACAGAGCGCGATGGGACAGCCTGTGACGATATAAATATGGACGACCTCGTGCTGATTGCTATTACCTATAGCAGCTTGCCAGGGTGTTCTTGACGATTTCATCACTGCCTCAAAAGCTTCGCCGCACGCCCGCAAATGATTGACACTCACACCGAAGAAGCTAATCACAAAGCAATTATGAGGCGGTGAATCCGCTGATATTGCACGCATTTCTGTTCCACAATAATGTAACTGACTACGACTACTTCACGGCAACCCTGAACAGACTGACACATTGCTTGATTCCAGAATGGGACGAAGTGACTTCCTTCAAGCAAGAAAGTTGCGGTTAGTATTGTGCCCGAGTCGCCCACAGATACTGACCACTTTCGCGCCTACTTCCACATATCGCAGCAATCAAGGCCAGCTGGAGCTCGGTATGAAGAACCTTTCCTGCGAGGTGCGATTTCAGACTCTTGTTGCTCGTGTGAAGGACAGGACTTACCCTATCTCTGTGACCCAACGGCACTTCCGGCGAGACAGCCCCAGCAGAACTGTCGAGCCGTGTCAGGGAGCTCCGACACCAGAATGCAGGCAACTAGCACCTTTGCTCTGGTTTTACATGCGCTATCCCTGCGCAGACTTCAGCGATGCTACAGAAAAGGGAGGGATACTTATCTGGTTTATAGCCAACGGTGACTGCAAACGGCTTCTACAAGGTACTGTTTACGACCGCATCAGTCAGCTATTTTATTGTTATCACGACGAAACGAAACCAGCTCACCTTACAGGTCAGGTGTGGCCCACAACGCCATAACCGTCCACGTCGGTGTCGGTTGGTTGAATAAGTGAGATATGCTGCCAGGCACGGTCGAGGTCAGAGATAATGAGCCAGGCGTCGAGGTCCGTGTATGGTTGCCAGTTCAAAGATCCGGTGAAGTCGTCCTCGGTCAGCGGCTTCGAAGTAGTCGGTTCGCACGTTAGGTGCAGTTGGACTGCCAGATCGACCCCGCACGGCAGAGCTGGGTGCAGGTACTCTGTACGGCTGCATGAGGGTCTCGGCCAGCGACACCGCCTGCACCAATGAATGGCGGGATGGGTGTCCGGGACACAACAACCCTCGTCGCAGACTCCACTGAACCGTTGAAAGCGCTTTTCGGCTGCTTCCTCAGACGGACGTCTGGTACTGGCTAGCCTACCAAGCGCCCTCGTAAGCCCAGCGGGGCGAACGAAGTGTGCCAATCGACAGGTCAGCGACAGAATTAACCCCCGCGGTCGGGCCAGGCCCGTGTCAATGCCGGGGTCACTCAACGTCGAGACACATGTCGACAATGAACGTGACAGCGCCGAGGCGGGATGCCCCAGCGTCGAAGCGCTGACCAACTCCTGGCTATCATAGCGACACTAAAGTGAGCCTGATGATGACATAATTGTCTCACACCACCGGCGCGAGTTAGCGGGCGCGGTCTCACACATGGGCATGCACGGGTGCTGCCCCGCTCGTGTGCTGCCGGTCTTTGCCGAGCAGGCGCTGTCTCATGCACAGGCACTATCCCGCTTGCGTGGCTGCACCACCGCCCGCTCCTCGCATGGCCATTGGTCCTTGCCGGGCACTCTTTGTGGCCCTCAGTCCAGAGCCTCGCCTGCCGTCAAAGTCCAAAGGTGTGGTTCAGCCTGAGAGCCGGGCACTCGTCGGCCTGCTCATCGCCCGCTCAGTGCCCGTTAGCTATTTCTGGGGTATATTTACTGCTTATATCCTTGGGATTCAGCAAAGGAAACAGTTATTCTATTTATTTCGCTATTTTCGGCGGAAATTGATGGTAAATTTCACCTGGAAATAGAGAAAGAAATAGTTTATCTATTTCCGAGGGAAACAGGTAAGTATATACAAGATATATTTCTTAAACTATTTACTTAGCTATATCTGCCGGAAATATTACAAAAAAGTCCCTGTGTATGGAACTATGGTTGCTATATCGGACTATGTAGTGCTGTATAGTCATGGGATTTTTTTCAGATGCAGGAGCTACTGATGTGACACCTCTTGTTGATGAAGAGCCGGTCACCCTCTACTTTCTCCCTACCCTGCCAACCTGTTTGTATAGAACCTGATGGCCCCGGTTGCCCAGGAGATCCGCATTGGACTCTGCATCAGCACCTCCCATGGCAAGGTAATCAAGCTCTACAGCATACACTGGGACTGCAGTAGCTTCTACGTCAGCAGCATGGTCTGTGCATACGGCCACGACTATTGCACAAACAACATTATTGTGTGCATGCCATCCCACGCAGCCAGCATTATCTTCTATCAGTGGTGTCACCACAATCTCAACAAGCTTGCGGTGGCAGAAGGGTAGTGAGTGTGGTCACCGAGTAGGGATGCCTGACATGCTTCAGGTTTAGCCTTGGAGACCAAGACCACAGATCTCACTGGGTCTGTGACTGCATCTTTAGACCAAAAAACTGATGTAAAAATCTTATAAAACTTTTGTATCTTTTCATGATTTCATACAGAGGAAATCTTAAACCAGATTAATGATTTTTAATCCATTTTCACAGCTAAAAGTTTTAAACAAAAATCTTATAAGTTTATCATGATTTCTACATCATTTATATTTGCATTTTGGCTTGAAAAGTTTGAAACCATGTTTTCATAAAATGTGTATTTCCTTTGTACCTTCGTATATGTACTCAGTTGCTTCCCTGCCTTGTGCGACAGCATCTCTGCCGCCGTCCCAAGGGATCCACACTGCTCCTAGGAGGTCCAGCACGTACCCTGACATCATGTTTGCTTGTCCAGCACTGTATACAGATGCACTAATCATAATTATGCTAGTATAAGATAAAAGTGATATGTACAATAGCAATGGAATTTTTGGCAGATGTAGGACTATGAACATGATCATATGATCTTATAAGAACTCAACAGTATATTATCTACATCAGATAGGCTCATCTCCTGCCTCTGAACTTCTAAGTATTCCGCCTCTCTAGCATTACCATTGTGCATGACCCTGACTACATGCCAATTCTGGGGTGTTTGGCCACGTAAGAAATTTTCAGATATCACAAAGTCGGAGTATCTGAATATACTCTTGTCAACAAAGCAAACCACAGTAGCACATGATTGCCGTACCTTGAGAACATTGCCTGAGCTTGCAAAAATTGATCCGATGTTGATGTGAAGTTATTGCCAATCAGGAGGCCCTCATGGCTAACTCTAACATACTGATCCTCTGCTTGCAGAACATTATCCACTGTCACCTGGCTGAGTCTATGTGGCATTGTCATCAGCTAGGATTTACCCATAACTAGGACATGAAACTCACTCATGCTCAGCTACAAGCTGATTGATATCCCTGCATATCTCCAAAAACTGTTCAGTAGCGGTAGAAAGATCAATGGCTGGTGCCCCATCCATGTCAGTTGCAAGAAATAGCATTGCACTGCCAAACTAGTAGGCAATATCATACAATGCACATTATCACGTGTATGGTAAACTGTACATACCTGTAGGATGGGTAATGGCACATTCACAGTGTGCATCATATCCGAACCTGTCCAAATTTGAATATGCACTGTAAGCTGTGAAGCTGATGCAGAATCTGTGTTTTCCGTAGCCATGGCAAAGTCCACATTTGATGCGGTAGTTTCTTTCAGTCCTGCAAGTTTTGTGGATTCATAGCGGATGTAACAAGGGCAATGTTCTTAGCTTACCATCAGTGAGCAGTGGCCCAGGATGCTCGTTGCGATCCTCGTGCGAGAGGGCCGGCGATCCAGGACGTCCGAGGCCTGGCATGTGCACCTGCTGACCGCTGGCATGGACCTGCATATGGCTGGATTCCATCACCTCCTGAAGCGACGGTCCATCCAACCTGTGCTGTTGTACAATCATCCTACTTGATGTAGTATCCCTTTGACCGTCCTCATATTCTTTCGCCAGTCCCGTCTGCACCTGTGGTTTTGAGCCTCGGCCTTTACTAAACGTGAGGTACCCAGGCCAGCTCCACTTGCGTACGTCGATGGCGTCCATGCCGATTCCAATGGTCGGTATTGATAACATACCCCTTCCGCCGCCACCAGCCGCAGGTGCTGCCATCTCAGTTCTTGCTGAAGATAGCGGTGGAGGTGACGATCCGGACAGTCCGTTGTCGTCAAGTTGTTGCTCATGATCTTCAGTTGGGCCTCGAGCCGTGGAGCGTTGGGTGATCGCCGCAAGACGGTGCATAAGGTGTCTTGGTAGGGCAATAGGGTAAGCATGATCGATGTAACGCGTGGAAGGGATAATGTAGGGTGGCAAAAGCAGGCACGGCGCATAGTTGTCCGGAAGGGTTTCGGCAAGGATTTCAAGCTTGGGCGATACCTCGCGGTGGTAAGGATGGAGGCGGATACCTGAGTGGATTTCGGGGATAAATTATGCAATCAGTGCCAGTGATGCAGTACGAGCGCACCTAGGTGATCCGCGAAGTCAACGGCGGCTTCAACATCCCAGCTCCACGCCCAAACAGTGAAAAAGCGCTCCAGCTGAAGAGCGAGTGCTTCCTGCCCCAGTGTATCCAGGGTGGAAGTGAAGGAACCATGGCGAATCTGTAATGAATAGGTTCAGACGCTGATCATGAGGGCTGGACACTGAGCTCGCCTTCAACTCTTCGTAACCTCTCTGAAGCTGCGCCTTGACCGCGATATCGTTAACGGAGCTCTCGTCGTAGTCTAAGACGGTTTGTACTTGAGACTTCTCCGTTTCCTGCACTGTAGCCTGTGCTTTGCCTTTCGCCTGTGGCTGCTTGCGTTGTATAACGGAGCGCGCCCTTTTCCTCAATTCAAGACACTTGCAGACATCAATATGAGTAAGATTGCATACGAGCTCCAGGAAAATGGCTCACGGCATGGATCCAGAACCCATGTTCAGGAGAGATCGTCACCATGCGACGCCCTTGCGAGTGCACATCGGTCGCTTGAGCATGGGCGCCAAACGCACTGTCATTGGTGGTAAGCTACGTTGGCATGCAAGTCCCTCTAGGACAGATCTTACTCAGCGAAACTAACAAGGGCTTTGGCAAGTCCTATCTGCCTCAGAAGCTTGTCGCGAGATACAGCCCTTTCACGGGACGTGTAGAAGACGATGTGGGCCTGTTCCTGTGCATCCTCGTCTCCGGGCTCAACGAGATGAAGGGGCTTGAGCGAGGGATTGTATATGGTCAGATATGAGAGGCATGCCGGGCTATTCTCTGGCGAGTTCATGAGCGCAGACCGCGAGCGACGCGCTCCTTGTGCCACATACCGCATCCGGCCCCATCTGCATGCAACTACTGACGTCAGAGGAAAGAGAGGCCACCCCGCGCTCCCCACCAAGCTTCAGCTTCAACAATGATTTCGACCATACTACGCGCACAACTCATGCGTGCACCTCGGCGCCTTGTTCACTCTACTTGCGCTGCGCGTGTCCAAGACAACAAACAGTTCTCCGGAGCAAGTTGGAGCTACCAGACACCCAACAACTCTCCGCCTTTCAAGAGCAAATCTTCTGGCTACCCTGATAATGATCAGGGTGCTCCAATTGAGCCCAGTTCCGACATCAAGCAGGACAAGCTGGAGGAGGCGATTCGAAAGCGAGCGGAGGGGAAACCAATGGATGAAGACCCGACATCAAACAGCCGAGTGGGGTAAGCCCGCCCACTCGTCCCCGCGCACTGGACCTCACCGTTGTCAGAGGGCGACCCACCAATCTTGGCTGAGTCCTTGGTATGCGCACGACCGTAGTAAAAGAGGTACGAAGACAACTGCACGGTTACAATATTGTCTGATTTCGGTCTGTCGGACAGACCAAAGTGCAAAGCCCGTCTAAACTTGTATCATATAGTTTGTAACGTTACTTGTGTGCAACACGTTCGCCCCAACATCTTGCAGCGTTATCTCGGCGGGTCGCCGCTGGTGGCCGTGTAGATCATGCTTCCGATGAACACCAGAGCCGCGCCTAGCATTAGTTGGGCGTTCCACCCATTGCCAAACCACCACATCGAGAAGCAGAGTGAGATCGCTTTGCGGGCGGTGGTTACCAGGTTTGTCGATACAGGCGACAAACGGTACGTCTGACCGGAGTCAGCTTTGGACACGTATAACGGGTGCATGCACGTACCGAGCCTAATTGATGCACCCCCGATGTGCAGGCCAGCTGGGACGCCAGGTTGCCGCCCAGGATGGCATATGGGACTATAGCACCAAGGGGTGACTTCGAAAGGCTGGCTAGCCCGCTCCGAATCTCTTGTCGATACAGGACGAAGATAGGTAGGGACATGAGATGCTGGATCACCGAAGGTGAATCAGTTGTCTCCGTAGTGTGAATGCCTTATGCACTGACAGTGTAAAACATCCCTTCCTTCCACCACGGCCCGTACTTTTCGAAGACATAGAACTGGAAGATGCCCTGGAACCCGGTCAGGAAGAGCGCGATGGTAAGCAAGGCGATGCCTAGGGTATACTCCTGAGGACTGTAGTGCATATGATCCTTAGAAGGAGATCCAGGCTTCGAAAGTGTGGCGAGGATGACACCTATCGATATCAAGGCAACGGCACCCTGACGGGAGGTGAGTAGGAGGACCGTCATAGTATCATGTGTTTCGTGCGTACGATTTGCTTTGGCGTATATTTTGCCTTCAAAAAGAGCCAGTTCAGAAGCATCGCAACCGCCATGCCTGTACAGAACCGCTCGGTGAGGACTCGTGAGTGAAACGTGACTAGATCTCATACCTGCCGAGCGAAACAATATTTGAAGCGTGAAGGGCACGCGATACGCCAGTGCTTTGTTATTCATCAATGCGCCGGCGATAAATATGGTCACTTGCAGCGCCCAATGTCGTAGAGGGACGCGACGAGGCTTCAGTCGAGGAAGCATAGATACCAGCGAGCCTTGGCGGGCGGATGGATATTCGACGAAAGAAGGCAGGAGCTGTAGAGTAATGAATGCCATCTGTGCAAATGTGATGGTTACGCCTACCATCCGTCAGCCCGCAGAGCTACCACAGAATGGCAGGCATCGCGCACCGATACTTGGATTGATCAGGAGAAGTTCCTCGTATGCCCAGGCATTCCTTGATCCGATATGAATACGTAGGGAGAGCGAGCGCAGAAAGGCAGCTACGTACGTGCAGCATCCGCCAAAAACCAATGAAAGCGGCCATACGTAGTCTAGCATCGTAGGCTCAAATGGCGCGGGGGTCTTGCTAGCCGACTTCTCATCTTTGGCGTTCGCTGGAGTAGTCGACCTAGAGGAGGGCTCATAGCTGAAGCTGATCTCTTCTACGGGGGACTCGGATGCCGCTAGAGATGTTTGGCGAATCTTCCTGCGGCGCGTTTCCATTCAGACCAAACGCAAGACGGGGTCCTTCAGCCTGATGCGTGAGGGCGTGTAGCCCTGCGTATATGTAGGGGAGATCTAGCTTTCGCAGGCGGAGAATCTAACGAGCGCAAGTCACAGACAGTGCAGACTTGAAGGCGAGAAGGGAAACCCGACGCGCGCGGACGGTGAAATCGGCGTCCCAACCACGTATGCGTGGTTCTCATCAAGCGCTTTTCCACTTTCACATTGGCCGCAACCTAAGCTCATGTCGACGCATAACAACAGTGCATATCATTGGTGCATTTGAGTAATGCATAAAGGGTACAATCGATTGATAGCACTACCAGCCGAAGATTAAGTCGGAAACTTGCCCAAGCATACTCTTGTTTGGGCTCGCATTGGCCTGCGCCGCCGCCGTCGCCGGCCCACCGATGGCACCGGGCGTATTCTGGTTTCAAAAGTTAGTCGGCAAATACTCCTGCGACAGAGAACGAAATCACCCACAGCCGCTGGCGTACCGGGCTTCTTGAAAGCAGCTGCCGAAGGGGCCAATCTGACAGGAGTTCCTACAGTGAGTGTCTGCGTGACCAAAGCCCGACTGCTGGGGCTACTTGGAGGTAAAGGCGAATCAACAGCCATCTCATCAGGTGCCCCTGTAGGGGGAGGCGGTGACCAAGTCACCCCAGACCGCACGGACTGCCCGAGTAGTGTCTCGGCTTGAGCAGGATCCTAACAGCTTGTCACTACCAGGTATCATGAACGAGCTCAGGTGAAGACTTACAGCCCATTTAACACCCACCATCCAACTCCCGCCAAGGACCTCTCCGCTCTTCCTCACGGCCCGCATGGCTTCCGCAGCACCTGGATATCCGATACGAAAGCAGTTGCTTATTTCCGTGGATGGATCTGGAGCTGTGCATGCGCCCAAAGAGGAAAAATACGAAACGGTCGTGGAATATTTATCAGGAGGGTATCCGAAAACGATGACATATACGGGGTCCTTTTGTGTATTTGGCTGAGAGGTTGAGGTATCCGTTGCCCGGGTTGAACCGAAGGGACTTGTCGAGTATTTCGACAGGGAAAGAGACTGGGATGACGCATCAGCGACCACTCGTGAGCACCAGATCCGGTGTACGTACGTTCGAATTGCTGGGGTTACTCTGCAGCGCATTCATGAAATCATTGACGGAAGTTGTCGGCGGTGCATCTTCATCTGCGAGACTTTGGTGTTGTGTCCTAAGCGTAACTGATATCATTGACCGTAAAGAAGGTCGTCACAAATGCCCGCTCACCTCGATGATTGGAACATCGACTCCATCCCGAACTCCGAAGCGGTGCCTCTTCCGAGAGCGCTGTTCATCTTGGCCTTGGTGGGCACAATCGGAAGTTGTTCGTGCCGTTGGCTTGTTTGGGTATTATCCTAAGGGGAAGTGTCAGATACGCGTTTGCGGCATCGAGAAACAAATTCACCTCGGTTTGTGACATCGACTGGCGAGATAAATGGTCATTTCGTCTGAGAAGGTCTTCAAAGAATACACACCATCAAATATCCAGGCTGGTACTGCGATCGGCTCGGCGCAAATGTATCCGTCGCACCGCTCACCGACCACGAAGGTTGATGGGTGTGGCTTGAGGATGAAGACATGCCGGCAACCGCGAAACTACCAGATGAGTGCATAGATGGCTGACCATGTTGCGAAGACGAGTGGCTGAATGATGGCCTTGAACTAGGAGAGTCCGCGTTGTAAGGGTTATTGAACGAGCTGAAAGCGGACATTGCAGCGTCGCAGACCAACCAGCGCACAAGTGGCTGTGCTCGAACATCTCGATTCCAGTCTCGCGGCAGGGGCAAAGGTATGGTAGTAGGTAGATTGCCGACGTGGTCCCGGTAGCGGAACAGCCGCTTCCGGTATGCCATTCGTGCAGGCGACAGCGCGCCAGGTAGCTCAACGGTTTTCGTGAGCTGAAGCAGCCGACCGCACCGTCTCAGTACCGGCAAGTAAAATACGTGATCATACAATGATGCGTGACACAGGATGGCACAGGACATGCCAGCAATATATTCAAGGGTATCAACAAGTCGCGAGCCCTTGGACTGTCACCATTCTGACAGCGCAGCCTTGGAAATGGGTACGGACTCGTATTCCTGTTCGTACTCGACTTCCACTCTCGGACCGCCTGGGTAAATGAAGATTCAGTTTCGAATAACATAGTAGCCAGGCAAGCACGTACGGTGGGTTTTCTTCGGCGGACGCTTTCGAGCAGATTTAGAGTCCTGTTTTTTCCGCTTGCCGAGGGTCGTCTTCCCCTTCGGTACTGGAGCATCCTCGTCATCGCTCTCATCCTCGTCGTCCTCGCTCTCGTCCTCGTCATCATCCTCCACATCCTCCATATCGCTGAAACCGCCGCCGGAGTCGTCTTCATCTCCGCTTATATCGCTGACGAATTCTCTCTCCCCCCACCCTTCCTCCTCCTCTTCAAACTCTTCGTTCGCGTCCTCGTCTTCGTCCGTCTCGTCGTCCACCATTTCCTCAAGCTCCCCTTGCACTTTGTCTTTTCCTTTCTTCTCTTGGTCCAGGACGGCCTGCCAGACGGCCTCGTTCACGTTCAGGGGTGCGTCTCCGTAAGCCTTCGACTTCAGTCGCTCGATGAGCTCTTTCTCTATTGAACGCTCGAGATGTGCAGCAGATAGCGCTTTACGTTCCCGGACGGCTTCTCGCCGATCAAGCTTCTTTTTCACGCCGATGAGCTTGGGCCTGGGCGAGAGGTCAACATGCAGCCGTGAGTTGGTCGACGTGAATGCGCGTACTGTTGTCGTAATCGCATCCTCCTCATCTTGATCAAATACTGAGTGATCTTCGTGATCCTCTGTTTACATTTGTGAATGAAAAAGTTCGGCCAATGTATGAGTTCCTTGTCAATCTGGTCCGGGATAAGTTCTACATCCAGGAATTTCCAAACGGTGGAGAACGTGCCTGTTCTAATGCCTTCGAGTAATTATTCGACAGTTTTATCTTCTCCCACATGTGCGCTGGACTATGCGCTCGCTCAATCGTCTTCACGTACAGGTATAGTACACCTAGGGCGTTGTCAGTTCTGCAATGCCGATGATCCAGGTACAGCGCACCCTCTTTCTCCCTCACAGTGGCATATCTGGAGTTTGCTAAAGGGCACGATTGCCTGGTGCAGAGTCCAGTGACGTTGTACTCGTTACGGCAGAAATTTTGGGTTGTCGACCTGTGATATACACCGTCCATCAGCTGCTTTACATCACATAGGAGCGCTGTACTTGCTTGACTTTGTAGGAGCAGAACTGAGTATTAATGACCGACCAGATCACGTCGTCGCTCTGCATGGCGTGGCGAATAACCAGAACGGACGGGCAAGTGTGGTGGCTGCAGTGCACAAAATCTCGAGCAATTGGATTCTCATTACTTCAGCTTACATCAGCACACTTTCTGATCTGACCTATACCTTGAACAGCCTTGAACTGTCTGACACTTCTGCTCCGCTATCCGGTTTGTTGCCCTGGCTCGGCCATGCTCGCTCCTTCACCACGCTCTGCCCAGTGCTTTGCCTCCCGCCTAACTGGAATATATAATCAATCCACCGCACGAAATTCATCCTTGCTTCCCACTGCTGCATGGCTTCAACCCGATGTTCGCATGTCGCGAGCTATTCGGGACCGGAACTTTCATAGCACACCGTCGCGCTCCGATTTTCACTTCGATACCCATCATTTTGTGCAGAGATTGGAGCGAGAAGGGTTGAATCGGGCACAGGCGGAGGGGATCATGAGTGCCATGGCCGAAGTCATTGATGAAAGCGTGCGGAACATGACGAGTAATATGGTCACGAAGGCCGAACAAGAGAAGGTCAGTACTGCACAAACTTAGCCCAGTGCTTCCACGATCCGTTTGAGAACCCCCTCAGCACCTATACACGCAACAAGTCGATTTTGCCCAGCTGAAGTCCGAACTTCAACTGTCGGAGCGGAACGACTTGGCCCAGCTGAAAGCGGAGAATGAGCGCCTAGTTGCCGACGTCGAGAAGTTGAAGCAACGCCTTCGCGACGAGATAACACGTACACAGTCGGGAGTACGACTCGATCTCAATCTAGAGAAGGGGCGCATGCGAGAGGAGAGTAGCGGGCAGGAACTGAAGATCAAGGAGGTTGACACGCGCATCGAGGGCGAGATCGCGAGTGTAAGAGCTGGTATTCAGAACAGCAAGGTAAGCCGCTCCAGACGATGACTGGTACACAGCTGACGGCCACCACTACAGGCGACGACGCTGCAATACCTTGTCGGTTTTGGTGAGCGATACCGCTGCAGGTTCCATGATTCCCAAGCTCAAGCTTACATTCGACAGTTACCGGTTGCAGTGCCCTTCTCATGGCGTACCTCCGATTCAGATTATAGCGCTGGTCGCACTCGTACACGCTTCCTTGGATTACTGTATAATATTAATTCCTCCACCCGTTACTATCTACAGCACCATGGTCTATCCCGGCGATCTTCGGTGCTCAATCGTCCAGTGGCGGCAAAGTATCACCATCCACCTGTTCCCCCAGCGCAACCTTCTCAAGCAGGCTGTAGGCCCTATCAAGATCATCATTGACAATGACAAGGTCGTGAACGCCCGGCTGCTTCGCGTAGTCGATCTCTTTCAGCGCAGTAGCAAGACGCTTGGCCACGGCAGCTTCGTCATCGGTCCCACGACCTGTAAGCCGTGATCGCAGCGCGGCCAAAGATGGTGGCGAGATGAAAAGATAGACAGGATTCAAATCCGTTTGCTTTATCTGACGGACACCCTGCAATCGCACGCATGAGCCAACGCGTCGGATATTATACGAAGGAACGAACCTGAGCCTCGATGTCCAATATGCAACGGCGCCCACCTTGCGAGACCTCGCGCACGGCCATGAAGCTGGTGCCGTAGAAGTTTCCCGAGAACTCGGCGTATTCGATGAAGGCGCCCTGGCCAATGAGCTCCTTGAAGCGATCCTTGGTGACAAAATGGTAGTCCTTCCCTTCTTGCTCTCCCGGCCGCGGAGAGCGGGTGGTGTCTAGAGAGGAGCTTCAGACGCGTGCTGATGTTGTGGATCCCTCCCACATCGGGAAAGAGACTGACGGGACACGCTGAAGCCGAACTTGTGGGGATAGGAAGTGAAGAGGCGGCGGAGGAGGGTGCTCTTTCCCACACCAGAGGGCCCGGAGATCACGAGCGGACGCAGAAAGTCGGGAAGTGGGCTCATCGCTGTTGCAGACGGTGTGGTCGTCGCGCGCGATGGCGGCAGCAAAGCAGGCAAACCAGCGTCAATGGCACTGGCACTACTGGCACTGGCGCTGGCACTGGGGCAGTCAGTGGCACGATCCGTGATGGCGGGACCCCGGCGGTGCCTTGCAGGTTAAGCGTGTGGGAGCGCAAGTCGCTTCTTATTGGCTGTAAGCATTACATCAATGCTGAATGCGTGAGAGCGTGGGGATATGAAGTGGGAGATAGGGACTGGTCTCCGGGGTCTATCTCTCCTTCCCCCTCCGCGTCGCTAACCGATTTACGACGTCCTCAATCCCTCCGTCGTCCCAGGCTGGCGACCACCGCCGCTGTTGTCTTTCCCCACCAGCCAAGGGACCCGCTCATTTCTATTTCTGTTCTCTGACCTCCACGGACTACTGCTATGGGTGCTCTCTGTTGCCGGCCTACGGTATATGCATCCCTGGCCCCGCTTCCTTCGTACTTCTGACCGATCCTGTGTCACGCTAGCCAATCGACTTTGACGGAGAAGTCAACCTTTTCCATTTCGTCCTCCTACGATGCGTTGGGAAGGGTGCCTTTGGCAAGGTCCGTACGGCAGCGCGTCTGCATGCGCCATTGCTGACGGTATGTTCGCAGGTCCGCGTCGTCCAGCATAAACAGACACGCGAGCTCTATGCTCTTAAGTACATCAACAAAGCGAAATGTGTCAAGATGAAGGCTGTTGCCAACATCATCCAAGAGCGGCGTCTCCTCGAGGAGGTTCGCATATGCTTCACCGACTGCCTGCACATCCGTTCCTGATGTTCTGCGTTTGGTCGGCCAGATCGACCATCCATTCGTCGTCAACTTGCGATATGCGTTTCAAGATGACGAAAACTGCTTCTTTGTCCTCGACTTGATGCTTGGGGGAGACCTGCGATGTTCGTGTCCACGTCCAGATATGATGCTCAGTATTTAACTCTTCCTTCACATTAGTTCATCTCGAAAGGCTGGGCCACTTATCCGAAGATACTGTGCGATTCTACGTTGCCGAACTGGCTTCTGCTCTCGCCTTTCTCCACGAGAAGCGCATAATACATCGGTGCAGTTTCACCCCGTTTTTGCGTGCCACAGCAGCTCACCCGCGATTCTGTCCAGCGATATCAAACCGGACAACATCCTGCTTGATGAGGCTGGCCATGCCCATCTCACCGACTTCAACATCGCTGTCCACTACTCCGAGCGGCGCATGCTTACTGGAGTTGCTGGCTCCATGGCCTACATGGCACCTGAAATCCTCGCCAAGCGCGGATATACCTACACCATCGACTGGTGGTCACTTGGCGTCTGTGCCTATGAATTGATATTCGGACGGCGTCCATTCAGAGGAAGGACGAACAGTGAGCTTACGATGAGCATCGGCAAGGACTCGTTGAGATTTCCGGAGGATGCGGAGCAGAAATGCTCTCGGGCAGGTATACAGGCGCTGCAGCGGGTGAGTTATGGTGGTCCCCACTATGTACCTAGACTGACACCTCGTTTGTTTGCGTAGTTGCTCGAGCGCGACACAACGAAGCGGCTCGGTTGCAAGCCTCACGGCGAGGGCTTCCGCGACATTCGACAACATCCTTGGTTCCGGACAATCGACTGGGAAACGCTAGAAACCAAGACTCAAACGTCCCCCTTTATACCCGATGTCAGTGCCTCTTGTGTTCAGCGCGTCACTGATAGCTAACGTCATATTTAGTCGCGCAAGGCGAATTTCGACGCTTCACATGAACTCGAAGAGCTGCTGCTGGAGGATAATCCTCTCAAGGCGAAGCGACGAAAGGAGCAAGATATCAGCAACCTCAGTACTGAGATGCGACAAATGGAAGAACAGTGCGCTCTTAGGCCCCTGACAATTGCAATTGCGGCTGCTCATTGAAGTCTTTAGGTTCACGAATTACGACTTCAAGAAGATGCACCGACGATCCTACTACCCTCAGAATCAGATTGTATCCACCATGACCGCCACTTCGTCGTCAGGTCCCAACTCTTCTCGTCCCGTCACGCCCGGTAACGACCCATACGCCGAAGCACAAGCCCATGTCGCTGGTATCGATACCGAAGGCGCGCCGCACGAATACGGCGAGACGGAGAGGTACGGCGGTATTCCGATGTCGAAGATGATGTCCGAGAAGGACTATCGGAATCAGTAGCCTTCTCTCGTAGTTTGATTTGCATCTTTCTTGTGAGCCCTTTTACACGAGAATCCTTGGAACTTCAATCTGAATGACGACGGATGGTAGGGTGATGTATGTACTTTGGAACTTCCTCTCCTCTGTCCTGTGGCGCAGCTCGGGAATCCTCCACTCTTTTGGACGTCTTGCCTTCAAACACCCTACACGTATCTTTTTTTGACTTCCACGTTCGAATTCATATCTTCGCGTTCTTCGCTACTCCCAGATATCCTAATAGCCGCTCTATCGGTTCGTCGCCCTTCAGCTCAACTCGTTTGTGCGACCTCGCCGCGTACTGGCACATAATATCGATCGCTCCTTTCCCTGATCGACTACCTTGTTCACATTGCATTGACGGCATGCGTTGCTTATGGCGGCTGGTCGTTGCGTGCTTTACGTACATCTTCCTGTCCGGGTTTTGTCTTCCCTGTCCTTGATTGTCTTCATCTTTGTGGGTTGTTGTGATATGTACATATGACGACTGCGTTTAGCAGACGCGCAACGTGTTTGCGATCTGCGTTAGAAAGATCGAGGTGAAACCACAAATACAATAAGCCGCACGTACTGGCGTGCGGTGCGGTAACCGGTTGTTCCGCTATTGGGACCGCGCCGGAAATATGCCTACCTACCTATCAAGTTGCATGCGTAGGTGCGGCATGCGTATGGCAATCTGAGATAAGTACAGGGATCAATTATACCGCGATTTGGTGATTACTACCATTCAAACTGAAGTCATATCATTTACGATATGTACGGACCCACATCATCCACAATTCTACAACAAATGGGCCAGTAATTAGACGTCGAGGAGTATTGAAACTGTCGGGTGCATTTGTGATCAGCGGTCACGAACGGGTGCACCGGACTGACAACGGCGGCCTAGCCAGTCAGCAAGATTTGAGTATGGCACAGCTGTGGTCGAACAGAAACCGGTCCACGCAGCAATGCGACTCCAGAACTCGATCACGTAGGTGTTTCTGCGCGGTGAGATAGTATTGTGTCACCGAAGAGAGTGGTAACCACTGGACTACTTACGCAGGATAGGGTTCATCGACCGTAGAGAGTAAGCCATAGTATGCGTCAATAATCGACTGTTGGGTCACGATTTGTGTGCCAGGAGCCGCGATGGCGTTATACAACTTGTTTAGCGGCAAACGATGTGTGGTTAACACAAAGAAGGGGCGCGCGGGCATTAATACCGATTGCAAGAACCTTTGGGCATGAAAGCTCAGGCTTCCAGCAGCCGTCCCGTCGCTCCTGGCGCCAAAGATTTCGTAGATCCAATCATCGACAGTGCCATTCCAGTACATAGGGAAGCGCATGGCAGACGGCGTGCATGCTGTCGACAGCTGGAATTCCTGACCTATACAAGGACAAGGTAAATTCAGATTATTGTGTTATTTCAACATGGACCCAAACCTGACCTTGGGCTACGATTGTGGGGATATTGGTACTACCTCCGGTGCCATCATAGCAAAGGTCAAGCAGGCGTTGACAAGACCCATTGTCTCCGTCAACCTGTCGAGGTGCAAGATTTGGCATAAGACTCAAGCTGGCCGCATGATCAATCAGGGGCAAGGCGACCACTGTCGTCATAGTGGTGACGAGAGATAGCACGATTGAGAGGGAGCGCATTTATCGAGCACCGAGGAAGGCGATGGGTGAAGAGCTTTGTAGGTATGTTCGATTCGGCGAGCGTCGCTACTTGCCAACCTGCGGATTTATATGGGGTAAGGTAAGCTGAACTAGAACTCACGGCACAGGCCCGCCGTACGGCGACATGCATATTGGGTACAGCTGACCCCAACGTATGACTGACGGGGGGATATGGCCCAGATACACCGGAACGTTGATTATAGGTTTCTAGATGCTAGCCACGGGATGTTGGATATGGGTTCGCGGAAAATCTACGGAAGTCAGTAACAGCACGGATATGGATGAAGCCCAGCGTTATATAACGCCGCCTGAGCGGCCATCGGGTGCAGCTTTTCGGAAGATGCAAAGCGTTACACCTCAAGTCATCGAGGATCGAACGAGGTCATTATCAATAGCCGGAGTACTACGGGTCTAGGAAGCGGGGCATTGCGACCGGGCCCAGATTCCTTGTGCTTTGGATCGTTTGTCTAACGCTGTTGCTTCCAAGTGTATCCAGCGCGTTGGCGGAAGCTGCGTATGCCGGCCGCACCATCGACTCCGAGACGTCTGAGGGGCAGCCTGGAACCTGCCAGACCGATCAATGAACGCATTATTCACTGCCGCACATGACGTATCCAATGACAGCACGCGCACTGTACTTAATTATCTATCTCAGTCGATTGCATCTTCAACGTCGCGTCTCATTTCTCCCGCATCGTAACCATACTTCTTTCTACATATCATGGCTTCTTCTAATCTGTTCCCTGCAATTGGGCAAGTTGCCGACCAGGCTGATCTCGTGAAGCATCCGGAGAATGAGCAGGCAGGCACGGAGGCAGATGGCGATGAACGACCGGTTCAAGAGATCGAGTCCTTATGCATGAACTGCGGCGAACAGGTCTGTCATCGCGCATATAACCCTTGAATCTTCTTTCAGTATTATCTCATTGTTGTGTCAGTCAGGGCGTGACACGTTTGCTACTCACCTCCATTCCGTTCTTCCGTGAGGTTGTCGTGATGTCTTTCCGATGTGAACATTGTGGCCATCAGAACAACGAAATACAATCAGCGGGAACTATCCGACGTGCGTATCATAGACTTCTATCTCTATCTAGTGAATTGACTTGAGGGCAATCAGCGGAAGGCGCGGTTTATACTGCGCGGATTCTCGCTCGGGAAGACCTTGACCGGCAGCTCGTGAAATCATCCTCCTGCTCAGTCACAATTCCCCAGTTCGAGCTCACTATTCCTCCGGGCCGGGGCCAACTCACGACGGTTGAGGGTTTGCTGCGAGACGTCGTCGCCGATCTTGGCGCCGATCAAACTCTGCGCAAAATACAAAACCCGCCCGCGTATGAGAAGATCCAGCAAATACTTGACGCAATCAAGGACATCTTGGCCGACTCTGACGACTCCGAAGAGGAGCAAGAGACTACGGGGCAAAAAGAGCCGAAGGTGAAACCTTCGCAACGAGACGTGCCCATGAAGCCGTTCAGTATTATCCTGGATGATCCTGCTGGCAACTCCTTCATCGAGTTCGTCGGAAGTATGGCCGACCCGAAGTGGAATATGCGCACCTATCACCGAACCAAAAAGCAGAACATTCAACTTGGCTTGGCTTCTGATGACGCCGCTGACGACGCTGAAGAAACTAGCGTGGGATTGCCCGATGAAAAGGCTGCCATGGATAAAATCAAAGAACATATCGATCAAGCTGGCGAAGGGGCCGAAGGAGACGATAACGACGAGATATATGTCTTTCCAGGACCGTGCTCCAGCTGCGGCCATCCCATCAAGACGCTGATGAAACGGGTCAACATTCCATACTTCAAGGTCAGTCGTTCGTGCAAAGGGGTTGGATCATTCTGACGGATCCTTTTCCTTAGGAAATCATCATCATGTCCACGAATTGCGACCATTGCGGGTACCGAGACAACGAAGTTAAGTCAGGTTCAGCCATATCCGAGAAGGGGAAGCGCATTACTCTCAAGGTGGAAGATCGTGAAGATCTCAGCCGAGACATCTTGAAGGTATGGCGCATACCGATCAGCGCATACCTTCTCTCGTTCGCTCATTCTCCCTAAAGAGCGAAACGTGCGGATTGTCGATCCCGGAGATCGAGCTCGTTCTTCAGCCTGGTACACTTGGGGGCCGATTCACGACCCTAGAGGGCATCTTGAATCAAGTATATGAAGAACTCTCGGAAAAGGCTTTTGCCGGCGACGCGTCAACAGCACAAGAGAAGAGCACGTTCGAGAATTTCCTGCGTGGGCTTAAAGAGGTTAGTCCATCTTCTAGTGTTCGAGACATCGTTTTCACAAACTTCAATCACTCAAGGTCAAGAACGCCGAACGGCCGTTCACAGTGATCATCGACGATCCTCTCGCGAACTCATACCTTCAAAATATCTACGCTCCTGATCCTGACCCGAACATGACCATCGAGCTATATGACAGGACGTTCGAACAGAACGAAGTACTCGGTCTGAACGATATGAAAGTGGAAGGTTACGAAGCGGATGCCCAAGCGCAAACATGATCCGCGCCTGGCAAATCATCCTTGTTGCCTTTCCATTGTACAATATATATTAGTATCACCCCCCATTTCGACTATAGATCTATAGGTGTGCATTCGTTGGTATTGGTACTGTCAAAGCACGTCACCGCGGGTGTGCGAACTTGATTTTGGCGGGCAGGTCACGGGGCAATTGGGCACTTATTTTCAGCGGACCATCCAAGATGTTCCGCTCTCGACGTGTGCATCTCCCGATTCGCCCTACGCCACCTAGCTGTGATCCTGTACTGGGAAATCAAGCTCGCGGGAAGCTCAGGATAGTAATGCGATGCGGCCCTGTCGATGCTAGACTCGGGCGGTTACGGATGGCTCTTCCACGACGATTTCGCGCTCAATGCTCAATCCGACATGCTCGGGCATGAAGGGTCGAGACACGGCACTTTCGGTCAGTACCTCAGCCAGGTCCCCTGATCCTTCGCTGCGTCCGGTCTATGGACTCTTCATGCACGATCAGCTGCTCGCATGCCGACTTCTGCCGTCTCGTCCTCGGGATGCGTTCGCGAGAACAACTCCGGATGCATCGGCATATGGAGATTGAGCTTTCTGCCGCATACCCGTAGAGCAGCATCATAGTCAAATTGAAACGCATTGCGGACAGGTATGCCCGTGAAGAACTGTCATTGTATGACGCTGGCTGAATCTAGCACGGGCCTCGGACTCCTCAGCCCGTGTCATGAAGGCATATAAAAGCTGTAGGGATATGATCTCCTCCACTGATCGTTCAGTCCCACCTTCACCTTATATCCGAAGCTTTTCTGCTGCGATCGACTATCACAGAAATATGTTCGCTCTCAACTCCCTCATCTTGTCTTTGTTTGTGCTCGTATTGCCAGTAATGAGCCTGCCAGCCGTCGGGAAGGTCGAATTGGCAACGAGAGCCGGCAATTTCCCTGCCATTCCAGGGGACAACGGCTCGTGCCAGGAGATCATACAACTCTGCTCGAATGACATTGGGAACAACGTGGCCACAATTGTAGGAGAAGGTAAGTTTAAGGAGATTACTACGTCCGGGAAGCATTAACTCAATCGATTCGTAGGAGAAGAGTTCCAGCTCTCCAAAGCGTGTATTCTCGCCGCAACCTGTTACCCAATGTACTACAACGGCACCGTTGACGACTGGATTCAGCTGCAGTTTGGTGCACAGAGCGACGGTACCATCAATGGCAGTTTGAGTCGGAAAGCCCAGCGGCTTTCCCAAGACGTAAGAGCAGTTCTTGTCATTGACCAGACCCGGGCGGCTGAAGATGTTTACAGCTGTACAATACCCTGGTCACAGCGGGTACTAGCGTCGCGTCCCAACAGTCGTTTATTGACGCGTATTACAGCCTTATCGCAACAGTCGGCGGACCTTATCCTGTGTGAGTTTCGTAAACTTCTTGTGTATGCGCTCTGTTTGACTTCGCCTGACAGGAATACATACGTGATCAACGTGTGGGCCCGTATCGCTGCATGGACAGGTTTTTGCGCAAGCAAAGATATCCCGTACTCGAACCTTGCTGACTGGGTGAGCAGTCTCGTCTTCGCTGATAGTTTTCAGAGCTCAAATAGTGCTTCTAGTTCCAATACTCGGCGACCTCGAATTATTCACCTACTTGCTAGGGTGCAGTACTATCCACTCGGAGCGTCGTCTACCCTCATAGCATCGGGTGGACGAAAGCATCGATAATAATAACGGTATCCTGTGCTTGTGGACACTGGGACACGGTATATCAGCCCCATAGTCGTATTATCCCTCCAGCCGCTCTTCTTCTTTATGAGACTCGCATAAATGTACCTGACGGTTGAAAATTTTTGCAATCCAATCCGTATACAACTCACTGACTGTGCACTGTGCGAGTGTCTACGAGAGCCGTGCTAAGTGTCATGTTCCGCGCACGAAATTTGCAGTGGGTCAGCGGAGGTTAGCGGCGTGCTCGGGGGTGTCTGAACATCGAAGCGGCGGAATGTTATTGTGCAGCTCTTTGCTTAATCACCGGCCGCGGTCTGGTAAGGAGAGCATGTATTTGTTGGAGATGCAATACCTGACGTACACGGGCCCGCATCGTACATAATCCCAAAATACAGCAACGTAGGTGCTGTACATCAGGATGGGCACAGCGCAACCATACTATCAAATACGTCGATAATGGTGAAGATGGAGTGCGCTCCTGCAACGACGTACCTGAACTGCATGCTAGATTCTCCGGAGAAGAAATTCTGTTGAACGACTTTTGCCACATCCTATACATGCATAAGGGATTGTCTATTCCAGGTCAACAATGTGCGCCTTACTGCAAGAAGGTCGGAACATGGCCCACGATCCAAGGGTCCTTTCCGGTGGCCATCTAGCTCTATGAGACGCATCCCACCTTCCTTGCTTCCCTCCGGGTGCTGTAATTCCCTGGCTGCTTTTGCTGGGGCCTGCACAAAGCATATGAAGTGCAAATCGGTATCAAGATTAGAGGGAACGGCGGTTTGCCCGGTTGCAGCCGCCTCAGCATGGATGTTAGCAAAGAGAGGCGTTGTCTCTAGAAGCTTGGCTCGTTCATCCGGGGTCTTGTCGTGACATTGATCGATGAACTGCTGCAGAGGGGATTCCGGTGCGAAGTCAACATCCGACTACCGGTTCTGAGTGAGCAGCGATGTGGTATGGGAGGTTCGTTTACTAACGTTGGTCAACGCGTGTATCAGGCCTATAGTTCCGCATGCGTTTCCGATCTGTAACGTGGTTAATGAGCAGAGCGTCCTCTTGTAAGTTCCAAGAGGCTCACTGTCTGTCTGATCCATAGTATCGTAGGATCAACCTCAACGGAATTTTCGTTCGCGTCCTCCGCATCTCGCTTGGCGCGGTACGTATCAGTGTAAGGGAACAAGAGAAGAATGGCCTTGACAGGTTGCGGCACCATGGCCTATGGAGATATCATCAAACTCCAGACGTACTGGAGACGCCAATGTATACAGACAAGAAGATCTTCATCCAGACCATAGATGTCTTCAAAATGGTACTGAGAGGTGAGCAGGCCAGCTTTCTCAGCCCACTTGAGCCGACGGAGTAGATATATCACTACTGGTGGGCAAATGCTGTTCGACGGGGCTCACAGAGTTCATGACCTATACAGAGATCTTTATACCTGAGAAGCCATCAACGCTACTAGCTACGGCGCACATACATCCGGGTTACTTTCGAGAGGGATCCATCGAGAATCGGTGGACGACATGTTGATTGCTGTATGATAAGTACCGATGCAGGTGAGCAGAAACAGATCGGAAGGACCGTCAACCCGTAACTTACATTACAAGTGCCTCAGAGTCAGAGTCAGGTGGCGCAGTCTAAATGCCGAGGTGGGGATCTCACGTGCTCGAACCGATGGGATTGAAATTGGGTCGACGAACTTGTGGGCTGACTGGCTGTCCGCCAGCTCTTCGTTCTCCACTCGCCGCCATGAACAACAGCCAGTGGAAATGGCAGAACAACAGGACGGCTCTCAGCGCCCACCCTATTTACTTCAAAAATCGCCCAGAACTGATACCTGGCATACCTGATCATGCACTCGTACTCGCCGTCCCTGTGATCGCGTACTGGGCATATTCTCTCTTCTTCCATGCGCTGGACATGTCGGGATGGAAATGGTTAGACAAGTATCGTATACACGATTCGGCCGAAGTCAAGCTACGGAATCGCGCGACAAGGCTACAGGTCGTGCGAGCGGTCATCTTCCAGCAAGTGATTCAAACAATCCTGGGTGTATGGTGGATGGATGGAGCAGAGGATGTCAGCACGGCCGACCATGCCATTCGCTTGCAGACGCTTGCTCCTACCGTTGAGCGTGTGCTGCGTTCGGCTGTCGGAAATGATCTGGCGCATTCCCTGATGGATCACAGCGGGGCCGATATCCTCTACGTTGTCTATTGGTGGGCGATCCCGATTGCACAATTTTTGTTTGCCATGTAAGCATGCTCAAAGTTCATGCCGCCGCGTTTTGACCTGTTCCGCAGGTTCATCATCGACACTTGGCAATACTTCCTTCACCGTGCTATGCACGTCAACAAGTTCCTGTACAAGCATCTGCACTCGGTTCATCACCGACTCTACGTTCCATATGCATTTGGCGCACTGTATAACCACCCTCTCGAGGGGTTTCTTCTGGACTCACTGGGGGCCGCCATTGCCGAGGCACTGTCATGCATGACAACCCGACAGGCTATGCTTCTATTTGGCTTCTCTACACTGAAGACGGTCGATGATCACTGTGGTTACCGCCTGCCTTTCGACCCCTTACAATGGATCAGCACCAATGATGCCGACTATCATGATATCCACCACCAAGTACGTCTCGGTTTCACAGCATCAGAAGATCCTAACCTGGCTCTTGTAGATCATCGGTATCAAGTCAAACTTCTCTCAACCCTTCTTCGTGCACTGGGATGTGATACTCGGCACACGGATGACACGCGAAGACATCACCCTTCGTCGTCAAAAGGCTCTGAAACACGATTGATATCTTTCATTCCTTCAACCATACCTATTATGTTTACATTGCGATCTGTTACTTGTTCCGGGATCAGGCGCTCGTTTCTCTTTGCATATTGGCCATATGCAATATCACTATAGCATACGTTGACTTCCTAGGCATGTAATTAATATACTATAGCTTGTTTACTGCCTTGACTTGACCACTCCTATGCGCGCGGGGGAACACGCTCGACGAGCATGAGTATTAAGTATGCATCCTAAGATTTGTTTGCTTATCCCTGCCTGGAGTTACCCCGCACGGTCACGTGAAATGTCTACATCTTGCCGACGCCGTCCATCCTCTCACCTATCACCTAGACCGACTGATGCGATGACTACCCAGGACCTAAGGACACGGACGAAGATATCCCTCCATCCGGCCGCGGTCCTTTCATCTTCGTATGCCCATTGAGCGCAAGCGTCATGTATAACCCCGCTCAGTCGCACTTTCAAGGGTGTTCCGTCAACTATTGCCTCAACTGCTGGCATGCAATGCCTTCCTCGTGGTTTCCCTGTATGCGGGGAAGGAGTGGCTCCTTGAATACGAAGTCGGCGTGTTCTGGGTCCTCATGAGGGTCTTGGCGTGTGGTGGATTATCGGCGCTGGTGTATCAGGTGCTGAGTGGGAATTTGAGCCCGAAGAGGCCAGTTGAGGTGCGAGCCATGCAACATGAAAATCAAGCACCGCTTACATGTTAGTCGTTAGTGGTCAGTGGTTGGTCTGGCGTCCCTTTCCCTGCTGGTGCAACAAGCCTGCTTGTTGACCGCCTTGCTAAGGACATCACCTCTCCGGTGAGACACTGCCCAACACGATGGTGAACGAGTTACTTAATGGTGTGACATCATAGTGTTCTCGTATTCTCTTATTTTGCCTCGTCGTGGCCTAAAACGTTGCTAAACACGAGTTCGGTGCGCTTGGCTTGCCTCATACCGAACCCACAGCTAAATCCTTACGATGTAGTCCCGACGGTCACTCGCTGTTGGCCTTGCCTTGACTTTGGCCTTGGCTTCGGAAGCCAAATACTCTCTTACAAATATCGACAGAGCTATCATACCGTACGGCGCACTTTGCTTGCATGGATTAGCGACCATGGCCCTGGAGCATACTCACGGCACTCTCATGCTCAACCTTGACTATGCGACCACTGTATCCCTCACAACCCTTGGTGCATCTGTGGTTGGGCTTCCAATGTACGTGGTTCGCAAAGTGCTCGTAAGCCAATCGTCCGAAACACGAATTGCTTCACATACTGACGTTATATACAGCATAATCCAGCTCCGTCACCGATTCTCCCACTAAAGTCCCTCTCCGTTATACCGCTGTTAGCCGGATCCTTCCTTCTGCTCAAGCCAAAGTTGGCGCATTCAATGTCTTCGCTGACATCTCCCCGTCAACCCTACTTGATGGCTTACTTCTCTGTTGTGTTCTTCGCGATTATCACGGGAACACTACTGTTTCTCCAACCTCCTGGTCCGATGGATTTCCTGGTTGCAGCTGTGCTCGGCTATGGTACGTCCTCTTTTCTATTCCTCATCCATCGCCCCTATAAACCGATCACATTCAGGACTTTATCCCGAGGGAAGTCGAGTGGCGCAGGCGGTACCCCAAACACCTACCGCTAGGATTATCAGAGCCTATCTGAAAACCATCCTTGCCAACTCGGAATCGCGGAAGATCTTCTACTTCCTCATGTTGAACATGTGCTACATGCTCGTTCAAATGCTGTATGGGGTTTGGACAAATAGCTTGGGTCTCATATCGGACGGTACGCTTGGCCCTTTACCACACTATCAGGAGCACTTGGTTGCTCACGGAGCACTCCCCGCAGCCATTCACATGGCGTTTGACTGTATGGCGATTGCGGTCGGTCTTATGGCATCGGTGATGGCCACCTGGCCTCCGAATGAACGCTTTACCTATGGGTGAGCCACACATCCCATTTCTCCGCGCGTGAACTCATATCAACTCAGGTACGGCCGGATTGAGACGCTCTCCGGATTTGCAAACGGCATTTTCCTTATCCTCATCTCAATATTTATTGTCTTCGAAGCCATTGAACGTTTGTGGGTGTTTAACTTTGACATTCGTCCTCGACAGTGGACCCGCCATTCTCATTTTTGCTCCAGACTAGAACCTCCGGAAATGAACACCAGCCAACTTCTTCTTGTCAGCTCTCTAGGGCTAGGTGTCAATCTATTCGGCATGTTCGCCATGGGTGGTCATCACCATGGTCATTCTCACTCCCATGGGCATAGTCATGGCAGTTCGTCTGGGCATGCACACAGCAGCCCTTCCGAAAGCGTTGAATATCACAACACAGGCCATGCTCATTCTCATGCGCACGACGAGGGGCACGACCATGCTCATGACCATAAACCTGGTGCGGCTATATCATGAAGCTGCTTTCTATGTTGCTCATTTCATGATAGAATCGCCGGTGATATCTAGCAGCCTTCACGATGGCAGACTTAACCTCCAGGGAGCCCGTGAACATGATCATTCAGACTCGCACTCTCAGGAACATTCGCATTGGCATTCACATTCACAACCGCATTCTCAGGAACACTCACACTCCCACTCGCAAGTTGGCGATGAGCATGTCCATGCTCATTCGCCTCCGGGGAGTACGGAAAGAAACACACCGAGGTCGTTGCATGCCGCAGCCCACCACAAACGTCGCTCCTTCCCGGGACCTGCGCTGCTTATTGACGGCGGATCGGAAGGCAAACCTTTGTCCGCTACGCATCTTTCCCCAGCCGTCGCCAAGAGCTTATCCTCGGCGACTGTCGTGTCGCCCATAACGCCGAGTTATCACTTTGGGCACGATGAACACTATGATACCCACCATCACGACGAGCACGTCCCTAATCTGCATGACCACTCTCATGTCCATGATCGCCATGAAGGTCATAGCCATAACATGCGGGGTGTGTTTCTCCACGTCATGGCGGTACGTTCATTCCCATGTCTTATTCAGTTGAGTTCCCTAGCACTGACCACACCTCCTTGCAGGATACGCTCGGCTCTGTAGGCGTCATCATATCCACCCTGCTCATCCAATACTATGGATGGACCGGTTTCGACCCAATAGCCTCCCTGTTCATTGCAGTGATGATTGCTGCGAGCGTTATACCGCTCGTCATCGATACCGGCAAAATCCTATGTCTCGACGTCGGTGACCGTGAGAGCGACATTCAGCACGCGCTTGAAGAGGTATGTTGAACCGACAGAGCGATCCTTGCGCGGTATCTAATACCTCCCTTGGACAGCTTTCCTCCGTGCATGGCCTGCAATCGTACAGCAGCGTGCGATTCTGGCCGAAGGATGCCTCGAGCTTGATCGGCTCGATCCATGTGCAGCTGTCCCCTTCAGCATCAAACCACGATCCTACCGGCCCTCATTCGAGCACCACGACCTCATATGCTAGCGTGGACCGCGTAGTGGAGAAGGTCGATATGTTACTTCGCAAGCGGATATCGGGGCTGGAAGAGCTGTCCATCCAGGTGGAAGGGCACCAACGTGTATCTAGGTAGCGACCATAGAACTAGTAATCAGCGTCCTGTATGCCATTGGATGCATTATCGGCAGTAGATACAATATAATTCATAGTAGCTCCACATGCATGCTCGATGTCGAACGTTCAACATTGAACTGTCCTTTCCAATTCACACTTGTGCCATCTTGGAGCGCTCTTCCTCTACGGCGGCAAGACCATCTGCGCCTTCTTTGAACTCGAACATAGGTAAATCCAAGAACAGCGCCTGCTTCATTAATCTCGGCAATATTCGGTACATCGTAGGAGGGACTGCGTCAACAATTCGCATCATTAGACAGAATACTTTAGGGAGGGCATGGAGAGGCGGAAGGCGTACACGGAACGAGTATCGAGGTCTTCTTGAGGTAATTCTTGTAATGCTCCCATGCATGCGGTGAGCTGGCCCTCGGACCGTACGACATCAGGTAGAATCGCCTTGCTTGAGGTTTTTCGGCGGTGGGAACTCCTGATGCGAACATCAGCAAGCTACAAGAGCAGCCAGCGTGTAAGCAGATGAGCGCGCCGAGATGTGACGCAGAGAGGACGCACATGAATGTGAAAGCCGGCGATACGACGCTGCCATACTGTGCTGCCCGTGCCGACGCGGGCAGACTGCCGTTCGTGGTAGGTGATAGACACAGGATCCAGATGCCCCACCAGCACATCATCCTGGCGGTCGACAGAGTGATGTCAGCGACATGTTCGACGACATAGCGTCATATGACGACTCTGCAACATCAACACTCACTCTCCAAAGTAGGGCGGGTGCCTGCTCCATCGCCACAAACCGAGCTACATGTTATGACATCGCAGTCAATATAAGTCAGGAGAGCAACCATGGAAATACACTTCATACCGTGAACGCGCGATCTTTCGGCCACCCCTTATTCTTGCCATAGAACTGTACGTGTCGATTGAGATCATACCATCCAGTAGGAGGGCTCCGTATTTCGGTACCTTTTGCGCGTCGGCGACAGTTTCGATGACCCATCCAAGCGCCCAGAGGACAATGCCGGCAATATCTCGTGAGGTTCCGAATGCCGGATTGGAACCGCCCAAGGCCGGGTCGGACACCGCTGGCGAGTTGAGGATGATCAATGGAAGGGACACCGTCCAGACCCAAACGATTTGCCCGACCCAGAACCCTGCGAGCAAACCTCGTATCAGACCGGTTTCCTGTGTTTGATAGTCGCATGGGGGAGCTCTGGTATGAAGGGGACATACCCAAAAACTTCAAGAAATGCGAGCGGATGTCGTCAAACCGAGTATCGCTTCCCATCTTCAGGACCCGGAAGAGCAGGAAACCTGATGTTATCGGAATCAGGTCCAATTCACGATGTTTCCACGTAAGAATGGGGCACGAGCCTGAAAGTCGAGACGCCCATAACATGACGAGCACACTCGCGACGATGTTACGCGCATAGAACGTGTTTTCGAGGAGTAGAGTCAACAGCGCTATAAAAATTTCGTCCAAATAAATCTCAGAACCATTAGGCCAGATTCAAGACAAGTCCAGCCAGCACCTAGGATGAAGAAGTTTGAACCGCCCGTGAAGTCGGTGATCTTGTCGAACTGGAACGTCCAAGCTATGACAAATCCAGAGAGCTGATAGCCAACCGTGACCAGCAGGGTGATAGCGAGATAGTAATTGTCCAAGACGTGGACCGGAGACATGTTTCCAAGTCGACCGGCAGCTTGAGCCTGCCTGCGAAATCACCGGCGGTTATTGGTTGGACGAAGACAGAGGAGCGATGACCAGCATGCACCACAGAACGGAGGAGAGACGAGATCCTGAGACCGTCGCGGTCGTAATGTTGAGACCGCCATAGCATCAGATCGGCGGCAGCGACGAACTCTGCAACTGCGAATAACACAGCGTGACGGTGTAGCACGCCGTGACCGTCGGACATGTCAGCGTGTGACGCGTCGTCGATTGAAGTTACCGTCAGATGATATCAGTCTGCGCACACAAAAGTACCAGCCGAAGCCAATGCAAGGGAAAAGTTGGTCGTTTGGTATGTCGTTACATGAATGGTCGTAAGCTACCACGAATATTGGGAAATCCTGACAAAAAAAAAACACGTCCGGGGTGACGGACAATAACGCATTATAATGGGTACAGCATGACTGCGCACTCGAGCAAGCAGGTCATTTTTATACGTGCTCGACCGCTTCCTTCTCGCTGAGCTTGTGGTCGCCACCCGCGAAGGTGTCGTGCGGCACCCAGCCGGCGGACGTGCGCGGGGTGGTCTCCTCCAGCATGCGGTCGACCTGCTCGAGCGAGAGACCCTTCGTCTCCGGCACCATGAAGTACGCGAAGATCAAGCAGAGCGTGCAGCACGAGCCCCAGACGAAGAACACCTTCTGCTGGAGGTCACCCTTGTCGGGGTCAACCATGTAGGGCGTCACGAAGGCGAGGACGAAGTTCCATAGCCAGTTCGATGCGGTGGAGAGCGCGACACCCTTGGCACGGATGGGCAGAGGGAAGATTTCACCGATGACGACCTGGTATGGGAAAACCCGGATTGATCAACTTTCAAAAATGACTATCACGTTCGTTGAAAGACGTACCCATGCTGCGGGGCCCCATGTGGTGGCGAAGCCGAAGATGTAGATGCAGGTGAAGACGATCAAGCAAGTGCCGGCAGCCGACGAGTTGGGGAGGGCAGTGCCGACGCCGCCGACGATAAACTCGCACACAAGCATGAGCGAAGCACCTGAGGATAGGGACGTGAGTAAACGTGGGGTGAACATGAGGAAGATGACGTGCTTACCCCAGATGAGAAGCTTGCGACGGCCGAAGCGCTCAATGGCCCACCAGGAAAGCGGGGTCGAACCGACGTTGACGACATCAGTCGCGATGGAGATCAGGAAAGGATCCTTGATACCAGACTGCTGGAAGAAGGTCGTCGAGTAGTAGAAGATGAAGCTGTGCGGCCGCGTAAGTGAAACGGTCGGCAAAAATTCGGATAAAAATGCGTACTTGACACCGGTAAGCTGCTGGAACATCTGCAAGCCAGTGCCGACGAGGACACGGAAAAGGTTGCCAGACGGGCGGAGACCACCCTTGAAACAGTCCAGCCAAGTAGCCGTGGCGATGGTCATCTCGTACTCGTAGTTGGCGACGATCTCCGCGAGCTCAGCCTGGATGTACTCCGACGACTCGGGCTGACCACGAACGCGGGAAAGCGCCTTGGCCGCGCGGTCGTTGCGGCCCTTCTTCACGTAGAAACGCGGGCTTTCGGGAAGGATGATCAATCCGATGGCGAGGATGAGCGCCCAGAGGAACTGGATGGCGATGGGGATCCGGTACGCGCCCGAGTTCTTGCGGTCCTTTGTCGCTTGCGCGACGCAACCTGCGAGAAGGATACCAACGGTGATCGCGAACTGGTAGCCAGACACGATGGCACCACGAATCTTCTTGGGCGCGATTTCCGAGACGTAGAGGATGACCGTGGCGGAGATGAGACCGACGCCGAGGCCGGCGACGACACGACCGCCGATGAGGACGTTGATGGATTGGGACGCGACCTGGATTATAACACCGGCGCAGAAGATGGCGCAAGCGAGGATGATGGTGAAACGACGACCGATACGGTCGGCGAGATCACCAGCGACGAGAGCACCAACGAAGGTGCCCGCGGAGAGGATGGAGGTGGTGAGCGACTTTTGCCAGGTGGCGATGTCGATGGGATCGTCGGAGTGGCCGGTAGGACGTCCGAACTGGTTTTTCCAGATATCCATGCCGTAGATACCGTTGATGTAACCGGAGTCATAGCCGAAGAGGATACCGCCGAAAGAGGCGAACACGCAGGTGAAGTAGGCGGCGAAGGTGACGGGGGCCTCGATGCGGTCGACGTAACCGCCGTAGGAGACTGGTGCGGCTCCGCCAGGCATGATGATCGGTTCTGCAGGATGTCTCGGTCAGCGGCGATGCGGGGAAAGAAGACGAAGGGACACAAACCGTTGATTGAGGACGCGGGGAACGGAGGATGCGACTCGAACCTGGGGGGGCGGCGGGCTTCGGGTGCGAGTTATATAGAGGTCGGTGTTCGAGGGCGGGTGACCTTCCGGCTAGTTCAAGTTTGATCTGATGAGTTCCCATCAGAACCGATTTCCCCACACGCGGGGCCCACGGGCCACATGGGGCTTGCGCGCACCGGCCTTGCCTGTCCTGGTTCCGGCCCTCGGTTCGAGCCTCTGCAAAGCGGCCAGTGTCAGATCCGGTTCCAGTGGCTGCGGACATCCCACTCCTGTTCGTCCATTTCTTCCGGCGATGCGGTGTTGCGAGCATACTTGCAAGAGGAATGCAGTGCTCCGTCCGTAGAATGCAGCGAGCCCCTTACAAGGTTCATCGTCTGAGATTCAAGCTCCGCGCATGTCCGGCCTTGCGGGCCTGTATCCCGTACCCTCTTTGCTCGCCCCTCAGTGAGCCTATTGTATCCGAAACTCGCGATTTAGGAGCTGCAGAGGGCTGCAGTCAGTAATCGATCGACTGAGGTCCCATGGTGTTTCATTCTGTACGTATGTACGTCGCGAGCTCGTCGCGAATATGGACAGTTGCGTCGACGGCTGATCCTAAGCCCGCGCGAGGCATTCAGGCACCGCCGGTCACAGGACTTGTCCTCTCCCCCGGATCACCCCGCACCCGACGTGCCGCAATATGGGGCCGACCTCCTTAAACGGATCTAAAGTTCTCCCGGACGCGTGCAAGCACCTCCGGGATGCGTTTCGGTGGTCGCTCTGAGTCCTCTCGCACTGGTATCCGATATCTGAGGTCTTCGCGTGTCCTCTTTTGCTCGCATGTCGGCCGAAGGCACCCAGGCAGGAACTCTTCGACGACTCTCAGGAGAACAACCGATCAAATACCCTTCTTCGCTTGTTTCGAAAATTTTGCTTTCTGCTGTCACTCCATCTCGGGCCCGGTGATCGTAGCAAAGATCAAAGGCACAATGAGCTCATGGGAATCCGAGTGCCGCGTGCTCGCTGCAGTCCTTGCTCGCGACGATACGCGTGTTTTCCTTTACTGGCAGACACGATTACTGGCGCGATTCGCCATCGTTCACGCTCCGCCTTGCAGATAGACAAACCCATAGCCTCTGACTCCCGACGCTGAGAGCCGCGGCAGCAGTGCCAGACACGATTTCTCGTTCCTCGCTGTCCGCCACGCGCCAGCTGCAGAAATAAAAATAGATATGCGCCAAAATCACATGCCGCTCAGCAAATTACCGTAACGGGACGCATCTGGCAGCGAAGCGCCCGAAAGCACGACTTGCGTCCGCTTGAGGAAGTCGAACTCGCGATGCTGACCGATAGGTTTATCGTCTTCCCTTTCTCCGGCTCGCGAAGACGTTCACCCGTGAGATCTCGAGGGACCTGACCCTGTTACCGTCGGACATGTGGGGCGGAAACGTTGATAGAGACACGATACGATAGCCCAAGAATTCGAAGAGAATGTTTCAGTGACTGGTCGTATATGGCTTAAAACGTCGCGCGTATTGAATGCCGCCAGCGGGAGTGAATCGTGGCAATAGAGCGCCTGGTCGTCGATGGCAATATTAAGGGAAGCTTGAGGAAGCTCAGAGGAAGTGTATGAGGCTGTTCAGTCGCCGCATCCAGAAGCAGAGATCGGGAATAGAATCGCTCTTCATAATATACGCGCTGAACGTCGAAACTCCATTAAGGATGGATGCATACTACGGACCCTTGCTCTGTGCGTCGCGATAAACAGACTAGAGCACTCCAACAGTATTCACCCTCGCCGGCAAACATGAAACTATCGAGCGATAATGTACCTTCTCACGACGGCGTCCGGTAGCTACGGAGCGCGGGACGCTGAACCGTTGGTGTGAACGAGACAGCCTGCGAATTCTACGAGTTCATTCAGTTAAACGGCATCTTACCCTACGGGGCAACAGCGCCCGAATAACCAACAAATGCGCATGGCAGTGGCGGGCGCACATGGGCGGGGGGGGGGATCGGAGCATCGTTGACGATATCATCCCATTTGCGATACCTCCTGCTGGAGTAGCTGGAGTAAGGAGAAGTTCATCTGGCATGGGAAGGATGAGCGGAGAGTGATCGCAGCAGGCGCACTTCACGTACAACCTACCCGCTTGAGCGTCGCACGTTGATGCGGCGAAGCCAGTTTGTGAATGAACTGAATTGATGGTCGATATCTGACAGTCCGTCCATGCGGTCGGGGAGGCTTCGAGCGTCGCATCGCATAACTCGTGGCAAGCGTCTGGACGGGATTAAGGAGCTTGCGGTCCGGGTTAGGTGTTTGGGGTTATTTTGGAGCAAATCAGTTTCTCAGCGCAAGTCACGACAAGATGTACGATAACCAGTCCGTGCATTAGCAGAGATATAGGCGCCAAACAAGTTCATCGGCAGCATGAGCGCGTCCCGGTTCAGTAATTGAGGAGAGCGAGCATTGGAGTTGTTGGGAGCTAGAGAGTCAGCACCTTAACGCAAGCTCACAAGATAAACTGGGTACATGCCAAAGCTGCGCCACGAAAGCTCGTCCAGCGCTTCCAATCGGAGGCAGCCTGAAACACCGAATACGATCGACAAATCTTCAATGATCCCGCAGTCGTGTCGCGGAAGACTCGCGGTGTACTAGAGAAGCATTCGAGAGCCTATTACATCGGAGTCTTAAGAACTGGGCCTTGGGGATGTCGCGAAAGGCGGAGACGCCGCAAGATTTTCCGTGTTCTTAGATCGAGTGGATGCGGGCAAGGGAGGAATCACGTTGACCATTCTCGGCGAGGTAGCACCGGACCGGACATCAGGACCTACCGTCAGCCGTGCTGGCCTCGCCGGGTGTCCAACGACGCGCCAAGTCGCCCTTCCGCGCTGCATTGATAATTGTGCTGGACAGTTCGGCGTTAAGCATAAGTAAGTAGCAGATCCATGTCTCGCCAATCTGGTGGAAGCGGAGAAGTCCCCTGATGGGTTGGGGTGGGTTGAACACTGATCTCTACGGACGCGATATCGCAACCGGCCCGGGTCCGGAACGCGGGGACTCCTCGGGAATATGGCCAAACGACAGATGAACGTTAACGCGCGTATAAAGACGGGAGGGTGCGCTTATCTGTGTAATTCTTGATGCTCGATTTACCCTCCGCCCCGCTGGTGTATTGTGCTGTGTTTCCCGGTGTTCTCTGGCAACTCCTCATGAACTCGAAGGACACGTAACTACCAACGAACGACCGCAGGGTTGCCCTCCTGCTATCTTTGATTCAATATCGACCCAAGTCATCTGGATATGGGACACACTTGAACGTTTCTTGTAGTCTCTGCCAACGTTCCCCAGGCCAACCTCTGCCATTCTCGACCTTATGGCCGTCACATCGTGTATGGACATCATGCTCATCGTCATGGATTGACGACGTCGCAAAGCCGGTGCTTCGCGCAAGCTTCGCCATCGTGTGAGCCATCTTCTACTCCATGGCACCCCGCATGTTCGGATCTTCGTCCGGCATACGAACCCCCGCCCCCGCCACCAGCCTCAACCCGGTCGTCGTCTGGAGTCGGTCCGATCTTCCGGACCAGCTATTTAGGGGAAAACCGGGTGCCCGAAGAAAATACTGGATGCAGTCGTATGCGGTCGTGGGGACCCCGGTAGGTGTCGGGTCCGATCAGGCCTCACACTGCAACCGATTGCCAGAGACCGTCCGGCGGTCTGCGAGTTCCGCGCAGACGACGGCCGACTCGAAACTCGCACAGGGGTCGCAGGGTTCTGGCGGAGGTGGTCGTATCGCATCCGGGACGCGGGCATCGTCGGGGGGGAAGGTGCGCGATCGATCGTGCCCGCGCCTGCATGCGGGTTTGTTCGAGAACCGTGTAAATCATCACCCCTGTCTTGGCGGCTCGGGCCAATGGTCGTTCTCTGCTTGTTCGGTTTCGTCCCTGTCTTTGGTCGCAAAGAGTTCGCAGAGAGAGACGATATCGCTCGCAGGGTCACTCATCGTCGTCGGGTAGATAGAACCAGCCTGGGAATGACGTAGCTTACACACGCAGAATACATCCCACTTTCTGTCGTCCACGCCCGAATAACCGACCCGGCCGACGAGTATGGCACATTCGGAAGATCGAAACATCCAGCGGATGACGCCGGGGAGGAACTTGGAAGACCTATTGTCGCACGTTCTCGACGGGGGCGGCCCATGGGGTGCCGGCGCCCTTCTGCGACGCGTCCCTTACGCGACCCCTCCCCCGCCTCCTCGTACCTTCCCCGCCCTATAAAACCGGGCCATGGCCGTTCTTTGTCCTCCAGTGCATCCGCATTCTATCGCCCTTCTCACCGCTCAAATCTCGCCCTCTCCCTACCCTCTCGCTTCACAATGGCTGGCGGTGGCGCCGTATCATCAGGTGCCGGCGTTGGCGAACACATCCAATCCAAGTCCAAGCTCGCCGGAGTCCTCATCGTACGTTGCCTGCGACTCGTCATATGCTTGCTTCGTCTCATTGCCGTTCCAGGTCGCGTTTGCCGCGTTCGGTGGTGTGCTCTATGGCTACGACACCGGTACCATCTCCGGTATCAAGGAGATGCAGAACTGGCTCTGCACGTTTGGCACCCAGCACTCCGACGGCACCTGTACCATAGACTCGGGCCGGGAATCGCTCGTCGTCTCCATCCTCTCCGCTGGTACGTTCTTCGGTGCCTTGCTCGGTGCGCCCATGGGCGACATTGTCGGTCGCAAATGGGGTATCGTGTTCTCCTGCTTGGTCTTCTCCATCGGTGTCGCTATGCAAACCGCTGCGACTCAAATCGCCCTCTTCGTCGTCGGCCGCGTCTTCGCCGGTCTCGGCGTCGGTCTCATCTCAACCCTCGTCCCCATGTACCAATCGGAATGGTGAGCTTACATCTTCGCCCCCCCCCCTTTACTTGCGCTAACGCTCTTTGACCAGTGCACCCAAGTGGATTCGTGGCGCTGTCGTGTCCGGCTACCAATGGGCCATCACTATCGGCCTTCTCCTCGCCGCCATCATCAACAATGCCACCAAGAACCGCGCGGATCACTCCTCCTACCGCATCCCCATCGCCATTCAGTTTATCTTTGCCGCCGTCCTTTCCGGCGGACTTGCCCTTCTGCCTGAGTCTCCCCGTTGGCTCGTAAAGAAGGGCCGCCACGCCGAGGCCGCTGCCGCTCTCGGTCGTCTCACCTCCGTCTCGGCCGACGACATCGCCGTTCAGCTCGAGATCGCCGACATCCGCGCCAACCTGGAAGCGGAGACCGCCCTCGGCGATTCGTCGTATCTGGACTGCTTCCGCGGCCAGGGCAACAAGATCGGTTTCCGCACGTTCACGGGTATCGCAATCCAGGCGCTCCAGCAGCTCACCGGCATCAACTTCATCTTCTACTACGGTACCACGTTCTTCAAGAACTCCGGTATCAAGGACGCCTTCATCATCACCATTGCGACCAACGTCGTGAACGTCGGCATGACCGTTCCCGGAATGTGGGGTGTCGAACGCTTCGGGCGTCGACGCCTGCTCCTCATCGGCGCTATCGGCATGTGCATATGTGAATACCTCGTCGCCATCATCGGTGTCACAGTTTCCGTGAACGATCACGCCGGCCAGCAAGCCCTCATCGCCCTCGTCTGCATCTACATCGTACGTGACCATTTCACACACGCTTTTCGACCATTCACTTACCCATATCCTCCAGGCCTTCTTCGCATCTACGTGGGGTCCTATCGCATGGGTCGTTGTCGGCGAAATATACCCCCTCAATATCCGTGCCAAGGCGCTGTCTATGGCTGCCGCCTCCAACTGGCTCTGGAATTTCGGCATCGGCTACGCCACCCCCTACCTTGTCAACAAGGAAGCGGGCTCTGCCGGCCTCGAGTCCAAGGTGTTCTTCATCTGGGGCTCAACCTGCTTGTGCTGCATCATCTTCACCTACTTCTGCATACCCGAGGTGTGTATATCCGCCATATTCACAGAGCCCGGGATCACGTTGTTGACGATTCGCTTTTCTTCACAGACCAAGGGTCTCTCCCTCGAACAAGTCGACATCCTTTACCAGAACACGACTCCGCTCCGCTCTATTGCTTACCGCAAGCAGATGCTCGAGAACGACGTTCACGCCTCGGATCCTCACGCACTCGACAAGATTCGCCACGAGCACATCGAAGAGAAGGTTTAATCAATACGTTACTCGGAACGTCAACAAGACAAAATGTACTATTAGCACATCATATCCCGCGCGACAGCTGTTGTACTTTAAATTTTATTACATCCGGAATAATATCAGGAGCATGATTCCCCAACTCCATGCCTGCCGTATGCCATGAGCTTGAGAAGGTCTTGAGTCGCAATGTCAGAAGCGAAAGCAACACGCTGATCGCTGTTGAAATCCGTTGTCACCCTGGGGTTTCGCCACCTTCGTGACCTTCCAACTTGGCCTCAATCACCTGAAATACGGTGGAGACGGAAACTCAGCTGCGATGGCAGGATCTGATGACTTCGCTTCTCTGAGCTTATTTCTCGCGACACCCGAACAAGTCGTAGAGTCCCGACGGCGGACTTGGGTGCAGTGGGGTCGGGGTCTGACCATCGAGCAATATCTTGAGCGCGATGCATCGATGGATTCGTTGGAGCATGCACGCGATGGGAAGCTACGCACCTGGTGGGTTGACCGGAATACTCACATATTGTAGACGACCATCGCGCACACCGCCGTCCCCCGTTGTGCTGCGATCTCAGGTGATTCTCGGCTGATTACCCTTTTGGTCTCGCATCGTAGGGTTTTGGCGCCCCGAAGCGATCCTACGACCCTCGAATTCAAATGTGCCTGCGAAACGTGCGAGCCATCGCGTCTGCGATTACAACCTTACGGCAGGACGCTGATCGACGCTGCGATGCTTATGCTTAAACCCAACAGGTTCCGACGCGTCGGGCTGATCAGCGGGACATCTGCTGGTGCAGTGCCCGAAGAGGTAGTCTGCTACGGCGTCGCATCCGTCTTCACGCCGGCGCAGTATCGCCGTAAGGGGTACGCGAACCACATGATGAGGCTTTTGCATTGGGTTCTCGGTGCGCGCGATACTACTGCGACGTTCCCGGACGCGTGGGGTACGCCACCCGAGGAAATCGATGGCGTGCCGAGGGGTATTTGCTCGGTGCTGTACAGTGACATCGGGCCCGACTTTTATCGCAAGTGCGGGAAGACCCCGGAGGACGAGGGATGGGTCTTGCGCGGCGCCAACGCCACGGTATGGAACGTGGAGGAGACGCTGGCGCGCATGACCGGGGCGGAGAAGTCTGCAGGAGAATGGAGATGGCTGGATGAAGACGAATGCAAGACCGTCTGGGAAGACGACGAGCGGAGAATGAGAAAGGACCTCGTCGAGGCCGCTGCAGCTTTGGCGCAGAGCGAGCCGCGCGTCGATAGTCTGTTCACGGTCCTTCCCGGTGGAGGAACGGCCGCATCCCAGATAGCGCGGTCGAAATTCTACCTTCAAGCGTCGGGGAAGCCTGAAGCCGATGCGGCCTGGGGTGTCGCATTGTATGGGGAACAGGACTCAATCGATGGGTACGCGACATGGACCCTGGATCTCCCCGCGCCGACGATGATCTTGACGCGGTTGCGCGCTATCGACGAGACCTTTGCAGGGTTGCTAGCGAGAGTCCTGAAAGCGGCCAAGAAGGCGGGGATGACGCGCGTCGAAGCTTGGAACCTGCCTCTGCATTTGCAGGGGGTCGCGAAAGATCTGGGAGGAGAATACGAGGACCGAAAGGACCATCTAAGCGCGATCAGTTGGTATGGGAAGGAGCACCCGGGAGAAGTTCATTGGCTATTCAATGAGCGCTTCTGTTGGTGTTAGCTGATACGAGTAACGAACGAATCAAATACTCGGTAATAGCAACAACGCCTCTAACCCGTCGCGTCGGCTGACGAGAGAGGGATACAGTCACGGTGTCTAGCTCGGCGAGCATATCCGGACACCGGCCAGTGAGAGTCTTCCATGTTCCAGGGAACTCATGATAAGCTATCATATTCTGTATAGGAGGTCAGAAATCAGCAATTTGGCCAAACAGAGGCCGTTAAGTATATTGCATTGGGTAGACAAGAGCGCTAGCACGGTTTAGCGATCAATGTTGCTTTCCCACACCTTCGCCCTGGGACAAACGCCATCACGTGTCGTGAGTCACTGACATTTCCCTCGCGTCCCCCTGCCAGTTCCCCAGAGTCGCAAGCTGCGCTGCTTTGGATACACGTCTAGCCCTCGATCCGAGCAATGCTCGACGACGAATATGTAGAAACATCAGACGCAGAAGAGCGAGAGCAACTTGCTGCGCAAGACCCTACGTACTTACCCAGGATATTTGGAGTCCAGGCATCTCCATTCGTCAAGCCGAATACGCGTTCCGATGCTATCGGGTGTAGTCCCTCCATAGGAGGATCCCCCGAGGACAAGAAGCCTTTGAAGAAACGGAGAAAGGCGCGTACCAGATTCTACACATGCGCGTCACTCGTCTGATTGTGCCGCTACAGCTCAATCCCGAGGAGTTGTCTGTACCAACCATCGAATGCGTCCGTCCGGAGTCCACCCTGCGCACTTACTCTCGCAAAGATAGAGGAGTACCGGGACAATACGAGAAGACACGCGAGCTCAGTCATCCCAGCTCTCAGGCGTCAGGCTCTGTCATACGCACGCCTTCTCGCGGCCCATCACCTGACGTGCTACTCAGCGCACCGCCAGAAACGGACGAAGGAGTCGGATCGTATGACACTACCGATGATCCACTGGACGCATTTTGCGATGATAAGGAGGACGCTCGTCTACGCGATCATGGCACCTCCTCTCGGCCTACTTCTCCTCCCGCAAGTACCAGTACTCTGGACCTTGCTGCCCCAGACCTCGATGACTGGGACTCTCCCCTCCAATCATCTCCGCCTCGCCCTGTACCTACGGACAGTATCAATCGTCCCATCCCTTCTCGATCTCCCTCATTGGACCCTTTGCGTCTGACCTCGGCTGAACCAGTCAACCACGCCGCTGCTCCTTACTCCCCGCCTAACCCTGAAGCAGAGACAATAGATGCAGCGATACAAGAGCTGCCATCATCTGCGCTGCCATCCTCGCCGCTTTCCCAGCTATCTAATTCACCGCGCAGCTCTGCATCGCGTGCCTCCTCTCGAAGCCGTTCCCCTAGTCAAAACCGAGGATCTGTGGAGATCGACCTCTCCGTGGACGCGGCGGATTCCGGTGAAGGACAGGCCCCACGTTGGACGTTTCGGAAGCGTCAACCTATCCAAAAACGTCCGGTGACGATCCTGGACGGTCGATATGCGAAGCAAATGAAAGCTGCTGATCCGGATGCCTATGTCCCCCCCAGATATACTCGCGGGCGATCAAGATCTCGGGAGCGCGTGGGGAGCGGCAATGGGGCCGACGACAGCCAGGACAAGGAATGGCAAGAAGGGGAGACGCAGGAGGGTCAGGAGGAGGGCGACGGAGAGGGGTTTGATGACTACGTCGACGTCGTGAGGGACCGGACGAGACGGGGGAGACGCTCCGCGAGCAGAGCCCGTAGTGGTGATCGACTCGAAAACGAACATGCGGATCAGCAACCCAGCAACGCCAAGAAATGGTACCCCAAAGCATTCGACGAGATGAGCGATGATGATGTGGATGGGGCTCAATCCCGAGGGCGAACCCAGAAATCGCAATCCGATTCTCAAGTGGTCGAGCCGATACGGCGGAAAAAGTCCAATGCATTTCCCATGCGTCTACCAATTACCACAAACTCGTCGCGGAAAACCGTATCTCCCAGGTCTAGGAAACGACGAGAGGTACGTCATTTTGCTGTTTGGTCAATGTCGATTGCTTAATTCGCTATCGAAGACATCATCTAGAGCTCGATCTAGGACTGCGACCAAACCTGCACATCCTCCTCATGTCTCACATGATCACATGGAAACATTCGATGTCGACGTCAATGACCCGCATCATACAGTCGACGATGATATGCCCTGGGAAATAGTCACAGATGCTGATCGGCTGGCTGCAACCCCGCCGCCCAGCACGCCACCGGACTTCCAAGCTGCGGCCTTGCCAACCGTTGATGCCCGGTCCATACCGAACAGTGTGGACTCTCCTGTTCCAGCATCTCCGGGTGGGGACTCCAACTCTGATTCTCCGCAACAGTCCCCCGTTCGCGGCACCGCTTCAAGCTCAGGCTCGGAAGATGGAGTCGAGTTGGATCCGAAGCAACAGAAAATCTTGAAAAAGATGGGGCCGGTGGTTCTGTGGAAGCGTATGGTCTTGGAGGACAAATCTAGGCCAAAGAATCTTCGCAAGATTCGTGACAAACATCGGGATGAATCTGGACCTTTACAGCCTGGCCAGTCCAGGGTCCGCCCTACTGTGGCGAATGCCGACCGCGAAGTTCGCGGGGATACGGAGAGCGAAGACGACGAACGCTCTTCTGGCGAAGTCTCCCCTCGCTTACGATCAACTCCGGGGCCGGTATCGTCTCCACGAATGTCGGGAGGCCACAAGAGGCTCACCCGCACCAGGGCGCCGTCGCCCAGTCCGCGGACGGAAGTCATTGATCTCCCAAACGATGACTCGGAGTCATCGGAAGAAGGCGGCATAAGCGATGTGGTGGCTGATGTCGACGACGAACTCGTGGCTACGTTCAACGACCCTCGGGCGTGGCAGGAGAGCGGTTCGCGTGGTCGTGTCAACGAAGGAAGCTTGATTGACTACATGTTGACAAGAACTTTGACTGGGAAGCGCTCTCGGCGGATCTCCAAAGCGAGATCCCATTCGAAGCGCAGACGTGATCCTGGATCGCACGGCCATGCTAGAAGGAGCTATCCTCTCGATATCGTCGTCGGTGGAGCACGAAGTAGCGGTGGCACGCATCAAACACGTCTGCCGTTTAGGACAGCGGGCGGGAGGGACCGACTCGCTGATCGACAATCTTCGTCTCGGCCTCTTTCCGTGGAGCCTGAGGAGGGAGACACAGACGGGAGCGTTGCCGGTTCCACGGATGCTCCAAACGTCCATAAAGCGGTTCTTGCAGAAACCCAGCAAAAGCGGAAGAAGAAGAATCGTGGACATCGTCAGATGCATCTTCACGTTCAGAAGTCAGATGGACGCCCGCTTATAGGACTTCGCCGACGACCGGATGCTGTTACCATTGATCTTGAAGACGAGTCGTTCCACATAGCGCTCGCACCCTTGCAGCGAGAGGAGGCTCGTGCTAGGGCCCGGAGACCCGCGCAATCGCTCGGGCGAGACGGTATGAATGTCAGAAACCAACACGCCGCGGCAGTTGATCATGACGATAATCACGCTGCGCCTCATCGTCGCTCATCGTCTCCAGAGAGGTCGTTCGGTGGTACGACTACCATCAGCTTAGACTTCGGGATCAAGCTCTTTCGCCCCGGGCTCCGCTTCAGCAGACGTTTCTATCTCGGTAGGGAGGGCCTGTACAGCTTGGTTGCAGCCTTGGGTGGACAGGAGGAAAAGGACGCAGTGGTGCTTCCTAGTGACGTCAATATCGTTCCTTCTTCAAGTGCAGAACTCTGCACCTGGTTCTCTAGCTACTGCACCGCCTTACTGGCCAACGTGAACGACGCTACCCAGGATGAGGACGACGTCCTCGATAGGAGGCTCCATGAAGTTGCCCGATACGTTTCGAATTTCCTCAGCACGGACGCGAGCGTGAATGCTAGCGAGGCCAAGGCGAGTGTCGTGCATGAAGCAATTCAGCTGGTGGCTGCACTTGATCGTAGCATCCCTGGGACGCTTAGCTACGACCACCATATAGCAGGACGTTATCTCTCTATCCACTGGTTCGCTGTGGAAGTAACTGCAAGACTAAGCTGGAAGCATGGAGCTGGCAACGACGCTGCGATTGCAGAAGGCCCTTTTGGTTCACTTCTCAGTCTTATCTGTTCATTGTGTAGACGGCTGCAAGAATGCGGTGTGCAACGCTCGGTGGACGCCCTGGCGAAGGTGGATAAGGACCTTGACCATCCTTCTCCGCAGGTCCGCGGAGCGGAACTGTGGATCTGCCTATTCCATTTATCGATCGCTTGCCGGGATCGCCTCCCTGGTTTGAGCAACACCTCAGACCACCCGCTCTTCGATATCCTGCGCCAACCTCAGAGCTGCCCACTACTCCAGTCGGACCTAGAGGCCAGTGAGACGCTCTGGAGAAGCATCTTCAGCCTTAGTGCTTTATCCCAATTCTCAGCCCATGGAATGGCCAGGTCAGATCCCTCTATGCCACCGTCTTGGGACGTTGTACTTTTAGCACTCAAGCAAATTCGCCTCACGCACGAGGCCGCTGATGAAGGACTCAGTCGAGCCGCCCTGCGAAAAAGGGACGAATACGTGCGCTTAGTAGTGTTTAGGTGCTTTCTCCTATGCAAGACGTGGAAATGGAGTTTACACGGCGCAGTTCCTGTCATCACGCATCTCATGGAGATCTTCAAGAGCCGTCGATTCTGTAACCTTCAAGGTGAACGCTCCGACTTCCCAGTCTTCATACGAGAGCACAATATCAAGATGCTTTTCGAATATGACCAACACGACACTGCCTTCTCGTGCTTCCTGAAGCTTATATTTCGCGCAGCGCAAGACTTCAAAAGCGATAAAGTGTCGGGGGCACCTTCAGCGAAGCTCAGAAAGGTGTTGTCCCTCGTTATACCAGTCGGATCTGTTCCCTTCACGAAGTCCAACCCACCGCTTCAACGAGACTTGTCCATGCTTTTCAATCGTATATGCACAGTCTTCCTGGGCATCCTCCTAGAACCCTCCCCCGTTTTCATACACCATAGGTTTGGACTCGCGCAAGGATATGCCGATTTTCGACACGCTGATTTTGCTACTCGGCATGCATGCATTCGAGGCGCCATGTACTTCACAATCCTATTCCGACATTTGAATCTCCCATTGAACCAACCCATGGCTTGGGCGAAGGACATGGCCCATATTCTTCTCGAAGAGTACAGGACGTCGCCTGTGGTTCATGCACCAAAACTCGCCGCCAACCACGAGAAGGATCGAATAGCGACGCTCATTCAGATATTGTTGATGTCACTACAGAAGGCTGTGGAGGTATGCACGATGGACCCCAATGAAAACAAGGTCGTGTATCCTGATCCTGCCCTTCTGGACGGACGTGAGTTCGAGTTCACCTCACGCTCATCCTGTTTTCGGCGTCTCTGACTGTATTGTAGCTTGGATATCCGAGACACTGAATCCAACGGTGGGATTGGTCGACTTGCGGTCGACAGGTTACGCAGTCCGGAGTCTGGTCCAGGCATTCCTCGATGCCCGTTCTGCTTATATGCCTAAACCACGTAGGCCGAGGAAGACGCATCACAGTGAAGACAGTCAAGAGTATGATGACTTCGAACTGGACCTGAATGATCCAGCACTTCTTGTTGCACTGGGAGAAGCCCCTGCTGAGCGCTCCGACGCCGTCATAAAGGAGGCACGCCTTTGCCAGGTGCGTGGCGTTGCCCAGACTCAGAAATTCCTTTACTGAATATGCACGAAGATCATCGATAGTCACATTATGACACCGATATTTCGCTTTGTCTGCAAACATGTTCTCGACCCCAACGAAAACCTGTGGACGCTGGAACAATTCCGCAACGATGCTGATCATTGGGTAGACTGCTGGGTTGGCTGTGCCAACGTTCTAGTGCAGAACGGGCTGAAAGTTAGTACTAGTCGGTTGACATGCGGTCGGCTCGCTGATATAATCTAGGACTGGTCGCGGTTTTATGAATACGGATCGGGATCCTGGGACCAAATCATGGACACTGCGAAGCGAAGACGTGTTAGCCTGCGATTCATGTACACGCTATTGCGATTGGATCCTCAAGCGTATACAGTACGTGAGATGGCGAGTTTCTGCGGGCAGCGCCGCTGAATGAACCCGTATAGAAGGATACGACACGTTTCATGCAAGTGATGGCAGAATCCTTGGTGACGGCCACGGTGTCCTTTGAGCATAAATATGTTGCTCTGTTACTTTCCATTGACGACCTTGAGCATCCCCTGTTACGAGGGTTGTCGGTGACACGCGCGAATGGTCAGGAAGACTTCGACTTCACGGTACCGCAGTTCCTCGCGACACGGTGTATGATCCTCGAATGTAAGTGCAAAACGTTGGCGCACTTCCTGTTTCTTACCTTCCACAAGGCATGTTCAAGAATCTCGAGGCGAATCTGCCACGGCAGATATCTGCAGACGTGCGGCTTGCTCGTCACAACCAGGAGTATATGAACATCGTGGCTGCAGCGCTTTCGACGATGAAGGACATTGAAACGGTTCGTTCGAAGATGATTCTCGGCAGTAACGAGCGTACTGATGTAACTCCCAGTCCCTCCCCCCAGAGGACACCCTCGTTAAAGAGAGCTACGGCAGATTTCGCCACAGCATCATGGAGTCACTGACACGTCATCCTGCGGTTGCTGCTGCGCCGCGGCTCAGACCGATAATCGAATCATTCCGCATTTCATAGCATGATTTATACCATCGACATCCACAATGTACATCAGGCACTTTGTACTTCTACACTCATCATCATGGCTTCGCAATGTGGGGGCGTTATCTCATGTGGGGTATGTTCGGTCCCGAACTCATCTTGCACGAACACGAATCTGGCATGGTATTTTGATCGCAATGATACAGTAGCACGGTAGAGTTGCTTCAAATCTGGCAGTCAAATGCCCAAGCAGATCCTGGCAGGGAAATTGAACAGGTACGGCAACGCATAGTAATGAGACGCCCCGGCTAGATTTCCCCCTCTTCGGGTGTCTCCTCACGAGCGGGCTGCGAAGTCTTCCCATTCGTTTCAGGGATAGGAGACGACTTGTCATATCTCGCTCGCTATGCAGACCGGTTAGTTGATTCGGTCTGTCCGAGAATAGCTCGCGTACCTTATCGACACGGTCATCATGACGATCGTCGTAGTCACGTTTAGTCGACCCCTCGCGGTCCCTGTACCCGAGGCTTACGCTCCTTTCCCTCTCTTCTCGTCCATGTTCGCTTGTCGGCTTCGGGTTGTCTCTCTCACGGACGTACGGATCATCGCTCCTCCTGTCCCTATCCTTGTCTCGTCTCCGATCTCTGTCTCTCTCTTCGCGTTCGCTCTCATACTTGCTCCTCGAGCTCTTGTAGTAGTCCTTACTGTCCCGCGCATAATCTCTGTAGTCCTTGTAATCCTTTTCGCGGTGGTCCCGATCGCCACGAGAATATTCCCGATCCTTGTAGTAGTCTCGGCTGGTAGAGGTTCGGTGGCGGTCGTAATCGTCATGATAACTGTGGCGGTGGTGATCCCGTTCCGAGCGGTAGTCGTCCTTTTCACGATGGGGCTCCTTACGCTTACGACTCGTGGTAGAACCGCCGTCATCGGACGCTTCGCGCAGCCGCTCCTGTAAAACGTAATGGTTGGATCACGTAAGATTGACGCGAACAGATGGGGCGTTTACCTTCTGCCTCTTGATGAACTTGGCGAAAGCAGCTCGCCTGCCATCGTCCTCTAGCGCCTTGAACTCGGGAAGATCTTGCATCAATGGGATAGCCTGTTATGTGAGAGGGGCACGATTGAGCAGATGCCAACACGTTAGAAAGCCCACGCACGTCTTCGTAGGACATATTTACGTCCAGCGGCTCCGGCAATTTCTTGAGCGCATATCGCAGATCGTCTTGCATGTGCCTCTGCTTCCTCTCTGCTCGCTTGCGCTCTTCGTCTTGTTTCTTCTGAGCGTCCGCAAGTTTCTTTGAAGGGTGCGATCAGCATGAGAACACATGCACGCAAAGGCGACTCCTTACTGTCCGAAAGATCTCTGTGATATCCGCGCTGGTCAGTTTCCTGACCTCTTGATCCCCCGTAGCCTCCACAGCGGCTTTGAACTCCTCTTCCGTCGTCTCAGGTTTCACTTCGAACACCTCAACCTCTCCCTTCTCCTTGTCCGCCCCGTCAGCCTTGTCGCCCTTGCGTTCTGCTGCTTTGCGAAGCGCGGCGTCAACGGTCGCAATCTTGGCGTCCAGCTTCTGGTCCATGTCATCGACGATATCCCAGAAGAGCTCGAGGGGGTTCGAGCCAGGGTTGCCGAGAATGTTCAGGTACCTGTCGTCATCTTTGATGGAGGGATAGATTTGCTTCCACTTGGTACGTGCCTTTAAGATGCCTGACTGAACGAGCTCGGCGAGGAGGGCCTATGCATAGACAGCCCATCGTTAACAACACTACTACGCGGCAAGAAAGAGGAAGGTTGCGCACCTTGAATCCCTCCCGTGCCTTCCGCTCCTTCCTGGTCTTCTCGAGCTGCTGCTTGCGCATCTGCTCCTCGAACTCCCTCTCGCGCACTCGGCTGTAGTCTTCGAACGCAAGCAGTATATCAAGCGTGGGGAGGTTCGCCAGATCCGGGTTCGACTTCCACTCCTCCGAGTTGATGAGCATCTGGTGGGCTTGGCGCCAGCGCGTGAGGACGTCCACGTCGAGCTGCTTGAAGAGCGCCACAACGGTGGAGATGGCACGAGAGCGCGCGGCGCGCTGCTCCTGCATCTCACGTTGCTTCAGCTCCCCGATGTACTCCTCGAAGATAAGCTTGCGCTCTTCGGCGATCTTGGCCTGCTGCCAGATGGGGTGATTCGCGAACAGGCGATCAGCAGTGGCAAAGGTGGAGTAGTGGTGTACGTTCGGGTTGCCTTTCAGCATGTTACGGAGGGCGGGGCGGAGCTTGGCGAGACGGGCTTCGCGCTCTTCCTGCTCCTTAGCCTTCAAGCCATCGACGTACTATGAGGAAAAGTGGTCATTGGTATGATTTTTTTCCAACGTCAGAGCCTCGAGAATGCGCACCTTCTGCCAGCAATTCTTTTTCTCAGCCAGTGTATTCAGCGCTTTGTACAGCGGATCGGTAATAATAGTGCGCATCGTCATGTCCCAGGTCCAGCTCGCGTCCACGCCCGCCTTCCTGAGCAGATGCGTGAACGCCTTCTCACCTTCCTCGAGAGTGGCGAAGCCGTTGTGGGGTATAACGGGGTCTTCCGGGAGGTTGGGGCGCGCGGGGAGGGCGCCGGTCGTAGCGGTGGAGATGGGCAGCCCATTTTGGGTCGGCAGGGCCACGGAGAGATCCATGCCTGGCACAAGGGCGCCTGCTTGCCCGATGGGAGTGAAGCCGGCAGGCGCGGGAAGCATGCCAGGTGCGCCGCTAAGTGCCGCATGAGGTGAGTACGTGTTTGGGTAGGCCCTACAGTGAACGAGCGTACGAAGGCGCTGGAGTAGGAGTGGCCGATTTCTCCTTCTCGACTTTTTCCAGGAGCAGCAGGAGTTCCTCCGGCATATCCCATTTTGACTCCTTCGTCTCAGTCTATCGTCGGTGAAGTAGCGTAAGTTATCAAGTCTCATAGAGCGGTAAGTAACACACGTTGTAGTAGTACTTCCTCCCGCCAGAGAAGTACTCTTTCCATTTGGTGTTGTTGAGCGCTTTCTCGAAGGGAGTCTTCAAGTCTGCATACGTGGTGTCATGCAGAGCACACGGTTAGCAAAATGACGGACGCACCGTCAGGCTTCTCCCATACACTCTCCCTAGTGGTGGTGTTGAACCAGTAGGTCCGGCCTTCCGGATTGCGATGTTCGGTCTATTCCACTATGAGCATGATTTTCTGCAGATTGCGCAGCTCATCTGCGCACCCAAACATTCATCTCGGGAGTACTACGGCTCCGTGCTGTGGCGAAGCTCCAGACGAATAGATATCAGAGAGACGAGCCAGCACACCGGTGTAGACGGAGGTGAAGGACGTCGGGAGTCAAGACCTGCAAGCGCCCATAGCGAAGAGTCCCTTCGCGCCACCGAGCACAATCTCTGCAATTGCAACTTGCAAGTGCACCAAGCGGCACTCTCTGCCAGGTCACAGCGGATGAAACCGAAGTCTAGAATGCGTGCATTATATGAAGCTAACATGTGTAATACTATGGTGATGGCTGCTGAATGGCTGGAATCTCAATATCCCCGATCCTCAACCTCGTATACGTCTGCTTATGAGTGACCGTCTTCCGGTAGCCCTTCCTCTTCTTGAATTTGACAATGACCTCCATCTGGCCCTTCGTGTGTTCCACGACGGTCGCGTCAAGATTCACGGCGCCTCCGGGTATGACAGGGTTCCCCCGCAGAGTGTAGTCGCGTGAGCCCAACTCATGGATGTCGGAAAGGCGGAGTTTGTCGCCGACGCGGACGTCTTTTAGCCTGGGGACTGTGAGGAGGTCTCTTGGGCTCAGGAGGTACTTTCGGCCGGCGACGGAGGCCACGACGTATTGTGACGGCTGGTCGCGTATGAGCGCGAGCGCGCGTTGCGTGTTCTGGTCCAGCGCAGCGGAGCTATGGGCTGTTCGTATGCCGGTCGCACATATCCGCGACAGCGTGTTCACGCCTGCACACCTCGTCAGCGTGTCGAATCACATAGGACGGCCGTGGTATTTACCTCTTAACATGCTCATGGTGGGTGGCAGAGGACGGGATGAAGTACCGACGCACGTGCTCGCCTCATCGTGAGAAAGTTGGGCAGGTCCAGGTGCGAGGTACTGGAGAGGCGCAGCCTCGGAGGCAGTAGCAGCGACGATAATGGAGTACTTCATCGCGTCGTTCTCCTCAAGGGTCTTGACGAGCTGAGCGACGGTGGAACGCTTCTGGCCGACGGCGACGTAGACACAGTAGAGCTTCTGTGACTCATCCGCGCCGTCGTTCCAGCGCTTCTGGTTGAGAATGGTGTCGATGGCGACGGCAGTCTTGCCGGTCTGACGGTCACCGATGATCAGCTCACGCTGACCACGACCAATGGGCACCATGGCGTCGATGGGCTTGATACCAGTCATCATGGGCTGGTTCACCGAGCGACGAGGGAGAATGCCGGGCGCCTTGAGCGAGGCACGGCTACGCTGGGTGGCCTCAATGGGGCCCTTGCCGTCGATGGGGTTGCCGAGGGCGTCAACGACACGACCGAGGAGAGCAGGGCCGACGGGGACGTCGACGATCTGGCCGGTACGCTTGACGGTGTCGCCCTCCTTGATGAGACGATCGTTACCGAAGATGGAGACACCGACGTTGTCGGCTTCCAAGTTCAAGCACATGCCACGGACACCGGAGGAGAATTCCACCATCTCCTCGGCTATAGAATAGATCAGTACCTGGCGTCATGATAAGTACCGGGGAAGGCACACCCTGGACGTTCTTCAAGCCCCAAACGCGCGCGATACCGTCACCGACGCCTGAAGAAATGGCGTCATCAGCTTCGACCTCGGTGGTAATTCCAATCCCAACATACTGAGGACACGGCCAGTCTCCTCGACATTTCCGCCTATTGAAGTGCCGGCAATGCGGGACTCAAGGATGGAAGAAACCTCCGAAGCGGCTGTGACGTATCATAGTTGCGAGGTCACGAAACACAACGACAAGGATGCCAAGAGGAGAAGAAAATCAACAGCACGCGTCAGTTGCGGTATGTGGACCCGAGGAGGTGACTACGTACCGGCTTTCGCGGTAGCGTATGAGCGGAAGACGGCCGGGGCGACGCGGACAGCGCTCTGTTTTCCGGCGTAAAACGTGAGCAAATGGGCCAAAAATTGGGTCCCAGCGTCGACGGACCTTTTGGGAGGCGGCCAGCGCGGCTGCGCGCGCCGAATTGTTGAGGGCGAGTCTGTGCATGGAGGACGACGGGGGGAGCGATGAGGAAAGAAACTGTCGGATGCGCCCGGGCCATTCTTCTCTGGCTGTGCCATGGGCGAGTGGTTCCGTGACAATGGCAAGCACGGTAAGCATCTTTGCCCGCCGATAGGGTGTCGGTTAGCTGATTGCTTGTACAGCTCTCATCGTCTACGACGATCTGTCCAAGCAGGCCGTTGCTTACCGTCAGATGTCCCTCCTCCTCCGTCGTCCTCCCGGTCGTGAGGCCTACCCCGGTGACGTCTTCTACCTCCACTCTCGTCTCCTCGAGCGTGCCGCGAAGATGAACGACAAGTTCGGTGGTGGATCCCTCACTGCGTTGCCCATCATCGAGACGCAGGGTGGTGATGTGTCCGCCTACATTCCGACCAACGTCATTTCCATCACGGACGGTCAGATCTTCTTGGAGGCTGAGCTCTTCTTCCGTGGTGTCCGTCCCGCTATCAACGTCGGTCTCTCTGTGTCTCGTGTCGGCTCCGCTGCCCAGACGTACGTACCATGGTTACCTTTCCCGAGGGCACCCCACTGATGCGATCCCCGCTTTCAGCAAGATCATGAAGAAGTTCGCCGGTTCGCTGAAGCTCTACCTTGCGCAATACCGTGAGGTCGCCGCCTTCGCGCAGTTCGGTTCCGATCTCGACGCGTCGACCCGCTTCCTGCTCTCCCGTGGTGCTCGTCTCACCGAGCTCCTCAAGCAGGGTCAGTACCAGCCCATGGCGATGGAGGTCCAGGTCCCCATCATCTACGCCGGTGTGAACGGTCTGCTCGATTCCATCCCCGTCGACAAGATCACCACATGGGAAGCCGAGTTCCGCTCGCATCTGGCCAGCGCGCAGAGTGCGCTGCTTGAGGAGATCGCGAAGGGCAACATCACCCCCGAGCTCGAGGGCAAGATCAAGAAGGTCGTGGAGGACCACGTCTCGTCGTTCACTTCGTAGATCGTGTCCTTTCCATAGCATCTAGATAGCGATTCGCGGTGTTGGCTGCTGTTTGTTGGACGGCGTGGACGACCAAAATACGAATAATATTGCGAGTCTTTTCTGGTAACCAAATGAGAGTTGGCGTCGTGCAGACCGCTCGACAGCATAGAAATCCTGCGACGAATTCAATATAATGGAGGTATTAACCCACCGAGGTATCGCTTGATCAATTTGAAGCACAGTCGTGATATTTACTGTGTTGAACGTCTGTGAAGCAGTCGATAGATAGGAAGTTGAACCCGCCGAGCGGATCAAACGTCGATGGGTTCAACTTGGAAGTTTGCTCCATACAATCCATGCAAACGAAACTCAGAGAGAGGTCGACATGGCATTGAATGATATGATGTTCGATGTTTAATCTTGTCCGCGTCTTGGTATGATCACTACATAAGAAATATCCAAAATTTCCCGAACTTTTTTTTGGGTTATTTGTACACTATCGACGGCGGGTCTGGGAGGGAACGATGGAAGGAGTGTGGGTTACCGAGAACGCTGAAGCGCCTCGGGGGGGAGCAAGTGAAGACGTGGTTACAGCGTGCACTCTGTACCCCGCCGTCACTTACTCCGCTACATGAAGGAGTGTGTATGTCGCAATAACGAACGAGAGTGCGCAGAAGGGGTATCGCGTCCAAGCCGGGAACAGTGCCCATGAAGGGCGGGTATAAGGGGCCCGACGACTCCAAGCATCGAAGAGTGGCAGAGGAGCCGGGGTATCGGGGTATCGGGGCCCGGGGGTGGCAGCCGTGGGTCAGGCGGGTGCGTCGCGTGTCTCCGAGGGACGAGGTGGGAGACAGAGGCGAAGGTCTGGAGGTCGAGGCGTCTTCCTGCGCGAAGAGCGTCGAGAAATCCAGAGGTGGAAGGCGTACGGCGCTCGCGGATGCTCCCGGAGGAGAACCCTTGAGGGCGTACGAGAGCCGATGAAGTGGGCGGACCAGGCCCCGGCGAGGCATCCTGCGAAGGCCGAGGCGAAGCTCGGCCGGGGGGGCAGGCGCGGGCATGTCGAAGGGTATATAGCGAGGTCGACAGCCAGAGAGGGCCAAGAGGCCAGAAGGTGCCCCGAAGGGCGGACGCGTCGGGCTATTGAGCCAGAGAGGTCCAGGTGCGATCGCAACAGCGACGCGAGAAGAAGCCGCTCTCGGTGACCTGTGGAGGCAGGGCGAGGGGAAAAAGCGCGGACCAGGGGAAGCTGGAGGTGGCGCTGAAAACCGAAGTTGAGCAGACCCGTCGTCGAAGTGTACTTTTTCCAGAGAAATCCAAAATCCGAGACGATGATGAGATGAGGAATCCGGGACCGTAGAGAAATGAGACCTGGCGAAACTGGGGCTGGCCTGGAAGTATGGAGGCGATGGAGTGCTGAAAAAGACATTTGGAACATTGGGGGGGCAGGCGATGGTCATTTCTGGAGAAAGACGAAGGTAAGCCTCGCGCTCGGGGAACGAGGTCGATAAAAGCTACTGACCTGATCCTGCCATGCACATCATCTCTAGAACCAGCGCATGCGAATGGGATAAAGCTTGTTCAGAAGCTCGCGCATGGGGTAGCACTTGCGGCCGCCGGGGCGACGAACAGCGCCGTGACGCTTCAGCTTTGACGGGCGAGCGTCCAGGACGATGTCTTGATCGTAGTTGACCACGTAATCTTCCTCGTCATGGACCTCTTCGTGGCGGATGTTGCCTACCCTGCGAAGGCCTTGCTCAGAGCGCGGCCCGAACCGGGCGGTCAGGTTCGTTGGAACGGCCTCCGGGACGATGACGGGGTCGACCATGGAAAGGGGCGCCTCAGCAAAGGTGGGACGCTCCTCGTCGAAGGCAGGGAAGGGCGTCAGGTCGGGGAACTTGGTGGAGACAGACTCCAAGAGGGAGTCCAGGATAGAGTTGTTCAGGTCGGCGTTGCGGACGGCGGAGTCGACAGAGTAGATGGAAGCCGAGTCGCAAGACGGCGATTCCTGGAAGGAGGTAGCAGGCGAGTCCTCCTCGTTGTGCGGCAGCTCGTCGAAGATCGGGGAAGGGGATTCCTCAGAGAGCGCAGGTGACTCCTCGATGATAGCAGCCAGACATTCCGCGGACAAAGTAGAGGACGAGTCGACGATGAAGGCGGACGACCGGTTCGCGACATGCTTCTTCTTAAAGATCGCGGCCCCTACCTGGCTCGAGATCTTGACGTTGCTGACGAGCTGAACCTGGGAGCCGCCCTTGTTGTTGCTGAGGAAGTCGTTCCAACAATCAGACGTAGGCATTTCGGAGCGTTCCAGAGAGGTAACAGAGGCAGAGAGAGTCACAGAGGTACGATCAGCTTTCGCCGAGCGGACGGGGAACACGAAACCAACAACCATAGACTTTCTGGTGTAGGACATGGTGAGGTTTGGAGAGATGGTGGAAGCTGGATAAGCTTGGTTTGAAGTGGTAGCTGGTAAAGATCGAGGTTAAACAAAGTTTATGCATTTCGTCCAGTGCGGCGCGGCCTTTATAGCCCACAGAGGGCGGAAGGCGGAAGGGATCGTGTTTGCAGGTTGTAGACAGCGGAAGGCGGGTTAGTGGGCGGATGCTTGGTGGAACGGCGTAGGGCTAGTGGACAAACCAGAAGAGAAATATTCCGGCGGCGTGCTGGCCTTAGCTGGTTCATCCTGCACGACGACCGACTCGATCTCGAAGGCCGAACTCGCCGGTATGCGTGCGGGATGATGAAAGTCGCGGAGAAGCTAACGCACCGGTCGTCGATCGACGCGATCCACCTCCCCGGCGATTCCCCGCGCGTCCATGAACCATGTGCCACGCGTTTGACTTCAACTCGCGCGTGGATTGCAACAGTTCATTACTCTGTCGTCTTGAGTGGCCGTGCTGCCCCCATCGACGTCTCGGAACGACCGCTGGATATCTCGTGATACCGGATTTGCTAGCATATTATAGGGAACGATTAGCCAGATAGGCAGACATTGTCGTGAGCGGACACTAAGACGCCGACATGGTCTCTCAACCTGCTGTCAAGAACGCCCTATAAAGTAGAAAACGTCTCCGGTCATGCGGTATTTTCCAAATTCATTATGATGGTGTTCGAGCTATGTATTGAGTAGGGGATATGCAGGTGGTGGGAAAACATGTTGCATGAACCGCCATCCTCTACCGGAGGCATTAGTCGCTGTATGTGTACTTTCACGCGAACGGCGATATATCTTAAAGGTAGGCCCGTGCCGACCTGCGCGCCATCTAATACAAAGTGTAAGCTTCTCGAGCGCAACATGATCGACAACCGGGGTAAAGCTCACTTCGATGACTTTCCACCCGCCCGTCAGCTCATCCTCGATGTCTTCCTCCACCCTCGTGATAACCGCCGCGTAATGACATTGTTCCACCTTGTCCTCGGCACCAACGACAATCTCACCCGTCTTCGCATTCCGGAAGGTCATCACTTCCTGCGTTGCGAACGTTACGACCCACACCGGGACCAGTTCCGCTTGTGCAGTAGCGGACTCGAGAAGTTTGCCAGCCGTCACGTCAACTTGGCGGATATCCAGAACCTTGGAGTCCGAGATGAGCCCTTGACGGAGGTAGTGTTCCATAGTTGCCCAGAGAACATTGTAGGTCTGGGGGTGGACTCAGAACCAGGATATATTTGGGCTCGGGGAAGTCGCTACTCACTGCCTCAGAACACCACTTCTGCAAGCTCTCTCTATCCGCGCTAAGGTACGCATCCACCACTTCCGGGATGATATACTCCCTCAACTCCTTCTCGAATACGTCCATAGTCCACGTCGAGTCCATCGCCTTCATCATCCGTATCACCTGCGCGGTCTCGTTCTCCTCGAACCAGCCCCCGATCGTCTGCGTGATTCCCCGCACACTGGTCACGAACGGGTTCTCCGACTCGTCGAACTGCTGCTTCAGCTCGCCCAGTTTGATGAGCAGTGGGTTCGTCTCCTTCAGACGTTGCCATTTTTCTTGCCGTGGAGAATCTTTGTGCAAGACGAGGGAGGATCCGGCTTCCGGGTTCGCTTTCACGCGTTCCCGGCCCTTGGAGATGGCGTCTATGCCAGCCTTCGCCAATCGCATTTGTCTCCGCTTTCTGCGAGCTTCCTTCTCCTCGAACCCTGCGTGCTTCGCGGAGCCACTGTCGTCAAGAGCATCGACGATAGTGTCAGAGAAGACCTTATACGCGGCGGTGTTGCGTATCGGTTCGGTAGTCTTTTCGATGGTGGAAGAGACAGCTGTCGACGCTCGAGAAATCTACCAGGAAGCAACCTGAACAACATATGCTTCGTATACGTGATGGTGCTTACCGCGCGCATGAGCTCCGACTCTTCCATGGACCTCAACGCTTCGCCGACCGCGTCTCCAACCTTTACACCAGCCTTCCGGAGTTCCTCAGCAGCAGCCCGTAGCCGAGGGTTCTCCTTGATGCTGGACGTCAACTAAAATGACGCATTTAGCCCTCCGTCCGGGTGTCTATTCGGGCAAGCGTACCCTCGCCCGTTCGTACATCTCCCTTGCGCGCTTCATCGCCTCCGAGTCCTGGAGCTTGTCCACGTCTCCCTGCAGTTGCTTGACATTTTCCTGCAGTTCACGATTCTTCTTCAGCTCGTCCTTGAGGACGTCGACGAACGTCTGGAAGGGTGACTTGGGCAACTCGTCCTGCCGACGTGATGACGAGTGGAATGCCGCTCTGTGCGCTGCCGACAAGGGAGACAGCATCCTTGACCGGGGAGTCAGCGCGTATCGTTGCGCAAGAGCCAGTCGTGCCCGAGCATTGGTGCGAACGGCGCTCTGGAGGTGACGGGGCAGCATCGAGAGTGACTTGCTATGCGGGCTGCAGAGTTCCCGACCAGCGGCGGCTGAAGGAGACACGGGTGGCGGTGCAGGCCATGGCCGAATATTTTGGGCACGTGAGGACCTCGGAGCTCGTGCACGGGCAACTCCACCTGAGAGCTCACTCAGCGGGCGACGATATATAATATATCCAGCATTTGTTGCCATTCTCACATCGCATACTTACTGCTTCGGATTCTGTACTACATCTATCTCTCGCGCAACCGGAGCTACAACAGCGGTTCCGTGACAAAGCCTGATTTATGCTGCATCGCCTCGCGCTTCGGCCTGGCACTACTTTAACTCTTGCAGCGTTCGCCTCTCTTGCAACCCGCTCTCTCGCAGTCTCATCCGTATCCCATACTCATATCAGAAGAATGTCATCCGATGTTCCAGCCCCAGGGTCTAAGGTCAAGTCAGACAGCGAGTGGCAGGCCGTCCTATCGCCGGAGCAGGTGTGCTTTATCGAGTCGTTGCGAGGATTCATGTTGACGACGCGATCTGGGTTACAGTTTCGCATCCTGCGCCAGAAGGGCACCGAGATTGCAGGAACTGGCCAGTATAACAAGCATTACGAGCCTGGAGTATACACTTGCGCGGGATGCGGCACCCCGCTTTACAAGAGCGCGACCAAGTTCGACAGTGGATGCGGATGGCCTGCGTTCTACGATGGTTCGTAGTGCGTCGTCCTTAACACACTGTGCTCAACTCTTATGTCAATATCATTTACAGCCATCCCTGGAGCTGTGACCAGGCACGTCGATAGCTCGTTTGGCATGCAACGCATCGAGATTACGTGCACGGCATGCGGCGGCCACCTTGGGCACGTCTTCAAGGGCGAGCGTTTCCCCACCCCGAGTGAGCATCTCGCACCAGCCTGTGGCTACTCTACCGAACTCACAGCTCACCATCATAGCCGACGAACGGCACTGCGTTAACTCTGTGTCGCTCAACTTCCATGAGGAAGACAAGGCAACGGGAAAGGCTTGAAAGATCGTCTAGGAGTGGGGTGTAAGATACGTGTGTGGCGCTAGCGGTTGGGAATGGATTCTATTACAACTCGTATTGCAAGTAGGCAAACACAAGGTACTTTGAAGGCGGGATACCGATGGCGCGGGTGTTAAACCTGATGTTCGATGTCGTCAATGTTGGCCAGCGAGAAAATAGCGGCTACGGACGACTGCTGCTGGAGATTGACTTGAAGATGTTGAAGATCTTCGGTGAATATGGTAGGAGGATCCTTCCGTTATGAGAGCCAATTGTTACTGATCTATATATACCTGGAGCCTCACGAAGGAATGCAGGGGAGACATATTGGTCGTTTCTGACCGGGAGACTCTACGAGCTGGCGCGAAGCGAAGATGCGCAGCTCGGCGCTTTCTCAGCCAACTTCCTACAAGCACTCGCTGACGACGGTGAATCCCAAACTTCCGGGGTTGCGCCCACGATGCTAACCTCGCACTCTACAGCCTACGCAAGGGTGCACAGACCATGGGAGTCAATGGATAAGCATCTGGGAGCCATGATTTGTTCCGAGGATCTCATGCTACCCGCCGCTGCCGTGATTCGTCGTATTGCAGATACTCGTGAGTGACTTTGCTACAAAGGGTCGCGCCAGCTTTATATAGTGGCTCTTAGCTGCAACCCGAGTACGGGTCCCTTGGAGTCAACTTGGCGACTACCTAGGACATGCACTCGAACATGGTGACGATTATCAACTTTTGATAGTGATGGAAATCATAGATGCACTATCAGGATTCGGTGAGTAACCTTCAATGAGGAGACACATAACACTCAGATTTCCTCGGAGTTGAAACTGCAAGTGCCATTCCCGCGACGGTGGTCGGTATATTGGGCAAACGTTCGAGTTCGGAATCCAGGGGTCAAGATGTCAATCCGACTCTCAGTATTTTATCATGGTTGAAGAGGTTGGCCCTTCATGGTCAGTTTGTGCGGCCAGATGTACTCCATTACTCAGGAAGGGAGCCACAGATACGACACACTGCAAGGTTACATGGGACGTGATATTCTCCGATATCAATAGATGGCTTCAGTCAAAGAATCCCGCCGTGATTTGGTCCAGTTGTGAGCTGATAGCAATGATCGTAGGCGATGGTGAGCTGCTCATCATGCGTACCTTTCGACCGGGAATCTGACTGCCGATCAGTGACTCTTCGGTCCAAACATTCGGGCAAATGGAAAATGATCAAAGAGGCCGTTGAAAAAATAGTAGCGGGAGGCGACCAGCGACTTGCCCAATATGCTTTTGACGTCTTTCATGATCACGGTCAGTAATCCATAAACGTTGGGGATGGTAGTATCTTACTCTTTACATAGAGGATGACGCAACTCGACATTCCTACACCGTGCTCAGGGGAGGATGACCAACAAGAGGGCCGTCCGGAAACATAAAGGAGCTAGTAATTATGTCATTCGTTACGCTTCATCTTTTACATTGTACTTGGGTGATCGCCATTACGGTTAAACTGATTATGTCATTATATGAGAGACTCCAAGTAATCAATATTAATCGATAATGGGTGTGTTGCCAAAAGACATCATACTGCGGGTGTCGGATTAGACGACTCGCCCTTTTGCCTTGATATCGTGCAAACGAATGTCGCGCCACATGAGGACGGCACCAACTGCACCAACAAGGACGACAGTGGCAGCAATGCACATCTGCTTTTGGGCAACACCATACGCATGGTTGATGGCGTCGCGCTCCGGTGAGCCGAATGGATACGACAGCTGCGTGACGATGCTGGCATAGATAGAATCCGTAAGGTTCTTTTCGCTAGCGGGAAGAGCGTCGCGTAGCGCCTTAGGGAATGTGTTGGTCCAGATCGCGCCAGATACCGAAGAGCCGATTGCACCACCGACGTCGGAGGCGAGCGTGAGGAGTGCGAGGGATACGGCATACGTGCTGTGACTAGCAGAGTCCGCGGCCATGACGGCGATCTCCTCGCATATCACGAGCGTTCCGCCTGCGAAGGCAATGAAGATTTGGCACATGACGACATAGCCAATGCGCACGTCTGGCTGACGGAAGTGGATCATCAGACCGGCACCCAAGATGTTGAGCGGAACCGCCGCAAGCGCAATGTGCTTGAAACGGCCGGTACGGCGGATAACGCTGTGATGGAGGTTAATACATGTACCCCTGCGCAGGCATCGAAGAGGATACTCACTATCCGACGACAACGGACCAGAAGCAGGAGCCGATGCTGTACGTGTTGCTCACATAGCCGGCATCCTTGACGCTAAGGCCCCAAACAACTTGAAGGTAGGAATAGAAGTAGCCATCCCAACAGCTGTGAGAACGCGATGTCAGAGCTGACGGTGTTGATACGGGAATATGTACGCACTAGAAGCCGAAAAAGAGTATACCTGCAAGGAGGCAGGCCCCAGCGACCGTCCTGTCCTTGAGGAGATCGAAAGGTATGAACGACTTCGGGGACCAATACCTCTCATAGATGGCGAACGCAATGATGCAGAGGCCACCGACGACAATCATAGCGATGATGTTGCCGCTCTGCCACTTGTTCGCCTGGGAGGTTGCGAGACTGAAGGGTAGTAGGAAGAGCGACCACCCGGCGCAAATGAGAATCATGCCGAAGACTACGATAGCAATCAGATCACATTATCAGGATCTGTTATGTCGCACTTACCATCCCACTCGATACAGAAGTGCTTGATCGATTCGGTCAGGGTTCTCTTCGTTTGTTCGCGCTTCAAGATACCGAGCTTGATGGCCTTGCGCTGGTGCCACAGAAGGAGACTGGCGATGGGCATCGCGATGGCCGGCGTGATGATAGAGAACGCGCCAAATGACCACTGCCAGGAACTGTGATCCAGAAACCTCTGCGCGATGGCCGGTCCAGCAAACGTGGTAGCGATGTACGGAGTCGAAGCAAATCCCCACATGAGACCTCGATTCTTGAGTTTGGACGTGTCGGCGATGAAGATATCGAGGACGCCGTTCATGCCGTTCATGCCGACCCAGTAGAAGACTTGAGCAGCCGCGTAAGTCTCTACGTTCTTGCAGGCCGCCATCATAATCAGACCTGTGGCGCATCATTAGTATATACCGCGTGTCGTACATGTAGACACCTGCCGATGGTAGCGATCACGGTCATCACAAGGAAGCCTTCCGCGCGACCCCACACGTCGAGCATCTTGGCGATGGGAAGCCGAGTGACACCTCCGACGATGGACGACACGATGGAAGTTGTAGCGACCAGAGGATGAGATGCGAACGAACTCGTCACGTATGCCGTAAGATTGTTGTTCGTCTGCTGTTGCAGAGAGTTGACGAAGTAGACGAGGAAAATACTGAGGCCAACGGTCAGGTCAAGAACGACCAAGGGCGTCAGTGGACAGGACTTACCAGCCATACGCGGTTATGATCGCGTTGTTGCTCCATACGGCCGTAATCGCCTCGACCTTTTTGAGGCCATCCTGAGCTTCCTCGCTGACGACGGACTGGGCCTCCGCGTCCTTCTCGTTGACGATGGACTTCTCGTCATCAGAGCGGTCGTAGACTTTTGGGTCCTTGTTCTCGTCGTGAAATTGACTAGACATGACAGAGAGCGGGAAAAGTGGGGACGAAGGGTTCGTTCACAAAGCGAAGCACCTCGGAAGCGACCTTTTATTCGTTTTGTGTTGTCCCTGGAGCGACCCGAGGAAAAACGAAGATACTTGGCAGTGGAGTATTCGCGCCATCTCCGATGAGCGGACTGCACCACGTTCCGGATCTCATTGCTCCTCTTGAGTACCGCGTCGGAACGCGGCTTGCATATGGCTTGGCGATGCCTCGAACCGCGAGTTCGGGGCCTGGAGGTGGTATAGGGTTTAAGAAGCGCCAGGAACGCCACCAGTTGCTTTTTTCGGAGCCCGAGCGAATGGCTTTTGATGAGTGAGGGCTCTAGGGAGCTTCGCCATTGGACCGCGTTGGAAAGGGAAGCGATTATCTGATAGAACAAGGCTTTAGGATCCTTATCAGATAAAAAGTCCGATGCGTAATCTGATTAGATCACAGGGGCATCCATGGGGCTATGCCTGACGCGCCGCTCTGGCATATAAGCTCCTCCCAGCCTGAAACACGAAAAAAACGATTAACCGCGCGCCGCGTCGCGGAATTGTTCAGATACCTACCGGGTTTATCATAGCTCTTGTTTACCGCAATGGTGTTGGTAATGCAAGAAAGTTGAACGCAGCACCGTAGGTGATGAATGAACCTGCCCGTATTCACTGTGAATGGCAAAGTAACGGTCGTTGCGCCTTCAGGCCAACGCCGAAGGTAATGGCGATCGGTGCCTCGGAGATCGAAGGACGGCGGATGCGGCGGGGAAGGCGCCGCCAGAGGATAGGTTGTGGCGAGCTACCTTGGTGTGCATGCCCTGCCCGTCAGCTGGAGCTTGTTTCGTATATCACAAGGTTATTCGGTGGCAGCATTGGATTGCTGAGGGTATCAAGCACTCCCGAAAAATACCATGGCCGGTCCGATTGATCCAGGGGCGCACTGCGCATCGCAGTACTTTTTGGAGCATGAACTGGACACGCAAGGAGCCGTTCATGAGAAAGAACTACGAACGTGTCAATATTCGTCCAATGCAACCAGTGCCGAAATGTATGCATTGGTGGAGTCCGAGATGGTCTCTTCTTCATATGGGCTAGCGGATCAGGAAGCGAAGATCCGTGATGAGGCGTGGCGCGAAAGAAACATGAACCAGCTTCTAGGCGTTCGGCAAGGCTGAGTAAAGTTTCGGTGCGTACTCCAAAGTTGTCGCGCCCGGTCGTGGCACATGACAGAGCAGTCGCTGTCACCATGCGCCTGTGATCGACATGCCGAGCGAGGAGTGTGGTGGTACATCCCAGAATCCAGTGGATTTGCTCGCGACATCTCCCCGAACCCCGAACCCCGTGGGCATGTGCCCCATTGCACCGGAATCGAAGACTGATACAAGCCCCATTGCGCCAGGTTCATTGAGCCACGAAATGTGTATGCGAGAGAACTTTGTACGCGGCGGGCGTTCTCGCGACGAGCTGGTGTTCTTCATCGCTACACTCAGGAGGCCCGTTTTACAGAGACAGAAGCCGTACGTCCCTATTCCTGGAATCTCCCATCTACTGAGCCTTGCCAACCCGATATGGCCTTCACGCGGCTTGCTCGTGCTTCGACTTTGTATACTTTTGCCGGCCGCCGGCAGCGGCCGCAACGGTCCACGATGGACATATCGTAGGCGACTCGCTTTGTCTCCGGAATCGGCGACATGTCATCGATGCTGGGACGAGGTTTCCTCGTAGTCCTGTTGGGCTGACTGTCCTTGACTTGGTTCCGCCATCCCGGATGAAAGAGTTCTTTGATGCGAGCCGCAGAGCGCAGCTCTTAGTTGGGATCGTGCCGGTGCAGCTGTTGGAACCCGCCTTGCCTGACAATGGGGGACAGTGTAGCTTGGTTTTAGGGCGAAATCGGAAGGTTAAGCCAAGTTGCCGATATCGGTACCGCGACGGGAAAAGAGGATCGGACGGTCGAGACTAGCTGCTATCCCCAGCCCAATCAAGCATATAGGCACGGCCGTAGGCGTGATGAATGCCATTGGGTTGACCCCCGGTCCTGCGTACAAGATGCGTCCCCTACGAATTGAGCGCTCTCGCGGACGTGCATGAAGTAGGAAGCACGAAGATTCCCGAAGGCGATTCGCGTCAACATCTTGGGAACAAAGACCTCCTTGGATTCGAGGAGGAGGATGAAAGCGTAGGGCGGGGTGACCCGGGGTGCCCTAGTATGAGCATAGCGGACGCGGAGTTCCCGCCACAGTTGAGCGCTGTTTGGTTCTGTACAGGTTGTATGCACTCGGACCGAGTTGTGTATCGATTGAACGCCTGAAAGGACCGACTGGGAGACGACTAGCCCGTTTTCAGGGACGCGCGGAGGATCGATAACGTCAGAAAAGCTAAATGGCGTGCTCCTTGGTAACTCACCTGCTCGTGCCGGACATCCACACACATCCTATTTCAAGCTTGTAGAACGTTATGAGTCGGGTCCATGAACTCCTAGGCTACGTGTATCCTTCGACCACGAGCGTGTGCGCTACATGCCATCGACACCCTACGGAAAGTATACGTGTCAGTCAGAGGGCTGATATTGCGCGATGAGTGGATATATGCACTTCTTGTGGTTGATTGACAGCGCCCGCTCCCTTGTGGAACGGGATGAAATCATGCGTCCCGGCGAGCTCACTTGCTAGCCACAACTGAGATTCACTTCAAATCGAACACGCCAGGGGTCTGCATTCCACACGTAGGCTTTCAGCGCATATTATCAAAGCGTGTAGAGCGTACCGCATCGTATACATCCCCATGCATTGTGCATTAACCGTCCAAGTTCGAACAATGACGCGGATGATATTGCGGTTCGACCAAGAGTTTGGGACACAACGATTGCTGAACATGTAATCGATGCTGGTATCCTCGCATTGCAGTCCTAACACCCGAGTATCCATCCGAGAACGCCTGCGGCGTGGATCGCAGTCACACAGCGCCGGAGACTTGTTACTCGACGGGAACGAGCTCGGAGGATAGGCCAGACGATCATCAAGAAGTCAGGAAGTGGCGATGCCGTCTCCTCCTTCCAGCCAATCCTCGCCGTGCAAATCGGTCATCATCATGGCACGCAGTCTCAACCGTCGGCGGCCATGCACAGGAGATACGTCGAGCACAGCGCCGCCGATGACTGTCGACGTCCTCGGCAACGGCAGTCATCATCTTAGAACGCCTGGGGTGACTGCAGGATGGTTCGCGTCGGGTCGCAGCCAGCCAACGTCCAGGACCCAGATCATCTCAGTTCGGAGGACAGCATGCAGCACGCGCCATATGCTTATATAAACCCTTTGTGATCCTCGACGACGAGGCAAACCCTCTCCAGTCACGCTTGGTTCGACATAGCACCAGGTACGTGCCAAACCCCCTGTCTCTCGCCAACCCAAGTTAAACTCACGTCTCCCCCAGCTCTACCGATGGCCACTGAATCTCAGCCACACATCCTCATTGCAGGCGCTGGCCTCGGCGGCCTTGCTCTCGCCCAAGGCCTCAAAGCTGCCGGGATCCCCTTCACCCTTTTCGAGCGCGACAGCTCCGCGGCCTTCCGCCCGCAAGGTTATCGCATTCGGCTCAACCCCGATGGCTCTGGAGCACTTCACGCTACCCTGCCCACAGACGTCCTCCAGCTCTTCATGGACACCTGCCCGGAGATCAAGCTGGGCGGGACCAACTTCAACGCGAAGACGGGCGAGATCGCTGCCAGGCGCGAAGGCTTCGGCGGGCCTCCGCCGCGCCCTGGACAAGCCCCCGCCCCTGCGCCAGACGCACAAAGAAGCCTGCAGCAGGTCTACAACGTCGACCGCACGCGCCTACGCCAGGTGCTCATGCACGGCCTCGTTGACCAAATTCGCTTCGGGAAGACCTTCGTGAAATACACCCTTGACCCCTCCTCGCCCACGCCCGTCACCGCTCACTTCGCTGACGGCACGACCGCAAGCGGCACCTTCCTCGTTGGCGCGGATGGTGTGCGCTCCGCAGTGCGCGCCACCGCCCTCCCCGCCGACATTCCCGGCCTCGTCGATACCGACGGCCGCTTCATCTACGGCAAGACGCTCTTCTCGCCCGAGCTCACCTCCCGCGTGCCGCCCGAAGCCACGGAGCGGATGACGGTTATATCCACCAAACCCGCCGCTGTCCCAGGTCCGGGCATGGCCCTGCCACCCCTCCCCGCCGTTGACGACCCAGCAGACGCGCCTGTGACGCTCTTTATGGACATGGTCCGCTTCTCGCGCTCCGAGGCTCAAGTTGCCGCGCAACAACAGGCGCAACTCGACCCCGTCCCGGACTACATTTACTGGGTCCTCGGCTCGCGCGCTCTCAACGTGCACAAGCATCTCCCCTCCTACAACCCGGGCGCGTACGACCCAGACGCGCTCGACGCCGAGCTATTCCGCCTCTCCCCCGACGAGGTCCGGGACCTTTCACTGCGGATCACCGCGGACTGGCATCCGTCCTTCCGGCCTCTCGTCGAGCTGCAGCTCCCGGGCGGTGCGAGCATCCTCCGTATTACCAGCGCCGTGCCCGTTCCGCCTCCTGCTTCCTCTTCTCCCGCGCCGGCTCCCTCAACGACCATCGCCCCCTCCGGCGCCATCCGCGGCCCCGGTACCGAAGGTTACACCATGACGCCCTGGGATCCCTCGCCCTACGTCACCTTCCTCGGCGACGCCGTCCACCCGATGAGCCCCACCGGTGGGTCAGGCGCCAACACTGCCTTGAGCGACGCCGCCAACCTCCTCAAGGTCTTCACGGAGCTCTTCAGCACGGGAAGCCGGCCGTCCGAGGAAGCGGTCCGTGCCAGGGTGGGCAAGTACGAGGAGGAAATGCGGGCGTACGCCGGCATGGCGATCCAGGGAAGCTACCACGGCGGGAGGATGTTGTACGCGCAGCGGCCGTGGACGGAGTGCAAGCCTGTTCCGAATCGGTGAAGGAAGCGCAGGTGTGGTGATGGGGGGCGGCTGCTGGTTCAAAGGGATTGCCACGGACGTTAAGGAGCCATTGAAAGCCATCCTCATTTCAGAGTTGCTTGTTCGTTTTCAATATATAATACAACTGTAATATGACGAGGCTGCGATGTCCCGCCTCACATTGAATTACTGTTAATCTACACATGCCGTCGTCGACATTGCCATCGCGGGCGCTGGCCAGAGGGCATCCTCGGTCTCTCCGATACGCTCGCCGGAACGCCGTTGTTGCGTGAGTTGTTCTGCGAGAGAGATGGCTGATGCGGCTAAGTAGTGATCATGATCAAGGATCCATGTTCAAGTTGCCGGCGATTAATGAATGACTCCCTGCAATATAACCACCCGTCAGACTGTCAGCATAATAGGACTGTCTGAATGCGACGTCCGTTTCCGCAATCTACTGCTTTACGATCGAAGGTATGTCAGATATCCGTAGCACGACTTTCAGCAAGAACGAGAGGCATGACTCACCCCGAGCCGCTCGCCGAACGCATTCTTCCCTTGAGGAGAACGGCTTGAGGAGAACGGCGAGTCTGTTGATGATAATTGACCGATGACATCGCGTTTGGCATCGCCAAGGCTACAACAAATTTGGGCGAGGAAGTTGCCTCCCTGCGGGCCGTCTACCATGATATTGGAGATACGTCGAGATTGTGCCCACGGTGACAGCCCGCTCTGGCCAGGACCGGATATGAGTTCCCCTTGCCGAACCAGGATCTTACCAACCATTTCTAACTCACCATGGAATTACACGATTGGCGCGAGGCTCCACAGATACCGAGAACCCATTTGGAACATTTGAAACGTTCAAGGTCCTGATGTCGACAATCTCTGGCCCCGATCATCGACGTATCAGCCTCGCGACCCAGCGAGACAAATCGGGAGACCCAGGACATATCGCGACGGAGAAAGATCCCGGATTGGGAACATGGGAGTGTGCCACCGCGGGGGAGGCCGACGACCTGCTGTGTGATCGTAACGCGTGGCAACTTCTGATCGGGCGACCCGACGAGGAGTCGAGGCAGGAGGCGCGAGGCATTGATAAGAGTGGAACCCAAGTCGAGTCAGTGACGTTCTCCCATTCTCCAACTCTTCCAGAACCAGTAAGTCGGCTGCTATGCGAGGGCGTGAGAGGCTGGTTTGTCCTCGGTGCATATCTTCGAAACCTGCGCATCGAATGAATTTGAGCGAGGAGAACGTATCGGAGTAAGGTCACTGACGCGATGTCCGTACTTTTACTTATTTGGGTAGAGGCACCGCGCGTTCCGGCGCCGAAGCGCGGCGAAGGGGCTGGCTGATCGCAGGGTTGGGACGATCCGGCTCGGCCGTTCGATCAACACGCCAATACACGCGACGCGAGAGGCCCTTATTCTTGAATTTCTATTGTCGGTTTTTTGACAACGTCGCGCTGAAAGAGCGGCTGTTATATTGCGAAGCTTGCGGAAGAAAACAGCAACATGGCATGATAGCTACAGACCTGAAACGGACGTTAGGAATATTCGCCTAGATACAACGATTGCGCACCCCTATCCATCCCCCGCAGACCAATTGCTCATTGTCGCATCGACGGATTGGCGACCCGAATATTACATGGTCTATTGTCTTCTATCGAAACGCAGCTTTTCAGACGGCAGCGTCTCCTTCGCTTCGTAATGGCTATACTCTTCGCGAACCACGGACAGCGGAGGTTATCAGGTAGCATGACTCGAGGGTCTAGCCACTCGGTTGTGGTAGAAGGTTTACCACACTCCCATGAACTAGTGCTAACCAGAACAGGGATTCAGTCACTTATTGGCGTCCCTCGATGAGCCGGCTCACCTCACTGAAATGCGATATTTTTGAGCCAATGCCTCCGCCGAACGAGGAATCAAGTCAGACGTCGTCGCCAGCCGTTCAAGAAACCCCGGCTCAACTGCACGAGGTCCGACAGCGTGGATCCATATCTTTGTGCCATGTTCGGACGCGACCGGCGTCGCTACTCGAGAATCCTCCGGGTTGATCTTAATTTCCTGCTCACTACTGTCAGCTAGCTGTACTGCAGAGACAACTCATCCCTCACCTCGCGGCTGGATTATCATCCGAAGCTCTTCTTTTGTGCGGCTCGCTGTATGGGGAATGAGCAAACAGTGGGTACACGCGTTTCTGAGCTCGTAACTCCTAGGCTCGAGTTGACGTGTCTGATACGACAGGTGCGATGCGATAAATGCGGATGGACAACGTCTCTCGAGTATGAACGAACTTGTCCAGCACATGGAGGTTCACGGCCTTCAGCAAGGGTGAGGATTCGCCGGTTAACGACAGCAAACACCGCCTGACGCATGCAAACGTAGCCTCGAGCATTGTTCATATCCTGACTGCGAATTCAGCACAATATGGTCGTATAATCTCGTCAGCCATGAAAGAAGAATGCAGTACGTGTCAAATTGCCCGCTTCCTCCTACCACTGCTGCTGATCAGCCGTCAGCTGCCCATATGCTCCTCTATGGTGCCTTGTTCCCGGATGCAACAACTTCGATAGGGAATCCTCGGATTTTGGTCGTCACTGCAAAGGCGTGCACGCATTCAAGCCATCACACCTCTACAAGGCGATGGGCATGACCAGAATGAAGCACCCCGCTTACGAGATCGTGCCGAATGCCTTCAAAGCCGGCATACCGCCGTCCTATGAATGCCGCAAGGCGTCACAGGAGCAGGTGGCCGAGGCGCAGAAGACAACGGCACTCGAAAAACAGGGCAAACTTCCGCGCAACACAGCACGAATCCAGGAGCAGCAGGGTATACCCGAAGCCGACCTCGCAAGTGCGGGACGGAGCGAAGAAAAAAAAATGTACGTTCTTGCTGGCCAAGTATGGTGAACCTAGTATGTTTGATGATTCATCCAACCAGGATAAAAATCAATCAACCATACCTCAACAGGACCGACTCCCATCCTTCCGCGAGTTTGAAGCCAGCATAGACCCTGAATCAGAGCCGCCGCCGTGCTCACTGACACACCACACCTCGATCAAGCATCGCCTGTCACCCCGCCACTATGCCCATGATGCCATCCCTTTGCATTACTTGCGTCCCTGAAACTTGTCGTTAACTCGCCTTTTCCGTAAGTGACATGTGTTTCATGCTGATGAGGTCTCGTTGTTGACGATCTGCCTTGTCCAGGTTATAGACACATCGCCGACGGTGGTTTTCACGTTGTTCGCGAAGCGGCCTGATGGACATCGGATATGGACTGCTCGACTGCGATCGTCGCATCTGTGACGAACAAGCTGAGTAGTTGCCCCGTCTGTGTATGAGGAGAAGGAATACAATCTGCTCCTTTATATCTTGATGTGCGCCCGTCCTTTCTTGAAGGCCTCTGCGCTTGAAATACGCGATCGCCTGGTCGAGGTTATGAGGCAAGCCCATCCGGGATGAGCCGGACACGCCTTCGAATGAGCCAGGAAGAGAGGACTGTAAATCTCGTTCGCAGAGGTGTTACTACCTCATCTTCGAGCAGTACAGCGGTACACGACGACACGTAGCCAGCATGGATAAGTCCGATAAGAGAGACTGAGCTCAAGCTCAAGCGCCCCGTCAAGCGCCCACGAGTCGAGACACGTGGCGTCAGCGCGCGACGACGTTACTTATCCAGAGCATTATCGACATGTCGTTATGTATCGTTGCTCTTAACAGGACGCATTGTCCATCAGACGTAAAATGTGATTGGATGTTTGTCTGACTCGCTAGGATAAACTTCCAAGTAATACTAGTTGGACCCGGAGCATCGGCTTGCAGTCTAATACTAAGTCACGACTCACCATGTGCCTGAGATCGAAAACCTACACAGCAAATACACATAGTAGCAGGATATCTCTGTAAACTGCGCATGCTGTATGCGCGACTGGCCATGATTCGATTCCAGGCTGTAGCGTCGCGCAGTGTCGATGGATTGAAGCCAGCTTCGAGCTTCGAGCGGAGGCCTCGCGGTCCAGCGCCGGTATTGTGCATCCAGGCGGATGCACGACGGATCTGATGGGTTCGTGCGGCAATACGCAGTCCAGGGATCGTGTTGAGAGTGGATGACGATCATCTTTTTCGCACCGGAGCAAACATCTTTAGGCCATTCAGCACCAGCCGATCTCGGACTGCTCAAACTTATGCTTGGGGTCACTGCACAAATGGACATTAATGCGGTGACTACGCTAATAACAGAGATACGGGCACCAGTACTGCATGATCCAGGGGACCGTTGGGGATTTTCAATTGAAGACTGTGGTACATCCCGTCACACGACTATGCATAACGTTCGAAATTCGGAAGTCTTCTTGCGGTATACGGCGGTGTTCTGGTTCGAGTCGTTCAAAGATTCGTCAACATCTGCCGTTGAGAATGAGTCAGACGGACTAGCAATGTCAGGCGCAGAATACATGAACGGCTTCAAAGTTTTTGCCTACATCCGTCGACGATCATCGGGAGGCGGGCTTGCAATCGCTACGTAAACCTCAGTTGCGCATGGATCCGCATGGATGAGTGCTAAGTTAGCGGTGCCGTGGTCCGTAGCAGGAGTTGAACAAGCCAAGGACGGACGGTCGACGTTGCTGAAGGAAGGGGTACGCAAGATGACGATACAACAAGCGCTACGAGCCAGCACACCTATATGAGCCAACACTGAGTTCGTGTTCGTCCATGCCACTAACGACTCGAGATCGAACAGTGGCCTCCACGGCGGATCCTCGGTAGATCGTGCCGTCTTGATTTGTTGTTGCTGTGGCCATTAGATTACTGCGGAGATCAGCCGCCGTTCCAGGGCTTCAGGCGTAGGAGAGGTATCAACGCCATGAAATTCAGGTCCGATACAGCGTCCGTCCAGGCCGCGCGTCGGGAGACACCGTCAGCGACTGTGACGCTCATTCGGATAGCGTCAACGTCGTCTTCCTTGCCGCTGGCATGTTCGCCGTAGCCGGCAATGGACATGCGCCGGGTGTAATAGCGTCACCTTTTGGAAAGACCATAAGCTCTTGATCAGAATAATAGGGAGGACAAATTCACACCAACTCCAAATGCCCACTGCCACAGATTCAAAGGTTCCGGAGGATCGATCTTGATCTGGCTCACAACAGGATGACACAATGGGCGACCGATTGGGGCTTGAGCTCGTTCGAGGGGTGTACAATTTCCCGGAGCCTCGGTTGGTCGCTACACGTGCCTTCCGGAGGTCTAGTACCGGAATCCGACCTCCTGCTTCTGCTGACAGCATCGGCAAGCCGATATACGAGCTATACAGCACGGCGGGGGGAATGTATCCCAATACGGAGCCGTATGCGAGTGCCATCGGGCAACGTCGAGTTCTGGATGATTTCGCATGATCGAACCAGATACACGAGGACGGCTCCAGCCCAACTGCGGGTGATTCCGCGAGGTACCTATATCATCACAGAGGCCGGATCTTTCCCTGATATTACTAACTGTGGTAGTTCCTACCCGGACTCACGTCGTCGAGGGACCAATTTGCTTAAGCGAGTCTTCTTCTGAAAACCGAAGAAGCGTGAGTGCAGGGAAGTCGTTCAGATCAGCGCGACTCGCGAAATAGCGACTTACCCCTGGCTGCAGGAGCTCGGCGGAGAAATTTGAAGGACCTCGAAGCTGCCCTTCGTCGATGATGGTCGTAGCGATTCTGGAGCACCCCGATCGTTGTCAAGTTCTCGTACACGTATCCACCGCCTGGCTGTGATCTACGGTGTTCTCGAAGGATTAATTACTAAAAGCAGCTGTCGTGCCGCCGTAACAAGAGGAGACAACACACCCGGCATATTCGAAGCGATGGCCAGAACGGGAGGGTTTACGTTGTAAGAGGGGTATTGTCATTTGACGAAGTCAAAAACGCTCAAGCTCCGCTGAACGGCTAGCCAACCTCCGACGCAAGGCGAGCTGCGTGCAGGCTTGTTTCCTACCGGGCCGTGGCAGTGAGAATTACTGGATTAAGAAGATATGATAGAATTACCCCTATCGTATATTCCTGTTTCAATCGCTTCACCCTGGTGTACATCTGCACCTCGCGTTATCCCCTCCGACAAGTTGAAGGAATGAACCCACTCCGAGTTGTGGGTCCACGTCTCGCATGCATATGGCCCAAAATGGCACCCTTTTGTGGCTTTTAAATCGCCCGGGTTCAAGCTGGATAGGCCTTCATAAGCCCCGCTTTTTTGCGCAAAGAACCGTGCGCTGACCTCGCTCCCAGCCATGGGTACCTGTCACCGTCATCTTCGTGAACCTCAGTCTGCTCCCAAGAAACAGTCGACTAGTGAGTTCTATCTGCATAGAGATTGGTAGTTTGACTGAGGATCGCTCAGGTCGCGTAAGATGCACCTTCCCCGGCTGCACGAGGACGGTGTCAAGACACCAGGATCTGGATCGGCACCTGATGACACATAACCCCGGCGCGCAGTGAGTACTCTGGTTATTGAGAAATAAAACCGGGCTTGACTGAACGCACGTAGCTTACGGATGTGCCCCGCGGTGGGTTGCGGTCACAGTACCTTGCAGAAATCGAACTTGGACCATCACATCAACACGGCACAGTGCGTATGACATGTGTTTCCCTGCGAGCCCTCCTGACCACTCGTATTTCAGTAAGCGCGATGTCATATACCATTGCCTCGTACCTGGATGCCCCGCCCTTGCCCTTGACCCGTCTACGCACTTCCGTCATTCCACTACTCGCCATAAGTTCAAACCCTTCGACCTTTACAGAGCGATGGGTCGGATTCTCATGCACCCGGCGAAGGAGGCCCAGAAAAGGGGCCTTACCGCTTCGTACGTCCGACAACCGGCTACATGGGCAGAAGTGCGTGCTGCGCAAGTGGCCTTCCTCAGGCCAAAAAGCAAGGGCACTCCGTCCCTCATACCGTGCATCTGGAACACCGACGATATCCGGGCCCAGGACGTGCCGGTTCGCGCAGCCGGCAAGAAAAGCGCGCAGCCGGTATCAAACGCTGCTGTCGAGCGCAACAAACTTCACCATATGATGAGCCCGTCGTTCGACGAGGAGTCCTTGGCCAGCCTCACGTTATGCGACTACGATGAGGACGACGCGAAGCATGCGTCGAGTGGATTCTCCTGCTTTGGTGATTCCAGCGACAGCGACTCGGAGATGAGTGCATCGTTCGAGGTCGAGACGTACCAACATTCGACCCCAACGAGCAGCTCTCGTATCTCTGGAGCAGCGGCCGACGTTCCGAAGGTGACCCTTCCATCGTTCAATGCCTTCCGAGCGATGGTCGAGTCCGACCTGCCGCCGCCGCAATCCCTAGTCCCCCGCATGCCAGCCGACGACTGGCGGAAGCCACGCAGATTTGATAGCTACCAGCCCTGCCACGTAATCCCGCAGTTCTGCCATACGTATCAACGCCCCGAAGTTCCGGTGGTCCCCGCAGAGATTTCGCGCGCTCGTCAGTACATTCCGCCTCCCCCGCCGCCGTGGGTCAAGGTCGAAGGATTCGGCCGTCCCTTCCGTCGTTAAGTCACGCTAGGCACGCGCGTCAATGATCGAAGAAGCTGCATCTGATTCCACATCTCTCAAACATATAATCGTCATCACAAAAAGAACGTTCGTCGCGTCGTCTCCAATTCCGGCTGGTCAAGTTCATAGTATTAGCAAAGCCGTCGATGTGGAGGCAGCGCTCTCTTGCCTTCCACATCCACTGGTATTCGTCCTGCGTCGGAGCCACGGACGCCTTCCCTCTTTTTTCCTTTTCCTTTTCTCCCAACGGATCCGCTCCGACGTCCACGTCGTCTTGGGCATTGTCTCCTCCGCTTTCACCATCGCGCTGATCCCGCTCAGCCTCCGCCTGCTCCTCATCATCGACCTCACCGTTGTCGAACTCCAGCGGTTTCGGCGGAACGCCGAGGTTTTGGACAGCGGGCAGCCCCTTGCGCAGCGAACGTAACTTCAAGGTGAATCGAGGACCGATCTCCTGAAGCGCCACTTTCTCAGTTGAGCGGAAGGCATACCTTGAACGTGGACTGTATTAGTAGCGTCCGATAATCATATATAAAAATCATGTACCGGTGTCTCCTGAAGAATAGAAAATCGCGTTGATTATGCAACGTTACTACTTGCCGGCCCTGAAATTCTGGGAGTGGAGGGAAAAGCGTCTGAAACATTCGCCCAACCGCATGACCTAGACGAGTAACGAAGCCATTCAAGACCAGTTCCGGGTAATGTGCGGTGGCACGCGCATGCCCCTGAGCGTCGTATGTGAGCGATTAAATAGTAGAACGAAAGTACGGAACAAACATGAATCTGCTTCGATAGCTGGATTGAGGTGAGCTTGAAATACGCCGTCGGTCCCTCAGGTAAGTGCACGATGGTGATGGCATCTGTGACAAAGCCATTCAATGACCTGTAGGGTGGGATTATAATCATGGCAAAGAACTAACTGGGCTTTTTCATATCCTCGTTTACGACCATCAGCGCGCCGTAACCTCTGCCCGCCGCCCATCCAGCGATTCTTCCCATCTCGAAGCCACGGCTCTTCTTGTTGCGCCTCACAAATTCTGACCCGGGGAAGATAGCGCACAGTTCTTCGCAGAATTCATAGCTCGCCCTTGTTGCACGAGGCGAGGTAGTTACAAGGACTTTTGGAGGCTTCGTGGGGTCCGCAGCCGTAAAGTAAGAGGCAAAGGGGTCATTGGCGAAGTCGGCATCGTTCTCCGGTATATGTGTTCCTTCAAGGGCCCCATCTTGTTGAGTGTTTGAAGGTCCCGCGTCGGGTTGAGCCGAAGAGGAGGAGGCTGGATTTGCGGTCAAGAAGCTAGGGTCGTATTCACGGGTGTTGTCCAGCGTGCGGGGAACATTCTCTTCAAGCCGTTTCTAAAGAAGTATCCGTGTTCATAATGCAGACATCAAGCAAGTCTATCACAAAGAATATACCCTTTTTACCGCTGGATCCTTTGCTTCGATCTTCGCCCTCTCCAGGCGCTTTTGGAGTTTATCCTGCCTCTTGGTCCGTTTGGCTTTGCGCGCGACCTCCTCACGCTTGATTTTGTTCTTAATGGATGATGGCATAGTTCGTTCCGGTGGCATATTGGATGGAGGAAGAATGAGATCAGTCAAGGCGAGGATAAAGACCGGCGCCTTCGAAATTTCGGAATTAGCACGTGCCGTGCACGGCGTAGCGGCCCTTCCACGACGTCCACGACAACGGCGAGGCTGAGCCTGCGTCGTACACTATCATGGCGCGGTTATGTCAGAAGATTCTAGCCTGCTTCTTGCTGTTCTCCAGTGCAGTCAATGCCCTTCACTTCTATCTCGACGCCAACGAGAAGCGGTGTTTCATCGAGGAACTACCAACAGACACCGTGGTGGAAGGTATGTATGACGTTCGCGATGGAAAGCGTACATGATTGAGCTTAGACGATGTATAGGTCACTATAAGGCCTTAGAGTGGTCTGATGACGAGAAGAAGTATTTCGTTAACGATAAACTGAACATCCTCGTTCAGGTTGCGGTGCGTCCCCTGCGGCTCTCGTTGATGGCTGCGACCTGACGTACTCCACAGGAAATGGACAGCGGACATGAGGTCGTTCGTACGAATGGCCCCTCAGAAGGTCGCTTCACCTTTACATCACACGAGTCGGGCGACCATTCCATCTGCCTCTCTACCAATGACCCCAATGGCTCCGGATGGTTCAGCAGTACCCACATTCGAATGTACCTTGATGTCGTCGTCGGTTCCACCAAGCCCGACGTTGATCACGACCGGGGCCATATCTCAGAACTCGCATCCAAGGTTCGGGACCTGAACCAGAAGCTGGAGGATATACGCCGCGAACAACAATACCAGCGTGAGCGAGAGGCGGACTTCAGGAATCTCAGCGAAGCCACGAATTCCAAGGCAGTCTGGTACAGCCTCATACAGATCATCGTCCTGGTCGCGACGTGCTTCTGGCAGTTAACGCATCTGAGAGTAAGTATTGACGTCCATCTTGCATCACTGTTTGGTCTAATCTTTCACCCAGCGATTCTTCGAAGACAGAAAGGTCCGATGATCGATGAGCTCGACTTTCGTCTTCCGCGTACGGGCATCCGGACGGTCATGTATCCTCATACATTAATCGAAGCACAGCTGTATTTATGGATGGTGTTCCCGGGGCTCGTTTCTCTGCGGCGGCAGTCTCTCGAGCCCTGGCGGTGGATACAGTCTCGATCTTCGCACCAGTCAAAAGCTTACAGTCAGCTATGACAACGGCAGATTTTGTCTTCCTGACGGACATGAAACAGGCGTTTCAGGACTGTGCTACACAGCGTTATATTGTCCAATAAGGACCGGTCGCAGCGCATTATTGTAACGATGAAAGTTCGCCCCAGTTGGTGGCACTTGCTGTCCATGTGGCCGGCAGCGCAAAGCTGACAATGTCTCACGCGCGGAACGCCACACGGGAGCTCTTCGTCTCTTCATCTCTGCAGGCCTCTGTTGAACGGGACGCTGTACATATTCTGTGACATATTTCATGGGCTCTGAAGCTGTACCGATACCGTTCTCATTGTACGTGAACAGGCAAAGTACACTGTAACGCGCTTACAGTCCCAGTTTCGTCTCCCTCTTGCGCGAGATCTCCTCCATACGCGCCCAAAAATCTTCGAACAAGCAGTCGACCCGTTCAAGGCACAATACACCACGCGACACCCTGACTAGATGGGTTGCAGATTTAAATCGCAGATTCCACCCTTTGCCCAAGGGCACGACGGCTGCCGTGTTCAAACTCCTGTTTCCCGAGGATGATGCCCGCCGGAAGTACGACTTGCAAGAGACGCGTTTAGCACGTCATCTCGTCACAATACTCGGCGTCTCAGACCAACCCGGTGGTAGAGGTGCCCGATTACGTGCCTGGAACGCGTCGAACGCGTCCGGATGCCTGGGGGAGGAGGTGAAGAGGGTATTGGATCCGGCGTCCCCGGTATGATCCTATGATCCATCGTTCCCTGCGAAAACTTACCCTCAGTACAGGATATTGATGGACGTATATGGGCTGTATCAATCGCTGAAGTTGACGCTTTGCTTGACGAGCTAGCCACGACCTCAGCATGGTCCGCTGACTGTGTTCGGACCGCACACTCCCCGTCTCCCCGCCGCACGCGTTCTGCCATTCTCTCGGACCTCTTTCGCGACATTCCTGCACTCGATGCGGCATTCCTCACTCAGATCATTCTTAAGGACCTGCGACCTCTTCTCTATCCTCTGCCAGAAACACATACCACGGTGGCTTTGAGAGATTACAAGAGCAATGCGCTCAGTATCCTGACACGAGAAATCGCGATGAAAGTGTGGGATCCGAGTGGGCGGATGTTGAAGATATACGCGTCGAGAGCCAATTTAGAAGAAGCTGCCCATGCATTTGACGAGGGCGACCTAGCTTGTACGCCGGTCTTCGGACTTCCTATCCAGGTGAAGTTGCTAGAAGTGGGCAGAAGTATTCAGCTGATCACCTATACAGATCCCGAAATCGGTGAAAGGTACATCCTGCCGTCACGCCCTTCAACAGCTTTTCCGCAGCAGCATTGCACCAAAGAAAATCTGGGCTGAAGTCAAGTATGACGGTGAGCGGGCGCAAATTCACGTACAACGCAGGATACTCCCCTCCGTCCATCAGTCGGAGTCACTGGAGTGGGAGATCAAGATCTTCAGCAAGAGCATGCGCGATTCAACGAGGGATCGGATCGCTCTGCATCCGTGAGTTGCAGCCCGCATTCCGAGCGCTCATTTTGATGATTTAAAACGTCAGAATAATCTTAGAGGCCCTCGGCATAGGCTCGGGTTCGTCACCGAGATTCAAGGATAACATCATACTGGATGCAGAGATAGTCGCATATTCGGATGTTCTGGGAGGAATCGATGGTATGTTCGCTCCTCCGACCCACCCGTCGATGAGTGTACTCATACTGACTCTTGACCCCCAGAATTCTGGCGTATCCGGAGTTTGATCAGTAGCACAGCAGATAATGTGCGCGGCCAGCGATCATTTGGTCGTTCAACTGTTGTCCAAGATGAAGCGTGAATCACCTCTCACCCAAGTCATCGATACGTCATCCCTGGCTGACACGTTCGCCACCACCCAAACAGAAGTCAATGCTCGCTGATCTCTAACGCATCAGACGGAGGCAATCGACACCTGGCGCTCGTCTTCTTCGACGTCCTGATGATTGATTCTGTATTCCTCTTGCAACGCTCCTACGCCGAACGTCGCGCCACTCTAGAAGATATCGTGATCGTTCGACAAGGCCATTCCATGCTTGCTGGACGGGAATGTATCCATGTGTCCGACAAGGCGAAGGGACGTCCGTGCGAGGCGGAGGGGGAGCAGCTCGCGAGCATATTCGCGCGGGCCATCGCTGCTCATCAGGAAGGCCTTGTACTGAAAGCCGATAACGGAGCGTACAACAGTTGGTCTTCGCCCTGGGTTAAGGTAGGAGCGAAGCATTTGCTGCTTCAAGCACGATGTTCACGAGTAGGACGCAGTTGAAGAAGGATTACATCCCGGGATACGGCGATTGTGTCGATCTGGTCATCGTGGGAGCAGGGTGGGATAAGGACCGGGCCCGTGAATTGAGAGGTATGCACCTGTTCCTCCTCCATTCGTCTGTCCTTTGGATCAACACTCTTCCAGTTGCTCCAGAGACTTTCACAACGTTCTACGTCGGCGCAGTTTCCAACACCGTCGGATGCCAACGAAATGTAGATCGTCCAGGAATCCATAATACTCCGCAGGCATTAACTTGCATCTCGACGCAGTCTGATGTCCTCCCTCACTTTGAAGTCTTCTTCACCGTATCCTACGGCTTGAGTCGCGAACAGTTAGAAGAATTGAACTTCTTGATCAAGAGCTCCGACCCCGTAATGTATCAGGCAGATCTATCGGTTCGTCGAAGCCGTAACGGTGTTAGTGGCGCTATCTAATTCCCGAATCAGAAACATTCTCATCCCCGTCTTACGTACACTCTCACCATGTTCTCCGGCCTAGTGAAACCCAACGTACTCCTCCGCGTACCTTTGCTCGTAGAGCTGTATGGTGCTGGATTCACAAAAGCGCCATCATCCAAGGTATTCGCATTTCCTCTTTCGCCCGTTTTCACTCACTCCTCCGATGCAGTTCTACGAACTGCGCTTCCCGCGTCTTACTAAGTTCTATCGCACCTCGGAACGTTCGGCGTCGGAATGCCTTACCCTGCAAGAACTGAACAAAATCGCGCACGAGAGCGTAGGGCGCGACCGGTCCCTCAAAGACATCGATGATTGGTGCAAAAAGACGTGGAACAAGACGGCTTCCCCGAGCGTCAGGTGTCCGAAGAGAAAGAAGGCGTCCGAGCAAGCTTGGGAAGAGAAATTTGCATTAGCCGACAAGCGGGTCAAGCGGTCCAAGGCATATGAGGAGACCATCCATTCGAAGCCTACTCCGGCCGGACATCGGCAAAAGCCCGTAAGGGCTTTGGGCTCGGTGACCAATTTTACGTCGGCATTATCGACTCCTGCTACCGGTCTGCAGCTAGATGATCATTTCGACGCAGGGACCCATCTTACACTGCTCGCTTCCGCGCCACCTCCACCTGCAGCCTCAGGCTCAGCGAGCATATTCTGTTTATTGTCAGCGGATAGAGAAGCAGGGAAGCGCAAGAGCGAACCGATAGCGATTGCACCGTATCCAACACCTCCCACGCCAGCTAAGGCCTCAAGTGGGGGCGCCAACACGGAAGCAGCGACAGCTCTATGGCCACTGATGAACCTGTTGAACAAGTCGCTGGTCTGGTTTGCAAGGTCACCTGCCTTACCTCGACCGGAGTGGTGTCCTCCTACCAGAACGTTCGTCCCCGTCGGCAATCACATTCACGGACTTGAGGCTTTCTTCATTGGATGTGGGTGGCAGGCGACTATGGTCGGCGGGATTCCTGCCACACGCTCCTGCGGTTGGGCAGAAGCGGGCGTTATCTTCGTGGACGACGAGCCAACCTTGGAAGCGGCCTGCACATTGCTGAGGCACAAGCAGAGGAGCCTCTCACTAGACGCAGGTTCGCGCAAGCCCATCGTCGTCCTCGACCTTCCATCGGCCATCCGTGCCATCTCGCAGTTCAAGCACGATATCCAGCGGCTCAATCAACTGTCTTCGTGCGAATTTCGTTAACGTTATCGACTATTTATGTGTTTATTCCTATGCACGCACCTGTTTTACCGAGCCACAATGCTATCCCCGTGTACTCTATAGCACGCTGAGCGGCAACTCGTAACGACTAGATCGTTTTCTAGGGCGAATGAAATACTTCGCCCCCCCATTTCTCGCTACGTCGCACTTCGAAGATTGGATGCTATACGATGTTTGGTATTGGCTACACTACCTTGTCTTATGTCGCTTTTATGTAAGGCCTACACTACTTTTTTATGTTGCTTTGGTGTGGGGGGTATACGATGCTGGGGTATATGAGGCGTGAAGCTGTCCAGAAGCCGGGATACTCGATGACCGTGACGAGGCGAGAGGCATAAAACGATCCAGAATCCATATCCAATCCGATCCCAAATCCGAAACCATGTCCGATCCATTCCGTTCCATCATTCTGAAATTTCTTCGGGCGCCATAGCCCATCTCGAGCGCCGCTGCGCGACTACAGTTGCGTGAAAGCGGACACCGTCGAGCGGTGCCTCCGATGCGATTTGCGGCCTTGAAGGTGGCGCGACGAACGCCGCGAGGAAGACGCGTGGGGGCTTTCGTTCTCCTGGTCCGCGATAAGCGCGGGGCGGGGCTGCGATGCAGCGAAACGGGGCAAGTTGGTCTTGTCCCCGAAGGGCGAGCGTGGAAGCTCGATGTGCGAGCTGGCCGGCGAGCGCGTCAGATAAGCCTGAGATGGAGAGAGATGCGATGAGATGCTCACTCTGCTTTTGCCAGTCCATCGCCGAACTGGTCAGAGCTCGCGGCCGGCACGGGCACGGGCTGGCTCGTTGCCTCGACAACGTTCTGGTACGATTCTTTATCGCCTGAGTCCATATCACGGTAGATCGGCGGCGACGCGGCAGCGAAGGGCTTTGTGCACGAGGGATCGTGGCACAGAATGCAGATGGAGCGCTCTGATCCGGCTTGGAGAGGCGCAGCCATCGAGGGCGACCTGAAGAAAAGTGAGATCGGGCGAGAGGGACACAGCCATGAGATACTCACTCGGGGGTCGACATTTCTTCGCTGGTGATCTCGACGCAGTCTTCGTCATCGCTCATGTCGGGGAAGCTGCGTCTGTTGCACCAGATCTCCTCCCCCTGGACGAACACGGGTCGTTCTCCGATCTTGGTCCACGCTACGAGCATCGACGCACGGATTCGATCTGCGATGGGCGGCATCTGCTCATCCTCGCAAACCGTAACCGCGTTGGTCTTGAACTCGGCATCGCGGTCTGCAAGCGGAATCATGTCGGTGTCGTGTTTTGGGGTGAGGTCGAGCTGGGCGATGATGGCGGAGAGACGCGCGGTGCGTCCCTCCTCGAGACTCTGAAGATCCTTATCCGTGGATCCGAATGTGTGGTCGAGCTGCTCGATGATCGCCGAGATGCGGGTGCTGCGCTTGGAAGCGCTCTCTGCCTGCAGGTCGCTCTTGATCAGGCACGTCCACGCTCACAATGAGGTACATGCTTACGTCGCTCTCGGTCTTGTCGTTGGTCATATACCCAGGCATGGCCTGGGGTTCGATGGACATGGGAGGTTGCGATACGACAGGCGTAGCACTCGTCGAGATATCGTTGCATTGGATTCCGATCTGGGCTTCTTCGTCATACTCCTCGACGTCGTCTTTCGGAGACACGAGGCAGATGACATTCTTGAAGAAGGTGACCAGGCGGGAGCCGAAGGAGATTACAGCGGCGAAAGTCATGGCAGTCGTGGTAGAGTGCGAGTAAACGAGCGTAGGTCGAGCGCGATGTGCGTCGAGTAAAGACTGTGAGGCTCGTGAAGGCTAGAGGTTAACCTGTGAGAGACATAGGTTGGATCGAAACACGCGTTTAAGAGGATTTCCATGGCCCCCTATCCTACATCCGCGCGGAAGGGAGGAAGAGGAAGTAAAGCCGCGAACGATCATGTGACCGCGGAGGGGGCATACGTCTCTCGCTCACCGTGGGGTTGGGCAACGCCTACGAAGTAGGCGTAGCCAATCCCACGGTTACACTGCCACACATCTACTTGATGTGCACGTTGTTGGGTGTCCATCCCCATTCCTCGACCTTTCTCCCAAGTCATAAATTCGGCAAAGCTCTACAAAATAAACAAAATGACATATCTTACTATCTTATCAATTTTGAACTCCATTGGTTCCTGCAAACTACGTGCTCCCTCCTACAGAGCACCGTGATGTGGCTGTGCTGAACTCGCGATGCTCAAACTCCCGCAAAAAGAGTTCTTCTTGCATAAAGTGCTGTACCTTCCACAAAGGTTCTAAAATTGCACAACCCTTCTAGAATATTCTTTGGGATGCCAATAGAGAATATGTTGAGGATAGAATTTTATTTTTGGTCCATTTTGGCCCATTTAATCGGTGCTGATGTTAGTTTATACTCCTCCGAGGACAAAGAAAGAAATTCTATTCTCAACATTCTCTCAAGAATCAAATTTAAGCGGTAGTCTCTCTACCATTCTAGACGTCAGCTGGCATGGTTGACTGCATAACCTGGTCGGACAAGACACTTTGTCCGGTACCCTTCATTGTCATGGCAGTGCTATGCGTGGGAAGTTATGTCGGAGTCGAATTTTTGGCTGGGCGTTGCCCATCCCCACTCACCGCTGTCGCGTCGAGCAAAGGGGGCTGGATTGTGCGAACTTGCTGGATAACATGTGTGCCAGAACAACGGCCAGAAGGAACTGAGCACAAGAGAAGTCATAGGTGAGTCTAGCATTGCCACTCGTCGTTCTGCAAGTACCCAGCATCATCAAGCCTTTCTGAATCGGCCACATGAACTTTAGAGAGAAGACAGAGAGACCGCAGCTTGAAGCAGATAGATCCAGCTGGTCAGCGTATGCTTTTTCCAAGATCCGTGGACCGCAGGCAGCGTAGTATTCCAGTTGCACAACAATCGAATTCGAGGCTAATCATCAGGCTCTTCGATCCGCAATAGCACCTTCTTTCCTTGGCCCTCTTTCATCTTCGCAAAGATTTCGCGCACCTCGTTGCTCAACTGATCGTCCCCGTCGTTCTTCCGCAGGGTGATTATCTCGTGCTCCGGTTCTCGTAACTGAACCACGAATCCATACTTCAGCGCTGCGCATGGTTACTCCTGGTTACATACACACCTTTCCCTGCTCGACCAGTTTGACGATGTCCAATAGCAGCTGCGATTTGTCCTTGCCCTTTTCATTGGCCCAGGTGCTCATCCAGAACCCGTGGCACGTCAACTTGTTGAAGATGAACAAACCCGGAGGGACCGAGAACGGTTGCTTTGCCATAGCGCCGTATGTGACGAGGTGACCGCCCTTATCGAGGAGCCCCGCGAGGCGGCCGAGAGTCGGGTCACAGGTAGCGTTCAGTAGCAGGCGTGGCTTCTGTCAACGATTCGGTGTAAGGCGATGAACGAACGCGGAGAGAGAATAGATGTGAGGACCTTTTCCGCAACGAGCTTCTTGATGGAGGCGAACTGTGTTTTATCCTGGACGTCATCATACGTGAAGACGTGCGTGGCGCCCATTTCCTTGAGCCACTCTTTAGTAGAATCAAGGTCCGATCTATGGAGTGTTATTATTGGCAGTGCAGTAGGACGAAGGGGAAGGCTCGTCCTACCGGGCACGGATAAAGTTCAAGGTATTAATACCCTTGCTTGCAGCGATTTGAATGACGCTTTGCCCGACCTAGAGCTCGTTGCGCTATCAAACGACAGTCGGAGATGGATTGAAGGAAAACATACTGCGCTGTTTGCCGCATTCTGTATCACCCAATCGCCGGGTTGCAAGTCCACGAAATCCGTGAGCATGCACAGGGCCGTAGGCGGGTTGACCTGTCCGGATTCGCAGGGCGTCATGAGTGTGTCGAGCGATCCGCAAGGTGGCAAAAACCAGCGCACCGTCAGCGTAGCCGCGTGCACCTCCGATATCGTCTTCGGAATTTTCAGCACGTCTCCCTCCCTCGCTGTCGCCGAACTCGTCCATGTCCCGCTCTGCGGCTTGTTCATCACGACCCAATCGCCCACACTCAAGCCCGTCACGCCCTGGCCCACGCTGCTCACTTCCGCCAATCCCTCGTTTCCTCCTACGAATACCGGCGAGCCCTCCTTCGAAAGTGCGGAAGGCGCCGGCTTTGCAGGATACTTGCCTTCGACGACGTTCACATCAGCAGGGTTGATGGGAGACAGTCGGAAGCGGACGTTGACCGCGCCGGGCGGAGGCGAAGGCAGGGTTGGGAATGTGGTCGTCCCAAGCACGGAGGACGGCTCGCCGTTCGCAGAGTAGACGATGGCTCTGTTAGCTAGGACGCGACACGATGTTGAGAATGGGCGTGTAATCCCGAGGGTATTCATGGCATGTATTGCAGCCAAAAGCTCCTGGACTTGCGAGGATTGTACTTGCGTTTAGAGGTCCTTGGTGAACTGCATGGAACATAGGTCATCGATGTTGACGTCATCGCATGATACGCGCTCTGCCTGTCACGGTCCCGCGTCGATGTCGCACTTTCACCTCATCGAAATTACAATGCGCGCGGGCGGCATACGCCCCTCATAGCGACCCTGGCGCGTGGAGGCAATGCCCAGATCTCAACACACCATGATCCTACGTTTCCTAACCAATACCGTTCGACCCAGAACGAACATCGGCCGTGACGCATGCCTGCGCAATGTGGAGGCTTAGACGTAGGTACCGCTCCGCTAACTGTATTGGCTCATGAAAGTCAAGGACGAAGACGTTGGCAACAGGATCAATTACATCCTTCGAGAGGTCCTGACGGCCATAGGGTTTCCATACTCGTAACAGCGTTTCCCCGAACGTCTATGGCATTCCAATGACGTACGCGCCTCTCAACGTCTGGTACAAGACGTTGAACTTCATCCATCCTCTCAGTAGCACTTGCCCATCGTCTTTGCACTTACACGGCACGAAACCGCAAGCGCTCTGCATAGAAATTCGGCCATGTCATCCATCCCGACATCCACATCCGTCAGCGAATCCGCTGTGATCTCCGCCCCCCTCTCTGCCGTCTGGCATCTCATCAAACTGCCCTCGTTCCCTGAATTCTGGACTCGGCTCGATAAATCCGACCATGTCAAGGGCACGTCCGAGGAGACGGATATATACCGGTGGACGTTCAAGGACGGAACCGTCCTGGACATCAAGCAAGAGGCTCATTCAGTGAGCTGATCCGCTCCATGTCCATGGCTATTTGCTTTGCTGAACGACTTTCCGCAATCACCAGAGCATCGACCACTACATCACCTACAGCGCCATCGCCGCAAACCCGGCGCTGACGTACTCCTCTGTCGTGTCTACCATCCGGTGCTGGCCTGTGACATCGGGCGCGCACGCGGGCTCGACGTTTGTTCAGTGGACGGCCAACTTCAGCAGCGATGCTGACGCAGGTAATGTGCTATTTTCCCTCTGAAGCAGGCCAAGATGTTCAAGTCTCCCAGGTGTCATCGAGGACGCCAGGTTCAAGCGGCAGGAGGCTCTGGCAGATCTGGCGGCCGCCGCCACGAAGCGCAAGTGAACGAAGCTGTAGCCGATACCGCGCAAAACGTGTACAATATCTCCGGGTACATTTTGTACTTATACCGCGTGTACATCAAGACAATGGAATATATGTTGAAATCCTTATATAGATGGGGGATCATGATGGTCGTATTTCTATTGGTCTCTTCATTTGCGCTTTGCGCCCTTATACCTGAACGACCGAAAGGCCATCCCGTTATCGCCCAGCGGATTCATGTTCTTCATCAGCGTGGACGTGTCCGAATCGTCGTGATGATACTTCTTCTGCCAGCCGTACGACACCTGCCGGAGCGATTTCCAGCTTTCCTCGTCCGCGGGCTCGATCGGGGAGAATACCTTCGCGGACAGACCGGACACCCATATATCGTAGCAGGTGACGCTTCCCTCTTTCTGCGTCTTAACGCACTGGATGGAGTCGACCTTGCTCGCGAACGCGAACACGATGCGGATGATGGGCACCTCGATCTGCTGGTCCTTCTTCATGAAGCCCAGCGCGAAGGGGTCCATAGACTCGAAGATCTCTTCCTGCACCGTGGCGGTATAATGCGTATCGAGCTTGAATTGGAATAGGACGAGCCCCATGTTGGACGGTTTGATCGTCGTGTCCTTAGTGCCCTTCACGGTGACGAGGCCGGCATCTACTCCTGCTTGGCCGGTTGCCCCCATGAACGCGGCGTTCCGCGCAATGAAACACTCGAGCATGTCAGGAGTTAGACGATTCTGCGATTCGCGCTTGATGAAGTGGTTGAAGTGCAGCAGGACGTCCTTGAACGCCTCGCCCAGCGGCCGCTTCTTGTCCTCCTCCACGCGGTACACCGAAGGGAGCGCTTTGAGCAAGTTGTCGAGCCGTTTCTTGCTATTCTCGGGAATCCTGAAGAGCTGCTGAAGAAATGGAACGACGCCGAAGACCGGACGAGGGACCATCTCCGCGTGATCGACGACCGCCTGGTCCCTGGCCAAGATGAGGAGCAGCAGTCCGAGCAGCTCCCCTCGATCGCCTTGATGGACCGAGAAGCCGTGCAAGACGTTTGAAAGCGCTACGTGGGGCTTGAACCCCGTAAACGACATGATCTTCCGCGCACCTTCCGAAAGCACCGGCTCAGACGGGTTGAGAGTGAACATCCGGCGAAAGGTCTCATCGATGGATATACAGACGCGCATGTGGTTCGCCACCTGGTCCATCTCCTGCGCCGTGGGCGTGGATGACATGAACTGGATCGGAACTCTCCAAGCCAAGCACGCGAGTTGCTGCTCCCACCGGATATTATCGATCCGATCGATGTCTGCCCGGAGAATCTTCTCTGCGGCGAACCTGACAAGGTCGTCCTGGATGATCCGGCGCTCGTATTCGGAGACGCCCTTAGCCTGGGCTGCGATATATCTCGCAGCAAACCTGGGGCGTGCAACGGGTTGAACGACTTTCTACTCAACGACTGTCGCGATGGCTCACATTGGTCGGCCCAGCCGAGCTTGATACCCGATGTCCGAGACGGCCGCGAGGGTCAGCGGTTCGGGCCATGGGGATGCCAGTTGATCGAAACCGATCGCACAAAACGGAGGAATGAGCCTTAGACCTCCTTCCATGACCCTCTTGGAGGGATCGGACTCCTTGGGCGAAGTAAACTGGGTGATCTTGCCCGTGGTCGATAGGAACAAGGCAAATATCGGCTGATGTCGAAGAGACCGCAGGACTCTGCGAAGCTGAGAGAATGGGGATACGTTAGTGGCATCGTAGCCGAACGCCTCCGCGTCGCGGCGTAGTTCAGCCTCTTCGTCGCCCGGCTGCATCTGGGAAGGAGCGGGAGGTGCTGCTAATGCCGGGCCCTTGCCCTTGCCCTTTGATATGACGTTGGACTGGAAAGTAGAGGGGGTGGTATTTGGAGCGCGTCCCGTCGAGTTGGAGAGCGACGGACGGGGCACTGCGGCCGACTTGGCATTTTCTGTTAGAGTATGAGCTTCATCGAAGATCAGGATGACCCGGGGTAGTCGTTGCTTCTTTGACGCTCCAGCTTTGCTGCCTGGCTTCGTAACCTTCTGTGGCTTGGTGGGGCTTGTCGGTGGTTCGTCATCATTGGCCAGTTCAGCGCAAAGCTGCTTTGCAGCCTCGATCACAGTGACTGCAGAATGAAGCAAGTGTTAGCTGCCTTGAATGATAAACTCACTCCGATGCTTACCTCCAAACTGTGCAATCGGGGACCGGGCACGATCTTTAGATGCGGATGCCCCGGAAACCATGGCTAGCCTATCGTAATCGCCCACGAGCTACAGGGAGACATTAATGATTGGATATACTGCATGCAAATCACTCTCAGTAACCTTTCTGGCTACCCCAACAACTCTCTCGTAGAAGTTCCTGCGGAAAGCGTTATGGGACGTCATACTTTGTCCTTCCGTCATCTTGTCGTAAAACCAGGAGGCGTGTTCGCCTCTTGGTTCCTCTCGTAACGTCCGGGTGCAGGCCTGAAAGAGTGCAACCAGGAATGCAGAATTGTGGATGAACATTCGATGCGCAGATAGCGGCTTCATGCCCTCGAAGAAGGTATACAGGACGTCATCGGAAGCCGGAAAACCTGCATACACTTAGTTCGACGTTGACATCGGAGAATAAGGACGTACCCGAGGCAGTAGGAATGCGGAGGTTCATGGGGATGCAGAAATGGGTCTTCGCAAATTGATCGGCGCATCTAGACCCGGGAATTGTCAAAACCGACGATCTTGAAGTGACGTATGCGTACCTGCTCTTACCGCAGCCACTGGACTGTACGATAGAACAGTATGGTGCATAGACACCCTCTTTCCCCCAATACTTGGCGATATGTTTACGGAGCGCAATATGCGCATCGCCAACGTAGTCTTCCTTCCATGAGATTTCGGTAACTGAAGAACTCCAATAGTTGCAAATCTATAGCCGCGTTTCCCGCACTTCCACGTACCCTTTATGCTAGCATCACGATATTGACGGAGTTCTGACTTCAGCCCTGGAGTGTTCGCTACGCTCACAACGGGTGGTGCATTAAATCGTATTGCCTCTGTATGGGCAATATGTATGATAAATGTCTAATCGCTCTGGAGAGTCATTTATGGAGTCACCATGTTGACGAACAGCTCTGTATCCCTTGTCCTCCAACCACGACTTTGACAGTAATGCAGCAACATCAGGTCGTTCAGCGAGAAACTTGGATGTCTCCCCATCCGCGAAGTGTCTCGTCCCGCCTGCTTTGACAATGGCTTGAAGGACCATCAGCTGCGAGAGCCCCTCCAGCGGCGTCCCTTTACGCAGCCCAAAGTGGGCGTAGTTCGCCAGCTCTGCGTCCACTTCACGATCCCAAGTCTCGTGCTGCTCATCATTAGCTGGTCCATCTGAGGCTAGCGACTCTACAGAGGACGCTCTAGCATTGGTATCTGGAGCGGTATGGATGTATATCGCGTCGGCGCTTGTACTGGCGCTGCAGCGAGTTGAAGGGCCTGCTTGTGAAGAGAAGACATCGGGCTTGGCAACAGGGGTGGGCGCAGCACGACCAGGACCACCAATATGCTCAAACTTGACTTTTTTGGCTTTCTTCTTGCGGGATGCAGCTGGTGGAGAGTCTCCAGGGGGTCTTTTTGGAGGTCGTAACGACATGAAAGAGCGACGCTAAGATGAAGGCCACTGCAGACTCGAGTCTCCGGGGATGCTGTGTTCACCCACGTGCTTACGCGTTCACGCGTGGTCGCGACGCGAACTCGAAGGTCGCGTCGTTGGACCTTGACTTGACCTGAACTGCTGCTTGACTCCGAGAGCACTCACTGTACATTTCCATGGAGCTACATGCTCTCGTGTTACAATGCATACTTTGGTTTCTTTAACCGGAGAGTACCAACACGGCTTTACGAGCGCGTCGAGCGGAACGGACTGCGACTGAATGACAATAGCTCGGACTTGAAACTCCCGCATCCTCAAGCGAGGAAACATCGATACCTCCATGCCGCTGTGTCATATCAGTTCGTCGGTCTCGCCACACCGGCGAAAGGACAGCATGGCCTATTTGCGAAACCGTACGACGTCTGCGGTCTCACCACGGCTGCGAGAGCCACGGACGCTCGAAGATTCAGGCATTCAGAAAGAGAGGTATAGGCGTTGATTTCTTCACGCAAGATTGAGCAACGGACTGCCCATTCCACACGAGCACGAATGATCTCCAAGATCCCCACTTCCACCACCGCCCGCAATCCGCGATCATCCCTGCGCCTCTCTCCAAGGTCTGGTAACTGCTCGACCTCCGCTGTTTCGCCACGTGGTGGAGCGCACTCGAAAACGCGGAGAGGATCAAGGCCGAGCCGTCCGTGACCAAATGGAAGTTCAAGCTGGGATACACGCTGCAAGTCAAACTCGAGGAACATTCGGTCGAGTACCGTCTCGCGCTCGATCCTCTTCGTTGCTGACATTTGGCGCGTGGTCCACAGAACGTCAACCACTTCGTTACTTGGAGCGTCATCGACGTCAACCCGCCGGTGACGTTCATGGCCGATCTGTAGACCGTCCGTTGCTGGCGCATCTCGTCCGGCGCACCTCGTCCGGCGCACAAGCGGGCTCGACCTTCGTGGAATGGACCGCGCACTTCAGCAACGATGTCACTTCTCGTGAGTCATATGCAAGCGTAACGCCGGGGTTCTGACTTTTGCCAGATTGTGCACAGGCCTGACCGATAATGCCGGGTTAGTTCCCCAGCGCGCCCTGGCAGACCTCGCGAAGTTCGTGAGCCCCGTGCGTGAGCACCGGGGCATCGCGAGACCATCCTCTTCAGGGAGTCTGAGACGCAGTGATTATTGCGGAAGATGCTATCGTAGTACCTATTACATAACAGGACTATCAGTCGCCGGGTCCCGTGCCCGAATACCCCTTCAACGCGCTGCACTCGACGCCGGTGTGCTCCACGAAAGCGTTGTCCATCTGGAGCCCGAACACGTCCGTGAACGTCGTCGCCGTCGGGAAAAACGGCGGGAGGACCGTGAGCGTGCCCTTCACCGGCACCGGCGCGAACGGCGCGGCGGTGACGGAGCTGTTGAACAGCGTGATGAAGTTGTCGCAGGTGGTCGTGCTGACGCTGCCGAAGAGGGGCTGGTTGGTGATGTTTTTGTAGCTGGCCAAAAGGATCGAGGGCTCAGTATTTGGTGTGTGTGTGTCCGAGCGCGTGCGGTTTGGGTTGCTCACAATCCGATGGGATATGGCTGGCTGTCGACACGCGTGAAGTTGCCCGCGAAGCTGGGCTGCTTGCCCAGCAGCTGGTCGACGCCGTTCCACGCCCTAAAGTACGTCTCTCCTGCGGCGGACCCAGCGGCATAGGGATCGCATGAGGGCTCAAAGGAGCCGACGTGGGTCTCGTCGACCGAGATGGAGCCGAGGACCGCGACGAGGTTCACCGAAAGGAGGAGGGGCAGCTCCCAGACGAATGAGCTGGTGCCGTCGTTCAGGCGGTCGACGAAGGGAAAGCGCAGACCGGCTTGCTGTGCGAAGGGAACGATCCGTGAGACAACCCGGGAGACGGGAGAGGCTGAGATGGTACCATACCGTGAAATCCGGAACGAGATTGATACCTAGCTCCCTGATATCATGGTCCAAGATGGAGTGCAGGTACATCTATCGTGAGAGTAAGCGACAGGGATATGCACTGTAATCTGACACGCGTACCGGATACTTATCCTGAGGAAAATCTGGGAGTAGTGACTGGTAGGCTTGGGTCAAGATGGGGTATTGCGAAGGCACTATACTCCGAGCCAGTGCAAGGTCGATAGGTATTATGACCGTGGTGCCATTGTTCGTCCCGGTGGGCGTAGTAAGATATTGCTGGAATATGGGGTTCGGTTGGGACTGAGTAGTGCAGCCGAGGACCGGATTTGAAGCAAGGGAGAGGACGCCGAACAGAAGGCCAGCCGATAGAAACATGGAATAACGCATCGGGACAGAGATGCGTCTATGCGTCCAAAGACGAAGCTGGAGCAGACAGAACGGAAAGAACGAGAGTCCGGTCTCCGTCCCCGACGGGACCCTTATATGTCCGGTCATGAACCCAAGGCATCACTAATGACAGCGATCGGTGCGGAAGGCATCATCGCGTATTAAACACCTGAGAGGCAGGTCGCGATGCACATGAGGGTCTCCTACATTGACCGTGATGGAAAGCTGTTGTGCACAGGTTGAGCATCAAATTGCCGCAGTCAGGGGGAAGAAAACAGTTAGCTCCTCCCCAGGGCACCCGTAAACCCGTCGGAATCAGTCCCGTCCGGTTGGAAGGCCGCGGGCGCTCCCTCACTAGCACTGACAGTCACATGATTTACTGAAATTCAGGGACAGGGGCTTGTTTCGCCAAGTCCCGGGCCCATCTGTCGCCGGCGGCAAACTGTTTCCGACTTCAACTCGGTCCCTGGCATAAATTACTGGAGGGCTCACTCAGCTCGCAAGTACTTGCTCTCGTCGCTCCTCTATTCCCGCTCTACGCACCAGCAGACATGGGCCAGGCGACATCTACCCCGACACCGGCAGCGCAGCAACCCCCGGCAGGTTGCCCCATGCACCAGTCGCAGGCAACGGCTGCACCCGCACCCGCACCCGCTCGGTGCCCGGTCCAGCACGACGCACCAGTAGCGGCGCCCATCGACCGCCCCGCGCGCTGCCCCGTAGAGCACGACAGCACGGCGCTCAATCCCCTCAACCAGATGCCCGAGCTCCCGCAGACGCCGACGTCCTCCGCGCAGGCCGTCGCACTCCCCACCCAGCGCGTCGTGTCCTCCATCCCGCGCCCGGTCGAGAAGGGCCCCGCCGCGCACGGCGAGGGCGACCGATGGGAGTACCCGTCGCCGCAACAGTTCTACAACGCGCTGGTGCGGAAGGGGTGGGAGACGCCGGAGGAGCACGTGGAGACGATGGTCGAGATACACAATTTCTTGAACGAGCAGGCTTGGGAGGAGGTGTTGAAGTGGGAGCGCAGGCGAGCTGACGCCGGGACGAGGTGAGTTTCGTGTTTTTCAGGATGTACTATCGCAGGAACTGACCGAAACGCGCCGCAGCTCGGACGATATCAAGCTTGCGCGGTTCCAGGGCAAGCCCGGTCAGATCTCGCCCAAGGCGCGTTTCTGGCTCTTCGCTGGCTGGTTGTTGCCCTCGCGGTTCAACACCGAGCCGCCTTTTGACCGACACGACTGGATAGTCCGTCGCAAGACCGGCGAAGAAGTGCGCTACGTTATCGATTACTACAGCGCACCTCCCGAACCCGACGGTTCACCTGGTGAGGAGAGATCTTGCGGACTTGTATACCGTCGATGCTCAACATGTCTTGTAGTATTCTCTTTGGACGTGCGACCCGCGTTAGATAGTCTCGACAGCGTGAAGGAGCGCATCTCTGCGGCGACGGAGGACGTTTGGGCAGCGTTCAAGCAAGATTCCGAAACGCGACGGAATACATGACGAGATCACGCTAACGACAACCCGCGACGTAGTATACTCACATCAGGCGCGCCCTTCTATCATACCCCTCCCATAGTGCCTGTAATCATCGTGAATCACATTCGCATCACTGATCTGTGGAATGAATCCAGTCCGCAGCATGAATCGAATTGAGAAGATGCGATGGTACATAATAAACGTAGAAGACGTCGCGTAAGATAGTTCCGAGGATGAGGACGGCCGGAGCGGTGTCGTCGATCAGAGACCTTCCATGCTCGCCACGAGCTCGTCGAGTTCTTGCTTGGATGCGCGGTACTTCTCTTGCATTTCCTGTGCCAAGGCGCGTTAGATAGTGACGTGCATATCGCGTAGCGGTGAAGAAGGGATACGAGGAGCACCCGACAACGTACCTCGTACTTCTTCTCCCACTGATCGCGCTCCTGCTCAGCGCGCTGCACCTGGCGCTCGAAGTGCTCGGCCTTGACGTCGACCTGGCGCAGCCTAGAACACCGATGCAGTCGATCAGCCTCCGCATCGCCGATCGCCCCGAAACCGATAACGCGTCCGCGAGCGCGCAGCACGGCGCACCGACGCCCGCGAAACATGAGGTATACGTGAGTTCGACGTACTTCTCTACGGTCTCCTTGACGTTCTTCTCGGCCGTGTCGAGCTCCTCCTCGAGTAACTGCACCTTCCGCTGCAGGGCGTCGCTCGTCGTCTTGGCCTGCTCGCCCTCGGTCTGCGACGACTTGAGCTCGCTCAGCTTCGCCTCCGACTTCTCGAGGTCGCCCTCGAGGACGCCGAGCCGGTGCGTGAGCGACGAGATCTCCTGCTCCTTGGAGAGCAGCTCCTGCTCGAGCCTCTTGTTCTTGGCCTCGGCCGCCTCCGCGCGCTCGACGGCGGCGTCAGCCTCGGCGCGAAGGGCGTTGAGTTTCTGCAATCAGCGCGACGGCACGGGTTCACTGGCGGTCTCGGATGCGTGTGCGGACGCGCGCACCTCTCTGATCTTGTCCATCGACATGCTGTGGCGGGGAGGGCGGATGGAGAGCGTAGGGTGATGGAACCGTGGGAAGGAGCTGATCGCGCGCTTTGAGGCGCGGTCGACGCAGGGGCCGAGGCCCTTGCCGAGGACAGTCGCATCCCCTTTGCACATCGACCCTGGCTTACAGGCGGCCAATTGTTACTTGGATTCCGCCATGACGGTCCCCATACCGCAGGAAGGTTCGTATTGGCGATTAATGGGCGCCGAAATCGAGCTGACGATCTCGGTAGAGCTGCCCATCCTCGAGGCGCTCACAAAGTGAGTGATCGGGCGGCGTGCCGCGACGGAGGGGTCGCTCATTCACGATGGATACACAGCATACGCAACAGGCTCACGGCCCTGAAGCGCGATCGCGGCGAGTACATCAAGTCCTCGGACGTCAACTCTATCTACCAAGCCGTCGTCAAACAAGGTCTGCCAATGCTTCTCTATTCCTGCGCGCCGTTCGCTGTGGCCGATCGCTCACACTCGACCGCATCGCGATACCAGTCACGAAGCTGAACGACGTCCGCGACGACAACACGGTGTACAACAACCGCGTCGACACCCTGCTCTCCGATGTTTGCAGCCTGCTCTCCCTCTTCTTCCTCACCATCGGGCGGACGAAGGAATGCCCCGCGACCTACTGCCAGATCGCGTCCATGCGCGTGAGTTCTCACCCCCCCTTCCCGCCCCCGCCTCACTCGTTCGAGAGCCCGCGTTGCCGGGCCCGGGTGCGGCATGGTCCGTCTGCGTCTGCGCGGCGCTCAAACGCTCTTCGCTGACAGATCATGCCACTTCCTCCCCCCCCCCAAACCCACTGACCCACCCATCCGTTATCCCGCGATCGCTGCGACCCACTGAACCATGAACGCGAGGAGAGAGCACAAAAAAGCTGACTGATCTGCCATCGCGCTCGTCCGTCTGCGGCGTCGCGTGTTCACACAGCAAATCCTGGACCACATGAACGAGTCCTCCGTCTACAACGAGTCGGACCTCGCGCCCTTCCACCGGCGGCTCTCCGAGCTCCGCTACATCGTGCAGCACGATGCCGAGAGTGGGAAACACCCGCGGGCGATGACGACGCTTTTGGAGCGGCAACTGAACGACTGCGGTACGCGATCAAAGCTTATGTTTATATCCACGGGCACGGTAACGCTAATACCGTACTCTTGGCAGACGCGTTGCTCCGCAGCTTACAAGACTCGCTTGCGGTGTTGGACTCGGAGCTAGTACCGTTACACGAGCGGCTCGTGAACATTAGGCGCAAGCTTGTTGCTCTAGCGGCGAAGGAAGGCCCCCACAAGGCTGAGCTGAAACCTCTTCTGGAAGAATTACGAAAGATAGACTCGTACGTCCTGGTCTGCTCCTCGTTTCTCTTGACCCTCTGACGGTGGAGCGCACAGTAAACGAGTCGACGGGAAATTCCTGGGCCCAGGAGGCTCCATGCCTGCATCCCAGGCAATTTGCAGTTCGCTGCTAGAGGAATGCTTCGACGTTGTTCAGGAGATCCGCGCAACGGAGGAGTCGAAGAACGTCTCGTCCGAACTCAAGCCGATATACGACCGATTGACGCAGATCCGCGCCGAGCTCGAAAGCCTCGCGCTCACGCACCGCTGGAGCCTCCGCGAGACCGACCTATGGAACTACTCGCTGAGTCTGCAGGAGATCGACAAGATGCGGGTCGACGGCGGCTTCGTAGACCAACACGGCAACAAGCCGCAAGGGCAATATGTGGGTGCGATGCCGTGGTTGTCACCGACGCGAGAAGCTGATGAAGTGATTAGGTTTTGCTATACTTGTTGAGGCGATGTTATGGCCTCATCTATCGCTTGCTCTCCTCGAGCGAGCCCGTATCAGAAGAACTCATGCCCATAGTGAGTGTCACTTGAATTGTTTCGTTAACCGGACGCTGAGTATCCCGTAGGCGAATAAATTATCTACAGTCCGAAAATGCCTAAACGAGGTTTTGAAATACGGCGGCCCCTTCAACCCTCGAGATCTCTACCCCGTGAGTTGACGCAGATAATCTCAGGTTTCGGGGCATATCACTAAGCGTGTTTCACTCCACAGTACCAACTGGCGCTGCACCAGATCGACTCGCTTCGGAAAGACGGCAAGTTCATTGGCGTGGATGGTTCGATACCGGAAGGCCAGGCCATTGTAACAGCGCATCTAAACGAATGCCATGAGCTCGTAGAGATGGTGCGCAGCGTCATAGTTCTGGCAGTGACCTCGTTGCTAACGCCCACGCGCCGACAGCTGAAAGAGTCGATGGAAGACAATGAAGATGACGATGAAGAATATTACGACGAGGATGACTACGTCGCTGTGGAAGACGAGGAAGAGGATGAAGAGGAAACACCGTGACGAAATGGCCGGTGTCCCAAGGAGTCCAGGCTCGTGTAGGGATGATATGCCTGGGGTGTGCCTAGTGAGCAGCGAATGCCACGCTGATATTTCGGACATTATGCGCCATAGATTATTGTAAGAATGATTTTCGATAGCTCGGCCTGTCAACATGTAGCAAGCGAGGGGAAGGGGCGGAACCATGTGTCAAATACGAGAAAATCCGAGGCATGAGAAATCGATCGAAAGATGTCTAGGTAGCTTTCTCCTCCAGAACCCTGTCCATCATCTTCAGCACTGCCTTGACCATCTCAGGCACGTCCCCCGGAAATCTCGCGCTGATGTAGTTGTACGCGTCGTCCTCGACGATGTTGGCGCACAGCGGATCGATGCCGCCCTTCCACTGCGTCTTCGGGTCGCGCAGCTTCGCCTTGACAGCTTGCTCCACACTCGGACTCCCCGCGCCGTAGGTCTTGTAGTAATCGCCCAGAACGGGCCGCGTCGCGTGCCAGATCCCTTGCTCGAACGTGTGCGGGAGAGCCGTGGTCGCGAGATCGTATGCGACGCTCTTGCCCGCTTTCTCCGCGTCTGGGTATTCCGCGGGGTACGACGATTCGGAGAGCACCATAACGCCATGGCAGACCGCCGCTATGGCTTTGGCGTTGGCTGCGGACTTCAGACAATGGGGGAAGTAAGAAACGATGTGCTTGTGTACGACCTCCGAGTCGATCACTTGGCGAACGCCGGAATCATGCCCGCCAGGCAGAAAGACGAGGTTATACGGCTCGAGGGAGAATGACGGTTCGGTCCAACCGAGTGGCTGGAGAAGAGAGGGATGGGTGAGCATGGCGTTATAGGCGGCGATTGTCGAGGCTTTAGCTCCGAGGAGTTTCTGCGTCCATCCTTCGAGCATGCGTTGGTCGCAGCGGGGAGAGGTCCCCGTCTCCGTTGCAAAGGTTATGTCGTATCCCGCATCGAGGAAGGTTTCGAACGGCACCGCGGTTTCCGTGGGGTCATGCCCGTAGTCAGCCATGAGGAAGATGACTGAGGCTTTCTTGTGAGGCATGCTGGGACACTGGTCCGTCCGTCCAGGGAGTGTTCAGAGCGAGCTCGCCCAGAGACCTCGAGAAGAAAGAGGCAGCCGCAGTTGATTTCGGTGACCATCATGCATCATGATCGACTCCAGAGCAACCGGAGACAATGATGCTAGTTGCAGGGCTCGGCATCCTTAGAGAAACTGGAAGGTCGTCCGAAATTTGAGCGGAGTAATACGAGCTGCACATACGCGTAATGCTCGCAAAGGACTCAGGAGACAACGCAGAGCAGCTAGAGCTTGACTGCGTTCTCGGGCTTCCGGCGCACGCCGGTCCGGGAGGTGCTCGTGCACGTGCACCGTGCGAGAATGCGACGCGTCGCCCTCGAGGCGCTCACCACAGTCCCGCCATTGTAGCTTTGAAACTCCATTTTCCTCGTTTGGATATACCGAGCTTGACTCTAGCACGTAAAGCAGTGTTTCACGCCTTACGATCACTCCCCTTCTCGTCTGAGAGACCTAATCTGGGGGATGCACCAGGCTTGGCGACATACTACGAAGGCTGATCCGGAATTGCAGCACCCATCTACACGCGTTGAAGGGGCTACAATGGCCTCCCTTCGGCACCACTCGCTATTGGTGCCAACTGGCCTCCAGCGGTCCGAATGGCCAAGGCAGAAAAGTCGGCTTGGTCGACATCGACGTTGATGTAAACGACACGAATCGCCACACTCGGCTCATTTTATGGAATCGCCGCATCACGATGTAGCGTAACACAGACAATTGCGTCCAGCGCCCTTACAAACCGAACGTGCGTATGTGACAGCTTTGACGATCGCGTTCTGCGAATGTTTGAACCACCCGCTTGCAAACGATTACTAAAAGTGGCACTCACGGTCATCACGTCCGGCGTATTATAATGAATCGCCTTCACGGCCGTTGAAACACACAGCACGCAGACGTCCGTTTAGCGTGCTGATAAAACGGCCTTTACTGCTAATGAACGAATACATTGACACTGCGTCCGGTATGCAGAACTACCCGCTGGCGGTAGACCGAAAACGGCTCGTACAAAGCAATGGCATTGGAAGGAGCAGAGCGACTGCTCCTTCTCCCTTGTGGACACTCTCGGGTAAGGAAGGCGGACGGGCAGCGTGGACCAAGATCGGAGAACGACCCGTGTTCGTTCAGGGGGAGGAGATCTGGTGCAACAGACGCAGCTTCCCCGACATGAGCGATGATGAGGACTGCGTCGAGAACAGCAGCAATGAAACTTCGACCTCCGAGTGGGTATTTATTTGTGCTCGTCTCGCCCCATCTCACTTTCCTTCAGGTCTCCCTCGATGGCTGCGCCTCTCCCAGCCGGATTGGAGCGCTCCATCTGCATTCTGTACTACGATCTCTCGTGCACAAAGGCCTTCGCTGCCGCCCCGCATAACAACTACCTCGGCATAGACTCAGGCGATAAAGAATCGCACCGGCACCAGAATTTTATCCAGGTTACAAGCCAGCCCATGCCCGTGCCGGCGGTGAGCTCTGACCCGTGCGGCAATGGACTTGCAAAAGTAGAGTGAGCATCTCCTTATATCTCTGTTTACCTCAGGCTTATCTGACGCGCTTTCCGGCCAGCTCGCACATTGAGCTTCCACGCTCGCCTTTCGGGGACAACCCCATTTCGCTGGATCGCAGCCCCGCCCCGCGCTTATCGCGGACCAGGAGAACGAAAGCTACCACTCGCCATCCTCCCAGCATACTTCACACCTCTTGCAAGGCCGTAGATAGCACCGCAGGCACCGCTTGACGGTGTCCGCATACACGCAACTTTAGTCGCGCTGCCACGCGCCTCCCTCGCCACGATCGTCGCTTCACCTGCAAGGCCGCAAATTCCACCGCAGGCACCAGTTGACGGTGTCCCCCTCTACGCGATTGCAGACGCACTACAGCGCTCAAGATAGAGCGACATCGCCCGAGAAATTTGAAGGATCATATACTGAATTGGATTGAGCTGGATTTCGGATTGGGATAGGATTGTGTTAGATATTGAATATAGACCGTCCGGCGCCCCCCACTCCATCATGATCATCGAGTTTCCAGTCTCTGAACATCATCACGCTTCATAAGTCACTATACCCCGGCATAGTATACCCTCATACAAAACCAACGTAAAAACCAGTGTTGGACGGAATGCAAGCATCGTATAACGTTCTCGGATAAAGACGTGGCAAAAATTCGTGAGTGCGACGTGGTGGAAAGATTACCTCCTGGGACGTTTGGAGCCGAATTCAGGATATTATATTGAATTTAAGTCGCAAGATCGGCATACACGGCATGCATCGGTACAGCTCGTTCCTCCGTCGTGTATTGGATCACATCGCAGCTGTTGCGTTCGTGGTAACGTCAGGATGCGTTGGCCAGGGGCTGGAGACGCCAGTAAAGACAGATCAGAACAGTCGCAAAAAATGATCGACGAGAAAACTTGCCTTAGCAGCAAGTCAAGCCGATCTGACCCTCATGTCCGTTCACGTTCGCGAGGCAAACGGGGTCCGTGCAGTCGCAGCAGAGGGGAATGGAGGGTGTGGCTGCAACCAAGCTAGCCAGGGCGAAGAGGGTGGCGAGGGCGAAGGTGGCTTTGGTGAATTGCATTTTTGGGGGTTCGGTTTGTGATGTCGATGGGACGATAACTATGACCTGGTGTGCGCTTGAGGCTTTATACGCCTCGACGATTGTTCCTGAGAGGACACAGAGCCCGGTGTCCGCGAGCATTTTCCGCTCGGCATATGCACACTGAAATTGTCGCCGGTACGCGACTGGCAGTCTAACTTTGATGGAGGCACAGCTGTTGGGTAACGGTCACCGAGAAATGCGGAGGATGCGGTGTGCGGCGCAGTTAAAACCGCCCAAATCATGTCAGAAAAGCCTTTGTTTGTATGGTTTCGTGCAGGAAAGAGGCGTTTATTGGGTGCTTAAGAGTGCCTGGCCGCAGGGACTTTCGAAGCAGATACATAACATTGCTTCAGAGTCCGATTGAATATAATGCATGGGCGCCCAGACTTTGAACTGCCGGATCGCCGAGTCATGAGGACAGCATGATCGCAGTGCCCCAGTGGAGTCCGGTAACATCGGGGTTGATCCAATGCAATATCTTCAGCGCGGAATCGATACGAGGAGCGCAAACATGCAGCAGGAGCGAGTATAGGCTGCGTCAGGGCTTCTGAGACCTCAGAGCGCGGGTAGTGTCCGCACGGGGAGCAACCGCGTAAGGGCTAGTTGCTCAGACCTGGGCAAACAGTTTACTACGATGGCAGTCATCTTCCTTCATATGAACCGCGCTCGTCGCAGGGAACGTAGAGTGTGTAGGTGGTCGGGCAGAGAGTATCTTGATATCATGACGACGCTGTTCAAGCGACCCGGCCCACACTCAGCTGGCCCACGTCCGTGCTGACAGAGACGAATCCCAGGACCCGTTCCCGACCATTCCTTTAAAAGGCTCCAGCGCGGGAGAATCGCACACCATCCCGCCCTCGTTCGTCGTGCTCGCCGTCGGTCACGATCACGATGCATATGGGCGCGTGCAGGGATCGCGAAGGCTGGAAACCTGTGTCCGACATACGCAATTTCGACTTGACGCCATGCTTTGAGGAAGGGATACTGCTATCGACTTTGCTCGTTGCGCTCCTCGTGCTCGCTATTGGCCAGTCGTGGCGTCTTCGGTCATTATCGACGATTGAGAGAAGCAGGAGGAGCGTATGGATACTGCGGGCGAAGCTGGTACGTGCAGCGCGTCATATTTGCTCGCCGGAGTGGTTCTCATTCATGCGTCTATTGCGGAAATTAGTGGTTATTATGCCTGGCGACGATCACATCCCTTGCAAATCTTATCTGCATCCTTGTTCTCCGCATCCACGTTCCCGTGTACCAGTCCTACCTCCTCGAGGTCATCGCGCTAGCGGTCACCCCAGCCCTGACGTACTACAACCATACGAGAACCCACAAATCGTCCGCGATACTTCTACTCTTCTGGCCGTTTTATATCGCATCCTTGGGCATATGGACCCGCACCACGCTCGCCCTCGACCACCCCGTCTCAACTGTCGCCATCGGCTTGAGGTGGGGTGTAGCTGGGGTGTCGGCCCTTGCGTTCGCCCTGGAATGCCTGGGACCCGAGTCGCTGGAGGAGCTTCGGGAGAAGGAAAAGAATGCAAACCCGCTGGTCACCGCCAACGTCTTTAGCATATGGAGCTTCGGCTGGCTCACCCCGTTGATGAAGAAGGGCACGAAGCAATATATTACCGAGGATGATCTTCCTGCGTTACTGCCTCGAGACGAGTCCTCGAAGCTCGGCGATGACCTTCATAACGCTATGCAGAAACAGTCAGTACCCCCTCCCTCGTCGTGAACTAAACCAAAACGCTGACCGACAACATCGGTTCAGTAAGGGATTATGGACGTCGCTCGCGGTCGCATACGGAGGGCCCTATGCTGTTGCGGCTGGACTCAAGATCATACAGGACTGTCTGGCCTTCCTTCAACCGCAGTTCCTTCGTTGGATCCTCGCCTACATGTCGGACTACCAGCAGGCGCACTCCCATGGCTTCTCGGAGACCGGTCCCAGTCCGATCAAAGGATTCTCGATAGCGGCGCTCATGTTCGTCGCGGCAACGGCGCAGACGGTCATCTTGAACCAGTATTTCCAGCGCTGCTTCGAGACCGGAATGCGTGTCCGCGCCGGCCTCGTGTCGATGATCTACAAGAAGGCGCTCATCGTTTCTTCGGACGAGCGTGGACGATCGTCCGGTGATATCGTGAACTTGATGAGCGTCGATGCGACTCGCTTGCAAGATCTGTGTACCTTCGGGCTGATTGCTATCTCAGGACCGCTCCAGGTTTGTGCTCACCTCTATGCGGGCGAATAGATTACTTACACCATCTGACCTAGATTACCCTGGCGTTCATTTCTCTGTACGACCTGCTGGGTTGGAGCGCTTTCGTTGGAGTCGCCATCATGATCTTCTCCATTCCCCTGAACACTTTCATCGCGCGTTTCTTGAAACGTCTGCAAGAACAGCAGATGAAGAACAGGGATAAGCGTACGAGGCTTATGAGCGAATTGCTCGCGAACATCCGCAGGTTTATTTTCTTTGCTTATTTCGCTAAAGCTTCCCCACTGACCTGCTCTGTGGACATCAGTATCAAACTATATGCGTGGGAGCACGCATTCATCCGGCGGATCTTGCAAGTGAGGAATGACGAAGAGTTGAGGATGCTCAGGAAGATAGGTATAGCTACTGTGAGCCTCACATGCGATAACAAACAAAGCGATCTGCTCACTCATTGGTGTAGTCCTTGAACATGACCCTTTGGAGTGGAATACCGCTTCTTGTTGCCTTCAGTTCATTCGCTGTCGCTTCGGTGACGTCGCCCAAGCCGCTCACGTCGGATAGTAAGTTTTACGTCGTCTCACCATCGTACAACCACCTGATCGAAGTTTTCAGTCATCTTTCCTGCCATTTCTCTCTTCATGTTGCTGCAGTTCCCGCTTGCAATGGTAAGTCGCTCTGCGACGGATTGGTGACTATACACTCAGCAGTCCCGGAATTGTACAGTTTGCACAGGTCACCTCGAACATCATCGAGGCTATGGTATCCGTTCGGCGTCTTTCGGATTTCTTGCACGCAGAAGAGTTGCAGCCTGATGCGCGCAAACGCATTCTGGACCAAAAGCCTAGGATAGGCGAGGAAGTGCTGTCGATCTCGCACGGCGAATTCACTTGGTCCAAGCAGGCTGTTCAACCGACGTTGGAAGACATCAACCTCACCGTGAAGAGGGGCGAGTTGGTCGGAGTCCTCGGTCGTGTCGGCGCTGGCAAGGTAAAGGAGTTCCACTCCTCACTTTAAGCATCAGTTCGTTGATGTCCCCAAAGACAAGCTTGCTTTCAGCTATCATTGGTGATATGCGCCGTATGGAAGGTGAGGTGATGGTGCGAGGTTCCGTTGCCTACGCACCTCAGAATGCATGGTAAGTTCAGACCGCATCCTTTGTCGTTACTGTCGACTTCATGCTTCATCACAGGATTATGAGTGCCACTATCCGGGACAATATCCTGTTCTCGCATACGTACGACGAGACGTTCTATAACCTTGTCCTCGATGGTGAGCGAAGCGTTGCCAGATGGTTGTTGATCCGTATACTCATGGTGTAACAGCCTGTGCTCTGAGGCCCGATTTAGCGCTGCTCGCACAAGGCGATCTCACGGAGGTGGGCGAGAAGGGTATCACAGTGAGTTTGCCTATCTTAACAGCCTCACCTTTGATAGACTATTTCTGTAGTTGAGTGGCGGTCAACGAGCTCGAGTAGCTCTCGCAAGAGCAGTTTACGCTCGGGCTGATCTGTGAGCATCGAACACGGAATTTACCCTTTACAGTCCTGACAGCTATTCAGCACACTCCTCGATGATGTCCTTGCTGCGCTCGACTCGCACGTCGCACGCCACGTCTTCGGTATGTGCAAGCTTCGGGCGACCGGTTTCGTCCCTTTTGACGGAGAGCTATAGATCAGGTGATTGGGCCTAAGGGCCTTCTAAGCACTAAAGCCAGAGTCCTCGTTACGAACAGCGTAACGTTCTTGAGATATTTCGATCAGATCATGTTCATCCGGAGAGGGATCGTATTGGAGTCCGGTTCTTATGTTTCCTTGATGGCCAACTCCGAGAGTGAAATAGCGAAGCTTGTGTGAGTGCAGCTTAGTCTTCATTACGGGCGGACACTGACTGATCTGCACGTAGACGTGGGCACGGAGTTAACTTGTCTTCGTCATCTTCCGGAGCTTCGACCCCTCGCCGAGGGGACGGGTCGCCCCCGGCGGACGATACCACCACGTTGGCCGACTCTACGAAAGAGGGAGAGCTCGACGACCGCGATAGCGTAATCGCAGAGAAGTCCCGAAAACACAGTTTTGGCCGCGCTCAGCTGGCGGACACACTCCCTGTGCGCACCACTCAGGACGGTCCGTCCAAGGAGCACATTGAACAAGGGCGCGTGAAGAGGGAGGTATACCTGGAGTACATCAAGGCCGCGTCGAAGACGGGCTTCACGATGTTCATGCTGGCCATCGTTCTACAGCAGGTCCTCAATCTCGGCGCGAACATCACGTTGAGCTTCTGGGGCGGGCATAATCGCGAAAGCGGTTCAAACGCCGACGCGGGCAAGTATCTGCTGCTGTATGGCGTGTTCTCGCTGTCGGCTACGGTCATTAGCGGAGCGGCGTACATCATCATCTGGGTGATGTGCTCGATTAGGTCCTCAAAGCATTTGCACGACCGGGTCAGTCCACGATCGTTCATCCAAAAAGACCACATCATGATGCGCCATGTAGATGCTCTATTCAGTTATGCGCGCGCCACTCAGCTTCTTCGAGCAGACCCCGACCGGTCGCATCCTCAACCTATTCTCTCGCGACACATATGTTGTCGATAGCGTTCTTGCGAGGGTGAGCGGTCTCTGTCGCCCAGAAGGCAATCTCGACTCATATTTACTCAGATGATCATGAACCTTGTGCGGACGTTCTTCGTTTGCGTCGGTATTGTTGCCGTCATTGGTTATACATTCCCGCCCTTCCTTATTGCCGTACCTCCGCTTGCCTACTTCTACTACCGTGTCATGATGTGCGTACTCGCATATCTTTTCGGTGTCTGTTTGCTCACAGTCTATTCGCATTTCCGTAGCTATTATTTGGCCACGTCCCGCGAGTTGAAACGCCTCGACGCCACCTCCCGGTCGCCGATATTCGCTTGGTTCTCGGAGTCGCTCAACGGCCTCTCGACGATCCGCGCATTCGATCAGCAGGCCGTCTTCATCGCCAACAATCAGCGGCGCGTGGATCGTAACCAGATGTGAGCCTATGGTCCACTGCCGTGACCTATGGCTGACTATTCCTCTCAGATGCTACCAACCATCCATCTCGGTCAACCGTTGGCTGTCCATTCGCCTCGAGTTCGTCGGCGCAGTCATCATCGTAATTGTCGCTTTACTCGCTCTGACCGCGCTGTTCACCACCGGTGTCGACCCGAACATCGTCGGCCTCGTCCTTTCGTACGCGCTCAACACCACAGGCGCCTTAAATTGGGTCGTGCGCTCCGCCAGCGAAGTCGAACAGAACATCGTGAGCGTGGAGAGGATATTGCATTACTGCGGTTTGGAGAGCGAAGCGCCGGAGGAGATTCCAGAAACAAAGCCGCCCTTCGAGTGGCCGATCAGGGGAGAGGTCGCGTTCCGGTGAGTTTCACCTTTCTTTCGTGCATCCTGAGCATGCACTAACCCCTCGCGCAATCTAGTGACTACTCGCTGCGCTACCGACCGGACTTGGATTGTGCGTTGAAGAATATAACGCTCACCACCAAGCCCGCGGAGAAAATCGGTATATGTGGGCGTACAGGCGCGGGCAAGTCGACGCTGCTCCTTGCGCTGTTCCGCATACTAGAACCTGCGACCGGAAGTGAGTTCACCCTGCCGGCGCAGATATCAAGATCATGGATTCTAACGTGGCCCGCAGCTATATACATAGATGGCGTAGACATCACCAAGCAAGGCTTACACGATTGTCAGTATTTTGAACTTATTGCACAGCTGCATCTGATGGCGCTCGTGCAGTGCGCTCGGCGATCTCCATCGTGCCTCAATCTCCGGACCTCTTTGAGGGGACCATGAGAGAAAACGTCGACCCCACGGGCGCTCACTCTGATGACGAGATTTGGACGGGTGCGCTGCGCTCCTCGCTGCCGTTTGGGTTTACACCGCTGATCTATCTCGATGCGCAGCGCTCAGTCAAGCTCACCTGAAGGAATACATATCGAGCCTCCCGGGAGGCCTTGACGCCCCCGTGAGCGAGGGAGGGTCCTCGCTGTCGTCTGGACAACGTCAACTACTCTGCTTCGCTCGAGCTCTATTAAGAAAGGTACGGAATCAACACTACTCAGGCTCCCAAAATAGCTCAGATGTCTACTTCGAAACGCGGGTGGCGCAGACTAAGATTTTGGTGCTGGACGAGGCCACGTCGGCCGTCGACTTAGAGACAGATCAAGCCATCCAAGAGATCATACGTGGACCACAGTTTGCGGACGTGACGATGTTCATCATCGCGCACAGGCTGAACACGATCATGCACTCTGATCGTGTGCTGGTGTTGGACCAAGGAAAGGTGAGCGTCTTCCCGCCTTGCCCGTTATCTCGGCGAGAACCCCGGTTTCTCACTGCTTTCCATGTGAAAGATCGCAGAGTTTGATTCGCCGAAGGTATTGTTAGAGAACAAGAACTCCGTGTTCTATTCATTGGCAGCCGAGACCGGCCTTGTTTGACCGTCAAAAAGGTGCTCTGGGCGTCGGCATAGAGCCTGCACCGAACTGCAAGCGTAGAGCGTATTTGTACAGCGTACTTGGCGCGTAGAAAGCTCGAGAACAAAACAGAGTTACTTCCGATATCCGGTTGCCAAGCCAGCTGGTGAACTGTTGAGGCCGATCTGAATGACGCGCCGGATCGGGTCCCGTGCGTTCGCAGTCTCCACCTGGACAGAGAGGGGTGCTGCTGCCCGCCGCGCCGCGTCCCGTACCCTTGATTTTGTTTACCCTTCATTTTGACTCTTTCTTGGCTCTGACTGCGACGACGATGCCTGGCAGTCGCACCAGCCCGACGAAAAGCAGGAAGGAGGAGGAGGTACCGCTCTCGAACCTGGCCGACCCCAGGGGCCACGACTACGCCGATGTCGACACCACACTGCGCAACGACCCGCGCGACCATGCCGAGCACCTCGACGGGTCCGACACGGGCACAGACTCAGACACGGATGACGACGAGTTCGACTGGGAGGCGGACGAGGACTCGCTCAGCGTGCAGAAGCAGAAGACGCATATGAAGGCGAGGCGAGGACGGGCGTTATGGAATGCCTTCCTCCGGCTTGCTCGGCCCCTCCGGGTAACCCTCGTCGGCATGCTCGGCGCTGGGGCGCTTATTGCACCCCTACTCGTGTTCGAGCTCAGGTTCAAGAACAGTGTCGCGAGGCCGCATGTGTTCGCGTGGTCGCTTTGGTTCGCAATTACATGGGTCGCGGCGTGTCTTACTTTTATCGTCGTGGACCTCACACCTCGCGTCGTTGTGGCTGTCATTGACTGGTTTGATGGGGATATGGAGAGGATGAAGATGCAAATCGAGGTGCGTGAGGCATTCCTCGATGTTTTTGTGGACATCGTTTAACGAACACATTCCAAACCAGCTTCTATTCGCGGTTCGTGCGTGGATCAAGCTTGCACTCGATATCTCTTGGGCTTGGATTGCCCTCTCCGTCATTCGTGCCACTGTGAAGCCTCCTGGCGGCTACTGGGTCATTATCAACCGCGTGATGCAGGTCCGTCTGCGCTCAGATTCCACGTCCACTACATATCCTCATGATACTGTGCGCGCAGGCTCTGTTCTCCACTGGAATGATCCTCCTCGTTGAGAAGATATTCCTCCGCGCCGTCGCAATTAACTTCCACCGAAAAGCGCTCCATGATCGCCTTGCTGAGAACCGTTTTGGCCTCAAAGCCCTCGACCGTCTCTCGCAAACCACCCCTCCTCCCTCGCGCGGCGTCGGCCGCTACCGCAAAGGTGTGGGTCACAAATCCCCCAACGGGTCCATGTCTGCCCTCAAGCAGTTTAAAGACGACCACAAAGAGCTCGGGGCGAACCCGGCGAGGTCCGAGGCTGAGACGCCGTCCAGTTTATCGCCCATGAGGGAAAAGGGCTCCCCGAGCCCGCAGCAGCAGCAGCAGGATCTCCGGAACGAGGGAAGGCGCAGGAGAAGAAAGGCGTTGGCGAGCATCATCGTGGACCAGGTTGGAGGCGCGATCGGGCAAATCGCGTTGAAGGACTCGGAGCTCAACAAGGGCGCGGACTACAGCGGACTGTACTCTGCCAGGAAGCTTGCCCGGAAACTGTTTATGCAGCTCAGCGATGTCCATCCACCGAGGAATCACTTACTTGTCGAGGGTGCGTTCACGTTTTAATCTCCCCGCCTGCATTCGGTTCTGACGATGCCATCGATAGACTTCGTGCCCTACTTTGGTTCACATGCCGAAGCCCAGGCGGCGTTCGCCATATTCGACAAGGATGGCAACGGCGATATCACCAAAAAGGAGATGCGCGACGCGGTGCAACGGATCTATCGCGAGCGCAAGGCTCTCGTCGCCTCTCTCAAAGACGTGTCGGCCGCGGTGGCGAAGTTGGACGCGGTGCTCATCGCTTGTGCCCTGGTTTTGCTCCTATTCATCTACCTCCTCATCTTCAACCGCAAGGATACTTTGAGTTCCCTCGTGCCGATCGCCACCATCGTGCTGGGCTTCTCGTTCATCTTCGGCCATTCGGCTCAGATTCTATTCGAGAGCTTGATCTTCATCTTCAGCACGCATGTGTAAGTGCCTCCATCATGATCCCAATGAAAGAATCAGAGGGCATTGCTGACGGGTTAATGCGAATTCAGCTTCGACGTCGGTGACCTCGTCTTCATTGACGATAACCCACTTTTCGTCAAGGAGTTCGGCCTGTTCTCGACTGTCTTTAGGAAGGTGGACGGCACTGAAATCATCGCGCCCAACTCGCTCATGTCGAGTTCGAAACTCGTACATAACATGAGGCGCAGTGGTTCCATGTGAGTTACGCGCCTCTCTGAAGGCCTTGCAGTCTCTGATCTTCTTCGTCCTAAGGTGGGAGACGACGAACCTCCAGGTTGCCTACGACACGCCGATGGAGCTCATTGAGACGCTGCGCCAGCGCCTGCAGCTTTACGTCGCGCAGAACAACCGCGACTGGTCCAACGTCGCCGTCCACATTGATAGCATGGAATATCAGAACTGCATCACGCTCATCATCGCGATGGAGCATCGTCCTAACTGGCAGGATTGGGGCGGACGCTGGACCCGCCGAACGCCGTTCATGAAGCACCTGAAGCAGCTCATGGAGGAGCTCGACCTCCGCTACACGCTGCCCGTACAGCCTATCATCCTGCCCCGCCAACCGCCGTGGCAGAACGTGAACGCCGGATTCCACTTAACCCCGCCTCAGGGCCCAAATCGGTTCCAGATGACCCGGGAGGAGGCGGGCAACGCGGGCTCGTATCCTACCGACCGGATGGGGCTCGCCCCGCCGGGCATGACGATCAGCAGCGAGCCGAACAGGTTCGATCGCCTCTAGAGTGGTTCTGAGCTGCGCCCATCGAGTGGGAGAAGTCCGGAAACAACCGGGCGACGGGTCGGTCGGTGCTTTGCTTGTCGGGTCTGCTGCGCAGGGCTTGGCCTATGTTTGAAGGACTGTGCATACTCGTGAAAGGTTCAGGAAGGGTTTATGACACTTGCACGTATTTTCACGATAGATCGTTCCTCTCGCAAAATACCAATTTTCCTGTTATCGAATGCTCGCTTACCCCACGATTCCTCTTCATTCACCTTGATAGATGTACCTTGTTCTGCTCTGGGGCAGAAATATGGTTTAACACATACTCAATTACAGTGCTCAATAGAAGGTGTTTCTTCGCACGCATGATACGAAGTCGGATTGATGGGCAATCATGAATTCAGTGTCACGATTGCGGAACATTTCACCAAGTCTTTCTCTTGCCATCGAAGGAGATCCACTCTCCGCTATGCTTTTCGCGTGTAGCCTCGTCTATGCGTTGCAAGATGTACCATGCGGTAAACTCCGGCGATTTCAGCTTGCCGGACGCCCGCGCCATTTCGACGGTCGCCCCCTGAGCAAGCACTGCTTTCAACGCTGATCCACAAATGTTATCAGCATCAGCTAGATACCTCAGCGAACCCATGGACGTACACATTTCTGACTCTACACCACCGGGGCAGATGGAGAAGGCGACTGCCCGAATGTCAGCCATTAGTTACACGACGATCATGGGACGTAGAGGGTACGCACTCAGGCCGTCCTTCTCGTGTTCGAAGTGCAATTTCCTGGTCAGGTAGTTTTGCGCGGCCTTGGACAAACCGTAGGCTAGGACGCCCTCGCGTCGGGCTCCCTCCGCTATGCTGCCCAAACCAGAGGAAATGGCGACGAACTTCGGGTTGGGCGTACTGGCCTTCAGCAGGTCGAAGCATGCCTGGTACAACACGAATGGTCCAATCGTGTTCACCTGTCGGGGAACTGTGTCATGGCCGAGCAGTTACGCGTTTCATCGTGCAGCTCACTTCGAGATGCTCGCGCAGCTGGTCTGCCGTGGCCTTGATCGCGGAGCAATAGTCCTGGAATATGCCTTATGACGTCGCTCAGTCTATTGATTGCAGCTGATTTCTGCGAACACACCTGCGTTGGCGATGACGACGTCTAGACGACCGGCTTTAGCCTTAATCTCCTCGACGGCAGCCTCGTTTCCTGGCTTGTCGGCGGCTACAAGTTTCACCGGGTTGACCTTCCCGGGCTGTTCAGATGCGAGGGTTTGCAGCTCGGTAGCCGTCGACGGGTTGCGTGCACCCGCAAAAACGATCGTGTTCGGGCGAGCGGCCAGTGTCCTGACCAAGCCCAGTCCTACGGCGGTGCGTCAGCGAGCGGGTGCGTCCGAGACCACGGGGAGAATTACACACCGAGCCCGCGGTTCGCTCCGGAAACTAGATAAACAGTGGGTGTCATGATAATATTACGATGTCAATGGGTGACTTCCCGTAAGGATCTGTAAGGCCGAATAGAATAGATTTCGCTTACAAATCCACTAAGCGAGCAATGCCGAAAAATCGGCATCGTCAAGCCAAGTTATCGGTTTGTCGGTCGCTCGTACAGACCTTTTATCTGGAAGGGGGGTCGACCCCCCCTTCCAGACCAGAATGCCCGTTTACAGACTGGAATTAATCATACACGTGACCTTCTCTCTTCCTCATTCGCTGCTCCGCCCTTCTCAACGTTTATGACGTCTGTTTCCGCCCCACACTCGCAGGACCGTACGGGAGCATAGATTTACAGCATAACCCACAGATCGGGGTTTCAACTGTTTATTCTGTCTTTCTGTCGCTACAGATCTTACGGGAAGTCATCCAAGTAGAACGTTGCCCCTCGTTGAGAGGCCGGCCAACTTAATACCTTCCATTTCGGGAGAGAGTATGGATCGTCCAATAG